AAGAACGTTAATTTTCCTGTTTTATTCCGTGTAGATTTCAACAGAGAATTGGGTGGAGCTCATTTGAAAGTTAATTATTAGAATTATTACGATTGAAACTATTAAGGAATGGCATTGAGAGAAATTTAATGCAAGGAAGAGCTTGATAGAGCATATATATATATATATATGTCTACGCAGTCATAGTACAAAACCGCATGATTTGAGGTTGATGATTCTGAGAAAATGGAGAGCTTCGGTGGATTATGTTGTCTTAAATGAACTTGATGTATTTGCATAATTTATTCAAATTTACAAAACAAGCTTACGCATATCCTTAAATGCATTGTCAGACGTTATGCGCTCATTTAGATATTGACAATTTCATGCAAAATGCTCATCCTCTGTTATAGCGATAAAATTGGGACTAGGTCATTTGTTATCGTATTCTACCGAGATTCTGTGACGTCATTATAGCCTATCAATGGCATCTGCGATTGGGAAAATTTCAGTGAATCGTTGGTGACTGTAATTGTTAATTCATTCAGATGAATAAGCCTTGATATCTCATAAAACTAGGACATAACAGTTATTCAAAATAGCATATTAACACAAAATTTTAGGAAGTATTTTGAACAAAAGCAAAGAACTTCGTAATCAATTTAGCAAAGCTTATCAACACCATATTTTTAGGTCATCATATGACGTTCTTTTCAAGAAACTAGAACATTCAAACTTTATCAGAGTGGCTGTTGAATGAAAAAAGCATAATAATGAATATTTACAACGCATGTTAAACGGTGTCAGCATCATAAAGTGTCCGTAATTTTGCTTTTTACTCTAGAGTAAATGATGTCTCCATTGTGTCTCTAAATGCTTTTCAGATTTTAAGTCATGCAGATATTCCAACTCTATTTAAAAAATACACATTATGATATATTTATCAATATTTGCGGAATTCCAATCAAGTGTATTTCAAAGATGCATTGAATTTCAAATTTAGAAATTCCAAATGATAAATTTGATAATATGAAGGCATGAATTTGCTTAAAATGTTAAAAAGTAAAACAAATACATTAAGGCGATAAAACGCTCTAGGGCTTCTTAAAAGAAGTACTAAATCTAACAAAATACAATTTTGTCTGAAGATAATCTCCCAAATCCGATTTCAGATGCATAAAATCTCAACTTTTACAAAGCTCATTTATCTTTTATGACTAAAGCACCACTACAGATTCTTGCGCAAAACCATTCCCAGTTTGGACCATTGCGCTGTTTGACATTAAAAGAAGCTTCATCTACTGTTCATAAAATTTAATAACAGTAGCATAAACGATCTATCATACTAGTGTCATAAAATTCAGTACACAGCATAGCAATTTAACATATATTTTCTATGTTTCGCCATATTTAATTTGACAAAGAAAACATTCAAATAGAAAAACGGTTTCTCAATGCTTTACTAACCGACGTGGCAACAGATGTTATTTATGGCTGTTGAAATAAGAAAATAAAAAACAAAAAAGTGATGTTAAAAATACTTTATTGATTGTATATTGTTAAAAAATAGCAACATTTTTTTCAAAGAAATACTGCGATTCGTTTGTCTTCACTTGTTTTTTTACCTGTCAATTTATGCGAATAGAAACACAAGCATTTAAAACAACCTGAATTTCAAACTGATCTCAGAAAACAAGGGAAAGCACTGGATTAACCAGCGAATGCTTTCTCGGCAACTCCCATTCTAGCGTTTTCAGCACTGAAGTGGTTTTTGCAGATACAATCAAATATACACAAAGCCACGGGTTGCGGAAAAAACAATGGATATTACTCTCAAAACTTTTTCCGTAACAAGCGTTCCCAGATGCTTTTGAAATCTCAAGGATAACAGTAAACAATGAAAAAACAAAGATGTCCAACCTGGGCACTAAAACCGAAGTGAAACTGTAGCAGGTAGGGAAAACCTGATCGCCTTTTTTGAGACACTAGAAGCAGACAGATGCAACAAAACAAACGACATTCTAGACAACCTTAAAACTAATGTACTTACAAAATCTGTCTCCATGTTTCTTCTCCAAAATTTCCGATAACAAGATCGTGTAATGCACAGTGAATGAATCCATACTATGAAAAGGAAAGGAAATATATTTAAAACATTAAAAGTTCTTCTGTTTTATATTTCTTAAGGCGCTGAAACAAACAAAAAGCTTATGACTGAAGAAAGGTATCTCAGACTTACCATTTTACAAGAGGATAAGCAAAACAGCTCGCTTCAAGTCATTTCTACATTGCAAATGAAACATTTTTTAACGACAAACAAAGTGCATCCAGCACGCCGTTTGCATCTTTCGACAATCAACGGAATCCGACAGGACTCTGAAAGATCACAAAGACCGTCGTTGTTAATTATAAATCAACCAATCAGCTGGCCACATACAAGCATACCATAGATCTAGAAAGCGTAATCCTTCGGTTTTCTAAAAACTGTTGTCTTTTGTTATTTAACGTGAATATTGAGAGGCTCAAATATTAATTACATTGAAATTTTGTGTGAATATGAACGAGGATTCATAACAATTTTATTTGATGGAAAGCAATATGTCACGGTGCTCTGAAAAAGGAGCAAAGAACTTCATATTTTCATGCAAGCTTGCTTTTTGTACATATATTTATTATAATGTCGAGATCTTAATTAAAAGTTTCCATGATATTCCTTAAGTATTACTTGACATCCAATAAATATCAATTTTCAATTTCTGGTTCTTCTTCGTCATCAACAAAGAAGATATCCAGCTTATCTTCACTTTCTTCTCTTTCGCCCTCCACATTCAAGAAATTTGAAATCTTTATGGGTTGAGCAGATGCTTTTATGGCTATAATTTTTCTCAATTATTTTCTTGCTAACGTTCCAGAAGTTTCAATTAAGACGCCTCCATTTAAACTTACAATCGATCAGAACTGTTAATCCCCTTGTTACGATTGGCGATTAAAATAAATTTTAATTGTAAATGGTACCAATTAATTTTCCTACATATTTATTAAGCTAACATCATAGTATTCGGTTTTTGTAATTTTTAAGATTGCATTTCAGGTAATTTTATGGTAAAGTTGGTATTAACTGATAGAAAGTGCCTTTTTTTAACTCAACGAGATTTTTTTCCACTGGAATTTTCCAAGTTCTCACCGAAATTTAAAATGAAATTTCAAAAATATGACCGAAATTTGTTCCACCCAAAATTAATCCACCGAACTTTTTGGCAACGGATTTTTTGGTACTTCTAGTACTTGGTAATGTATGTAACTTTTTCAACTTTCGGCAATAATTCAATTTTACGAATATGTTAATGATTTGTATCCGTGAACATTAAGAAGAATTTTAACATTCATCCAAATAGTTTTAACTCGTTTAAAGTAAGACAACAAAACCATGAATTCTAGGTAATTTTCTTACACTTAAATACAATTTTTTGGAGATTACGTATGTGTGTTAATGAAATATGCTGCAAAGAGCAGCCAACACACAAACCCATATCCGTAATATCTAGTGTCTTGAAAGATGAAACATAATTTGCTTTTAAAACGTTTAAGATATTGTTGTCTTTAAAAGGAACATGTGGAACATTGATATTCGGAGAGATGGACAGGGCCTTGAAAAAATAAACACAGCGTTGCTATCAACAGAATATTTGACTCTCTTGGTGGATTTTGAACTGGGTCATGAATCCTGAGACTAGACACCTGGCTCAGTTTTGTTACAAGCACTCTGTCGCTTAAAAAGGTCTTCTTTGCATCAACAGCTACCCACACGTTGGCCTGAACCCCATTATTCTGCTCGAGCTTTTATTCTGAGCACGCGAAACTCAAAAATGTTGCTTGCTCGAGGTCTAGAATTCGTTTCCAGAAATTTTAAGGCTTTAATTAAGCGTAGTTGTAGTTACAATTCTTTTAAGTCATATAAGGTAGTATTGTAAGGTCAAACATCTGAAGCAAAATCAAAGCAAACATGAAAAATAAAATCATTCGGAGAAATACTGTAGGTGTTATTTTTATTGTTATTTAGATTTAACATAAAAATTCAACAAAAAACTCGCTTTTATTCAAAATTTGCCAACTTTAATGTAAATAGAGATTTTACAAAAGTAAGATATTTTCATGAAAAATGTGTGCTATTCCTTGATCTATATCCATCTTTGTGTTTGAATAGTATATTATTACCATCATTGTACCAAATTTCTTTCATATTCTCAATATCAGGTTATTTAGTTATTAGCCATACTGTTAGGATGATTAACTTGCATGTAGCGGAAGACATAGTGAAATTTCCAACTGGGAGCGAAAATTTTCCGGGGTAAAGCAAATTTAGAGTGTTATAATCGATGGAATATCGGATAATACTATTCTATCCTGCCTTTTCTGTCTTCACTTTGCCTCCCGTTGCCTCCTATGTCTTCGATAGAAAATCCACAACTTTTATTGCAGACTTAAAGGATGACAATAGTGTGCATATCAACATGCTCGCCATCTAATGCACTAAGACAAGGCGTGGAATGCCAGGTTTCTTGAAAGAATTTGGTGTTTCATGGTGTTTCGTGGCATTTTTGCCTCTTCCATGGTGTTTCGAGCTACAAGGAAGCTTTGATTCTTTAGCTGGTCCTAAAAAACTCGACACGTTTCCAGTGGTGTAGCCGTTAACCCCCATTAAGTCCTTCATTTCATTCAAAACTGTGCTACTGACAAATGCGATTGATCATCTTTTCGTCCCTTTTCAAGTCTTTCGCATCCACGTCTCATAAAAATCGGTTTCAAATCAGTGATCTTCTTGTCTGTTTTCTCTCTTCCATGCTGGCGACATGGCTTGCCCATTCGTTCATTTTTCTTATTTTTCTACAACGTCAACAGATTTTTAATGTGATCCTTAACTTCATTTGTCCAATTGCCTAAGCATGTCATGTTAAGCATTACTCTTCCCATACTTCTCTGTGCCACTGCCAACTTATGCTAGTGTCCATGTTTTAACATCATTTGTAGCTCCTTCCATTATTCTTTACTTCAAATTGATATCATTTAATTTTTCCTTGAGAAATCACCATATTGCACAAATCTTTGCCATCCTGCTGTTATTCAGCTGTCCTTATCTTTAATTGCTTGATTTTTTGATGTAATTATCTGGCTCAGGTGATCATATTCATTTACTTCTTCTATGGCTCACTCTCTATTTGGACCAAGACCATAAATTTACACATGTCCAATATAAAGAAATCTAAATACTTGAGCAAATATCCAAAAAGAGCGATATTCATATGACTTCATCACGTTTATCTTCACTTGAATATTTGGTGAGACAAGTATTGCAAGTCTAATCAATTTAGCTGCTTTATTGTCTAATAAAAATAGATTTATTTACTGATAAAAATAGATATATTAATAGATATTTTACTGATATATCTAGCGTGATACTAACAATGAAGAAGCACAACAACCATTTTCGAAAGCACGACGGCGTTATGCCGCGTTAACCCTCCACTACACCACTGCAAGTTTCATTTATTGTGCCGCTGGTAGCAGCTTGACTCTCTCGATAGCTTCTAATTGTGATATTTTGTGTATCACCTGAGACTCCTGAGACTATATACGTCACCTTTAGTTGGGTTTATTCCAAGTAGTTGGAATCATTTTCAATCATCTGAAGAAATAAAGATGACCATGGATTCCTTAAACAGGCATTAAATTGACAATTTGTTTCTGTCCTTCATAAACTCTATTGAAATTCCAAGTCAACTTTTTGTAATTTTACTGCCTTCTTTTTATTCTTTGCGGTGAAAGTTGTAAAATTAGGCCAATCGCACATGGCAGATTTTCGTCTTTGAAAAAAGATTATAAAAGATATACTTTCTAAACGTTGAAACTATACATCATAGTAATTTAGTATTTGTGTGTAGTTTAATGTGTCTTTATGTTTTCTTAACGGATAAACATATGCTTTTTCTCAGAAAATTGGAGCCTCGTCTCCATCTCATGCAAAACGGGCTTATAATGCGTCTGTTTAAATTCGTCAGGAGAAAGCCTCGTCTCCATCTCCTGTGTGGCGATGATTTCCGATCAATTACCTGGATTGATCGACTCTAGAAACTGGAACAGGGTGCCAAAAGCTTAAAATTAGGGACCATAAAATTAAAAAAAAATCAACTCAAAATAAATGAAACCTAGAAAAAATGTGCTTTCAGCTCCCACTTCTCAAATGGAAAAGCCTACTTGGCATAGTTTATGCCTCAGTATGATGAATTTTCGCCGTTCATCAAGTATGACGATGTGTTCGTTAGGAAGAACAGAGAGTAGACTGGCACGCGCAAAGACAATGTCAGCAAAAGTGGACTATTTCTATGATTTAACTATCTATGTTATATATTAAACAATATATTAAATATTTTACTCAGTGCCTGTGCAGATAGAAGGGGAACTAAACTTGACAGGCGAAAATAAAGTATAGAAAAGTTGATAGGAGTAATAACAATAACAAAGTAATAAAAATAATGTTTGGCATAGTTGACAGACACCAAACTAGAGCAGTAGCTAAATAGAATAGGATTTCTATAGAAATAGATCGTAAAAAGATAGCTGAAACGTAAAGAAAGGCATAAAACTTTTTTATATTTAGAAGGAGATATGATAAAAGTTGTAGCACTCACCATTTCTAAATATACCTAAATATGTCTTAATACTAATTTAATACAGCCATGCCGAATTTGGTTGGCTTTTTCTTAAATTTTGAAGCCTTTTACTCTTTTCCAGGTGCATCTCTGTTGCCTTAAAAAGGTTCCGCGTATATAAAATGACTTCTTAGAACGTATGCATTCTGTAACGTACACATGTAATCAAAGATGCATGTATGCAACAACAATAACAGGAAATGCTTAGATCCAAGAAAAAAGGTGCATTGAAGCTGGTCAATGCTATTGAATCGATCTTCTAGTTATTTCCAAAGAAGTCAACTCGCGTTTGCAGTATATCACAAGTAGATATTTATGAGTGCAGACTTAAAGTGATAAAGTAGGCAAGAGAAGGACTAGGTATGAAAAAGAATACAAGTAAGTTTCTTATCATGCCTCCAAATGCTAACAAATCGCAAACTTTTGTCTTGGCGCGAGTTGCCTTTGAATCCGCTATGGAAATTGAAAACCATCCATAATGCTTAAGTGAAAAGGGAGAAATCAAAATGGGGGACTTGACCTTTCCGGAAAGAACCTAAATTGATAACACAATTTTATCTGCAAGGAAACCCTCCAAAGATAACTCAAAACTTTCTATTATCAACAATATGGTTCCTATGCAAAGCAGATAGATAACTAGACTTGCATCAGGCCCAACATGTAAAGCCAAGAAAAATAAAAAATTAAATAATAAGCGTAAGGCAAGTAAAGCATGAAACAGAACAAGACACAAAAAGTGAAATAGGACTGAAGATCTTAATTAGATAACAACCACATCAAAAATTTATTTCATACAAAACATAAAATGACTTCATGCTACTCATTCGATGAAAATTCAATAGGAAAATTAAACGTGCTCAGCAATCAAATTGACAGACGAAATGGCCTTTCGAAAAGTTTCAATGATTTGACACAGATGCCCATTTAGCTAGGCTTTAGTGGAAGATACAATTGAAAAAATATCCACCATAAAAAATACACGAGCTTGAGTCTGTGGACTTTTTCGAATGCACGTTGTCACTGACAAAATGAAATGACTGAATGAAAACCATGATAGGAATAAGGATGATCTTCTTGATGGAGAGTTAAGCTGGGAGACATTTAATGTTTTTGTTTTGTTTGCCATTGCTTGTTGATCAAAGGCAGTGAATCAGCAGTTCCTGTTCTGCTCGAGTGTGCATGTAATAGTCTGATTCTGACGTTATTAATGAATTTGAATGAACTCACAATTGTTGCCTTTAAAGCAGAGCCCAGAAAATATCGCGATCTCACAGCCAACAACCCTAAAGAAGGCCTATGAAAACAAAAGCTACAACACCAAACCCCACCTAGTTTTGACTGTTTGACTAAGGACAATCTTGGGCCCTTTAGGGTATTATCCAAACGAAAGACGGACATCTTTCTGGACTCTGATTTTAAGTAAAAAGTGCAGAAATTGTTACTGGCAACATGACTGAACATTCCAAGACTTCAACTCAAATAGAACACCATACGGCCTAAATGGCTGCCTCAGCTTCATATTCATCTTCATTGGCATTCCAGCTATGTGTCCATTAAGATAGACATCATCATATAGATCACTGAGCTGTTCTCTGTTGAAATCCGCTACAATCTGCCGGCTATTTCGAATGAATTCTCTCTTCGACATCTTGTTCTTTACGTGGGGGCTGTATAAATCGACGCTTAATAGCAGCAGAGAGTAGGCTAAAACTGATATGCCGTCTAAAAAGCAAAAACGTACCGTAAATTTACAAGTTGATTCAGTGCGGGGGTGAAGTGATTTTTCTTCTATCCTGATCTGTCACTCACGGTATCATTGGTGAATATTCGACGATAACAAGTAAACAATTTTACAAAGTTCTTTATCGAAATCAAATCGCAGTTTACAAAAACAGAGCCGGTTAAAAGGTAGCCGTTACTATCCAAATATTACGTTACTATACTCGTACTCATTCGAACATTTTCGCCTTAGTATTTTGAATGATGACTGATTGGTATGAAATTGTGTCTATGAAATACAAGTTACGTTTGTCTTTTTTATACCTTTTTTGCACAATGCAGGCCTCAAACCTGATTTACCCTGGATCGTAAATAAACGTTTAATTGGAAATTCCAATTTTGTTTCATGGTAAAAATTTGCATAATTGACAGTGTGTCGTGGCCGTTTCCCGGATGTGCAGCCTCAGGCTGTCGGCTGAGATTTGCTTGAACGGTCATTCAGGGGGCCAAAATATCAAACCGGTATTTGCTCATGACTGTTCTGAAGGGATGGGCAGGCATGAGGACTGCATCCGCGAAGAGCGAGCACCTTATATATTATATTATAAATTAACTTCCCATACGTGAATGCGACTCTAATTAAAGGTGTCTAATACTAATTTTATTTCCTTGCAAAGTGCAGTTTCCGTTCGAGAAAATACTGAATCTAGAACTGGTAATAAAATTTGAATGGGTGATATCATTGCGGCCTCTATCTTTTGTAGTCAGTCACATGTCAAAATAATTATCACTGTTACATGCCCAGTGTCTCATCTCAGTATTGTATGGAGGTCTGACATTGGATAGAGATCCCCACTACAGGTTTGTTCTTTAACTTCCCTTATATGGTCTACGCGTTTTTTTATTTATAAGAAACTGGTTTATACCAATAGCCAAAAATTAAAGAAACATAAGAAGAAAAAAAATAAGAAAATATGAAATTTTCTTTCTCAAATGAATTGTCCAAAAGTTTTGACGTTGTTGATTTGGCTTATATCGTACATTGGATTTTGACCTGCATATGGTTATTTTGTGGCTATCTGTGTCCAAATTCTTCCAAAAGTGCTCATCTTCAAACAATCAGGAAATTTAGGTCGCAAAATTAATAAAAAACCACGAACCACGAAATTAATAAAGAACTTTTAATACTTAAACGCCAAAATTTTGATGCCAAACTAAGAAACTTTGAGTACTTAGTGCTGATTCAATATCTTATAAAAAATCTTGTATTACAGCTAAGTTTTGGAAGGATACTACTTGCTCAAGCATCACAAGAATTACAACACTTAATGATAAATGATAAATGCACATTCTATCAGTACCATGTGAAAATTTTTACCTTTTGATAATCCGGAGTTTTGATTGCATTCAAAGTACCAGGAAGAAAATTTTTCCATTAGCATTTCAAAATATTCACCTCTCTGCTTAGGTGGGGGTATCTTCTTGAAAAACTGCCTGTAATCAAAGGAAACATTGCAAGAAACTCGTTACACAAATGAGTTGAGGGAAGGTTGGAAACAGAGTCTTTTTGATAAATGTTTTACAGTTGGCAAGACAAGAAAAAATACCATTGGCTAAATAGCAATCAAATTTATAATTTTAGATATGCTCAATAACGATTGAAGTTACTTTGCATTTCAGTTTCGTACAAATAAAGTCCAAGAATGGAGGGAATTTTTTTATCCGTATATGATGGATAACAATATATGGTAAATATATGGATTTATTTACTAGAAAACCTACTAACTCTACATCAAGGCCTATACGAGAGAGAGAAGATTGCTTATTTGTTGCAGGGAGCCCTGGAAGGTAAACCATTAAATTCTAGTTTTAAAAAACCTAGAATTAAACTCTAGATTTAAAAAATCTAGAATTAAATTCTAGATTTAAAAAATTTTAGAATTAAATTCTAGATTTAAAAAATCTAGATTTACAGTTAATAAAACATTGCTAAAATCGATTTATTTTAAAAAATCACCTCATTGCATCTGACAAAAACAAATTAGTGTAGTCTTGGAAGTGGACAAGCTCATCCAGAACATCGTGCCTGTTATTGAGAAAAACTTTATAACGTATCTATCTAGTCAATGACGTAAATTTTAAACCATAAAGGAAAAACAGTTTCTGTAAATTAATCAGTTAACCTACAAGGCTAAGAAGTTCTACGCATACATGATAAATCTATCAATAAAGTAAATCGAAAAATGTACCTTTCATTCAAGAATGTATGCATACTATTTGAATACAATTCCTTGGTGTTATTAAACATTTGAGCTATTTCCACAGGGTTGTCATCTAGAACTTCATTATCAATAAGGTACTGTATTGCCTAGAAAAGCAATAAAAATCAAAGCATTAATAAATTTGAAAAATGTTGAAAATGAGGAACACCGCAATGCTCCGAGTACAAAACAGCAACAAATAAAAATAAATTATATGGCTCAGAGCCGGTAAGAAACATTAGACCTTTAAAAGTTCTTATCTTAATTCAGACTGGGAAGTTAGTGAGAGAAGAAGGGAAAACATTTTACCCTCTGCTCTAGGGAAGGTGAAAACTTTAATTTGTCATGGCTTTGCCGTGGTTTTATTTAATTTCCGTGGCTTTCTTTAATTGTGAGCTTGAGTTTGAAACTTGATATTTCCTTTCTAAATTCATGGAATCCTTTTTCAAATTTTGTGCTTCCTTTCAAAATGGAAACTTGGTTTTTCGTTTGCGCATTTTTTGCGCGTTACAGTTGTGGGCCACCTTCTTCTTCCTGATTGTGAAAAGATTTCAAGGGCTCGCTTTTCATGTTGATAATCGTTGATGATAGTTAACTTTCTTTTTTGTAACATTGCAAAGAATTTTTACTGAGCTTGTACCCAACGTATCCATATCTAGAGTGAAGCATTCAAAAATAATTTGTGTACAGCTTTGAATGTCAGTAGTTTAAGGATGGGTTGGACAGCGGAAAGGTGAAAATTGCTCGTCAGACGGAATGAGGAATTGGATAAAGATGATGAGCAGTTTAAGAAAAGTAGATCACTTTTTAGGGAGGGGGGGTGTGGTGTCACGAAAGTTGGACCGACTCGCGTACAAATGGACTCTTCGAAACCAAACGAAGCAGATAAAAACTTGCAAAAGTGTTTAACCCCTCATTCCTTTTCTTACAAACTGTATTGGTCACTTGGAGGAGGATTTGAGGACACGTAATGAAATATTTAGCTTTTTTGTCCTAAACTTTTTCTTTAGCTACTTAAAATTGTACATGTACCAAATCTAACTACACAAGCTTTTTGTGTGGAGGGCACAGCAATAAAACGGTACACAGACATGCTATGGGGTTCAGAAAAATTTGAACTCTAAGGAGCCTTCTTTGGCTCTGCTGGCCTTAAAAAACGTAATAAACAGATTGATTCATCCTAGATTATTCCTTGTTATCTTAAGTCACTTCCACGAATGTGTAGTCTTGGGCGCACAAGATAAAAAGAATGATGCCAAAAAGTGCATTCAAAGCTACAATATAATGAAACCAACTCTTGAGATGTTCTTCAAAAAAGATAAATTAAACAGTTGACTTTCAATTCAACACATTGACTTCATGTTTCTAACGAGTAGATATTCTAGGTTTCATTTTCAGAAGGCGTGCATTGAATTTAACAAAAAAAATAAGGGTGGGCCAAAATTGTTTGTGTGGTTGCGTCAAGGGGAATAAATTGAGTTTGACAAAAAAATTCCCTCTGTGTTTGCGTCCTCTTAATTTTTCATATTGCTTAACTATTGTTTGATAACACATAAGTTCAAAAATCATATTTTCATATGTCATAAATGTATGAAAAAATGATCATTTCAAGCACCATTTATTCGTGTCATACTGAACTAAAAGATATGTCAAAAATTAGATTGTCTTGCCATATGAGAGGCTGGTTGCATGATTCTCTCAAATAAGGTCACAGGCGCATCAAGATTCGCAGAGAATCATTGCGCACCATGTTACTTTGCTATTTACTAACTTGCATTGCAGGACAAATAACAAGGAAGCCCCACATCTTGGTTTAGGACCAACTCTTTCAATTATGTTTCTTTCCTCTTTAGCTGTTTTATTCGCGGTTATCAGTAGACTGACACCTCTTTCTTTACTATAAAGCAAAATGCTTGGTGACATACAGAACATCTTCATCATCTTCACATTCAAAGTCATTTTCGCTGGTCTAAAACTGATGGTAGAACTGTCGCATTCTTTCATATACTTCACTGTGATAATCTCCAAACCTTGCTTCCATCAGATGAATCAATGATAGAATCACTTTCTTTTGATTTTCTGTACACTTTTAATGCAGGAATTCTTGGGAAATGGATTCATTTCAGCACAGTCTCGTATCATCTGTTGTCTACCTGATTTGTTTTTCTTTCTATGTATGCCTGAATAGCTTTCTCTTTACTGATCTTTTACAGTTGGAGTGTGTCAAAAAAGCATCCTTGTCTCTTGCACAGACCTTGCACCAAACAAAATTGACTCAGTTCAAGCGTGATTCCTTTATTTAACACCATTTTTCAAGAAAATTTTGCCAATAATAATTTATAACATGATTTTTTTGACCAATGATTTCCAACTTTGTTTTACTTCTCTATTAGGCCCTTGGCACACTGAATAGCTTGTGACATTTTGGAAAGCTTGTGACAAACTTCCATCAATTTGTTTTATTAACAAAAGACAAGCAGCTGGAATTTTTAAACATTGTTGGTACTTTTGCACACTTTTGCTATAAGAATATATTCAAAAATTGCTGTTTTAGTCTGCCCCCTTCTTTTGATCTAATCAATCTTATTTCATTCTTTGGATTTTAAAGAAAATTTTAGAAAATGAAGAGTGCCTGATGATGTCAAAGATAAAAAGTCTTGCACACATGTTATAAACTGCTGCTTTGACCATGTCTGGAGCGTCTGACTGCAGGCTTATTAACTTATTCTTGTATGGAAAACTATTACAATCAAAAAGGGAGATAGATTTAATAAACCTTAAACTGAAACAGGGAATAAATTATAGGATTCATAGTTGACAGGATGTTAATGTGATATTACTTTATAAAGATGAGTTTTCAACTCGATTTACTACATTGCTCTTTGTTCCATTTTTACAAATCCTGTTTTGACCACAGAAAGTTGACCACAAGGCTGAAAAATTCTTACCTGGTGTGGCTCATAAGAAAAGTGAAGTGTTGCCTCATCAAGTAGAAGAAACAACTGCTTGAAGGTCATTACCTGAAAAAAGAGCATTTGAAAAGAAACATTAAATGAAATAAAGATATCTGACATTCAGATATTTGATGACCTACCCTAGAAAACCACTATTTTCAGTTCACAGTATTTCATCAAGGTGAATTGTTTTGCAACATATTTTGGTACCTTTAACAAAAGGCAGGTAATATTTCTAACAAGATAAAGGCAGGTTATATTTTCATTACTTTTCCATGTCAGCCTCGGGATTTTTCAAATTCCTTTGGCCCAAGCCCTACAGAAAATACTTAAAATGTTAGCGCTTAGGCATGACATCCTAAAATATATGTTAAACAAATAACTTTGATGACTTTACGTTGAATTCTCACTGAAAATTTTTTTGATTACCTTGATGGAACTTCTAATTGAGAGTTTTCTGTAAGCTGTGACATATCCCCACTTTTCATAACACAGTCTGAAAGATAAATTTGAAATAACAAACTTTGACAGATCTTAAACTGTTATTTAAAAAAATGTTGAATACAATAATTGGTTTTGAAAATAACTAACATTTTGAGTCATAATTAAGCTTTTTTTCTGACACTCTTCAGAGTATAAAATTCCAGCAAATATATATACCTAGTTTAGGATCAAAATAGGCCAATCAGAAACACAAGCACATGACTGTTGAGGTTGCCCGATCAGTGCTGCTTGCCTATAATTGGAAATGTTACCAATGGAGCCCTAAGATGATAACAAACTTCTTCTGTCTAAACAATAGCGGTTTTTGAGGCTTATGGAGATAGAGTCAAAAACTGCTAGATGGAACAAAAATCTGGCTCTACTAATAATTCAAAACATGTTGCCACTATAGTTTTTTGCACAATCTAGATTTCCAGTAAATGCTGCCTGATAGTAGAATCGCATGTTTAGTTGTAGTTTTAGATCTGTAAGACCAATATGGCTGTGCTCTTTGAAGGCAAGCTTTGGTTCTAATACTAGAAGGGACATGCTGTTTTATTCTATCTTCCAATCTTTGGGTTGTGTGTCCTATGTAGCCAGAATAACACTGGTACATAAACTCATAGATAACAGAACTCTTTTGGGTGTATGGAAGGGCCTTTTGGGTTCTGTAAACAATGACAAAATTAACAACAAAGAACCATTTTGTAATGGCCTGTTTGATCTGACTTTCAAATCGCAAGAAAATGATATTGATCTGTGGTAGTAATTAGATAGACTGGGCACTTTTGAAGGCCAAATTTTAATTCAGCTGAAGAACCTGGAAGTTTTTCCTTAATGTAAATAATAATGACATCCTCTGGATAGCTGTTCTCCAGAAAAATCTTTTTCAGTTGGTCAAGTTCCGAGTCGAGTTTTGACTTGGAACAAATCATCAGTTCCCTAGGTGAGTTAACGTTTTGATAAGGTTGATTTTCCTTTGTTTTAGGGAAAATGAACTCCATCAAGTGTATAACCCCTAAAATGTAGGATTTGAAAACTGGTTAATTTTCACTGAGGCACAGCAACCCAAAACAGAGCATCAATATCATAAATGGGGCTCGCAATACCTTTGCAAAGGGTTTATAAGATTTTTCTTGGCAGAAAGAACTTTCATATTTCAAAAATCAATAGCTCTGAAGACTTCTGTGGAAACAGCCTTAATATGCTCTTTCCAGTCCAAAACAGTTGTCTTGTACAGCTAGTTAAAAACCAGTTCTTCAACAATGGCAGAGCAAGTAGCTAGATATGTAGTCAATCCCAAAGCTCTTTGCTGTCTTGATCTTGGCAAATAAATCTCAAAATAATTTGCATATAAAAAGGATTGAAGTGAAACTCTGACTTGGCTATGTAAACTTGATAGTCACCTGATAGAAGTGGGTAACAGGGGTAATGCTAGAAGCAAGATTCTTCCCTATTGAACAAAAGAAATGGTTAATTTAATTTGAAATGTCTTTATGCTCTGCAGCTCTGGCATATGAATATGAATGACGTAGAATAAAGATATCAATGCCATGAGAAGCATTTCTTACCTTTTCCACAATATGTCGTCCTCTGCCAGGTCTTCCCATACACAGGCAGCAAGACAAAGGTCTGTTGCATTTAACTTGGCAAGTATTGCAATAGCAACCTCAGGAGGCAGCTCTCGCAGATCAGGAAAATCATTTGGGAGCTGATCAATATGTTTACGATGCCCCCTGCTCTGAACTTGACCCATCATCGAGACATAATGTTACCTTCAGAGTTCAACAAAAAATTAGCCAGGATAATTCACAAAAATTCAGCAAAGAAGTCCCGGCTTCTGTTCGCACTTTTAGTACCAGTCCTTGCTCATTTCCTTCTGCCTGCTCTGCCTCAGTTTTAAAAAGAAGCTTGCTTTGCAATGTGACAGGAAACAAATGCTTGCTACATGCGCAAATTTGAGCTAATGCTTTTAGCCAGCATTAAAGTATTAAATTCAAGCAAAAAAGACTGTGTTGCTAATTCCAAGCCAGTAGTTTGTATACCGGAACACCGATTTCTACTTTTCTAATCCTTGTTTTCTTGACATCGCTTTCCAAACTTTCATGCAAGTTTGTTGTTGCTGTTCAAAACAGTTTGATTGTGCGCATGCGTCATAGGACGTGGAAATTTTGACGACTTGAGAAAACGATGACTTAGAACAACACGACAGTCGCGAAGCAAAAACAAAGTCTCTTTAAAAAAATCATGCAAAATACAGTCAAGAGTTTGTTAACTATAGAAATGCAATGCAAGCTAAAACAGGTCAGATTGAAATTTTAAGCATCGGGCTGATCATATGCCAGCCTCAATGTTCGTTGATCTGCATAAAGTTAAGCACTTCAGGGCCCACGCCACAAATCTTGAAGTGGGGGGCCAAGGCTGAAAAAGGAAGGGGCCAAGGCTTCTTACCCCTTTTATTGCAGTTTTAAAACTACTTGCTTCGCAAAAAAGTAGGGGGCCATACTTTTCGTAAGCCTGAATGAATTAAGACGGATTTCCACAATGATGTGGTGTTCTATTCTAGCTATTCGGAGATGTAAAGGTACTGATATCCCTGTCCATTTACGGATAAATTTGATTAAAACTATTCTTGGAAACAAGTAGGCTAAAGCCGAAAAAAAACCTTAAAACAGAATATGCATTATAGATTTCCCAAAAAATTTCGGAAAATTCCACAGTGAACTGCGATAAATCTTTCAAAGACAGGAAAACTTATTTGACCAATTTGTTAATAAAATATGTAAGTTGCGCGTGGTACCTTCTCCAAATAACGACAATATGATGAGCGAATAAATTAAGTTCCAAAATAAAATAGTTTGTCAAAAACACAACATGTTAATGCTTGAAACGTCATGCTTTTAACAATCTAATTCATTTTGGTAGTTAATTTGTTCATCCATTCTATTGTCAAATTCTTAATATTTCTTTATACAACAACCTTTCACGTGGGCAAAGACAAATGTAGACAATAGTAATTATTCACAAAATTATTCAATATTTCATTATACGTTTATTGCTCAAAATTAAAAGCAAGCCAGGAAACGATGATCTAGCATGCCTCATCTACGAGAGATCGATGTGGCTGTAAAATGTGGCTGGTCAGGAGGCAGTATCATCAGCAACTTTGAGGGTATCAGGGTATCATGAGAGGGAGAAAAGAGGGCTACAACTTTGAACGTAGGAAGACCTAGGAGACAAACGGGGGGCTGCTAAATTCGTGTATCTTTCTATAGAACATTAGCGTTCCAAATGATAAGAAGACGAATAGCGAGGGCACAGTCTATTCCGTTTAGAAGAAACTAGGTTGCAGCTGTAAGCTGGGGATGACGACTATCAGGGCGTATTTCAAAGAAAGACGCTCTCGCGGGAAATAATTTTCGCGAGCTGAGACAAACGTGAAATTTTAAGAATAAACTTTCGCGAATCGCTCAAAATGGGAAATTTCTCGAGAATAGACCTTCGCGTTTTCTGAAAATTAAACAGTGTGACTGAACTTTTGAGAACTGATTTTTTGTCAAATCTGTAACATCTGCGAATCTTCAATACAGATGCTTGTTGTGGCATAGTTTAAAAGAGCTGACGTTGAACAAGGTTAAATTGAATTCCAATTGGATCGAGGAGCAACTATGTACCGTATTCCTCTAAAGAACGCCGCGGCGTTGATTACAAAGTCCAACTTTTGGATGCGGCGATCATTAGAGGAAATACGGTATTTCCACTGTTCATTCTCGTCGATCTCCTTTGGCACAAGGAGAGCTAGAAAATGCTTGTTTCGTTGTTGTGAAAACGGAGACAACAATACAAAATCATTCTTTCGTGGAAAGTTATTTGGAACCAATTACAAAGTCAGATGTAGAGCCAAAGAATGAGGTGGTCTTTGACACAGTTTACAAAATTGTCGTGTACACCAGTTTCTCCCGCAAAGAAATGTAAAGATAACCCAGCCTCTTCAAAAAAGTCCAAAGTCATTGGCAAAAGCAGGGATATTTGAACATACGAATCAGTGCAAAGAAATCAAGATTGAAGGGAAATAACAGCCTCTCGATGACATTGTAATGATTGATTGAATAATGTAAATTCTCGCAGAAGACATACAGGACAAGTCTTTTAACTTTAAGCGGAAATTAGATTTGCGATTTTCATATGCAGATAATTCACAGGAATAACATTTGGCAAATTTTATATTTTAAGAAATTTCGCGGGCATAAACCTTCGCGAATGTAGTATCTTTTTAACATTTCGCAGGAATACACTTTCGCAATTTTACCCATTCAGGAAATTTCGTAGAAAATATCGGCCAAAAACACGAAAAACAAGACATTTTCTAACCGCGAAAGTTCTTTCCCGGAAAGTATTTAAATGGTTTGCATGTTTGGGAAAATAGATCATTTAAGATGAACTTGGCAATGTAACCGTGAGCAATCGGAGGGTGATGGCAGAGTAGCAAGCATCAATAAAAACTGACTAGCGCAAATCTTCTTAGATCTTCAAATGACTATTTTTGAATACTTAAATGCCTAAATATTCCAATGCCTAAATACCTTAAAGTCTAATTTAAACTGGTTTCATATTCTGGATATATTGAGGCTTCCTTCACTCCTATGCGATTCATACAATTGCAACATGTCAGGGATGGAGTGACATTTTCATACTTCTTAGGTTGATGGAATCTGTTGTTCTTTAAGAACCATTCAGCAAAATGATTTTTTAATTAAAATCATATATACAAATTTCAAGACTAAGCTAAAAGATCACAAATCTAGAAAAAAAGTTCTCTTAATTGCTTCATCGTATCATCTGGGCCAGTGACTGTGTGCCCAATTGTTCGATCATCAACAAATATCTCGTAGTCGTTTCCACCCTGGATGGGAAAGTCAATACCATAAATGTTGAAACTAAATATAGCATTTGAAGTGTATTACATGTTAATATATCAAACAGCTTTTGTGAATGATTAAGATTTATAACTAAAAAGGGAGTGCATCTTGCATGCAACAGAGGCGTCGATAGGGGGTTAGCTGAGGGTGGAATCTCAAGGCCCGAGTCCTGCCACAACGGTGCCCGTGAAATTTTCTACCCGTGTAGAATAAAACATATTTAGTATCTACCCCAACCTTTACCCGGGGCCCTAAATTCGCTCTAGACAGACCTTGCATAAAAAGCATCCTTTGCGTTTGATGGCATGCCTCAATGCTGCTTCAAGGTTTCTCTGTTCTCCATATGATACACATATACGCTTTTGTGGTTCCGATTTTCGTCTTGACTTCATCCGAAAACTATCTGGGATCTTAAAAACCAGAGAGTATACACATTTGGGTGTAACATTTTACCAGGCTAGGCTGATCCCTGTCAGTAAATTCCTGAAGCCATCCCCGACATAGATAACAAGAACAAGGTGATTTATTCACATGGATATCAAACAAAGGCAATACGACATTATGGAGAAGAAACACAAAACAATTAGTATTAAATAAAAACAATGTTTTTCGCCTATGAATACAGCAAAACTCGAAAGTGTCGATGGTTTGAAATTTTTGTGTGCTAAGCAATATATAGAACCTGAGAGGAGAATTCAGAGTTGAAGGGTTCTGCAAATTGATGTTTACAGATTTATCATAAAGTTCTGCTGTATAGCAACTGTATGCTTGATAAACGCATTAATCATGAAACGCAAGGATGCAACATACAATATCACTTTTTGCTCTAAACACCAAACGCGTTGAACGTTTACATAAAAAGAGGAATTTAACATACCTTATACGTCTTGTCTCCAAAGAAATGAAGGTTCTTTACTTTATTTAGATCAACGTGGTTCAAACAAAATGTCTTATCCCATCCAATCGGAAAAACATCAAAGCTTATTTGGCCACCAATAGAAAACTGAAGCCCGTAGTCTGCAAACTTCTGACGAAGATCTTCAACAAATGTTTCTCTTATTTTGTGGATCTTGAAAAAAATGTAAACATATTCGTTCGAAAAATTAAGCTTTCGTTTATGGTAGGCTTGGAATTTATTCGTGCAATTATATCCAATGATTATATAAAATCTTTGAAATATTTCAACATTAATATACACAACAAAGGCCTAAATCCACCTTTCCAGGGAGGTATTTTTCTAAATAAATGATAGTATCGACAACTTTCTTAATTCATATTCACAGAGCCAAAATATCATCAATCGGCTCAACACTCAATATATATCAGTGTAGCAAGATCTGGAATTTCAATCCCCAAAGAAATGAAGTATTCGATTGAACCAAAGGATTGCAAGAAAAGCATTCTAACCTCGCGTGGTTTAATCGCACATGTGATAAGGGTAGGAAATACATTCATATAGAGTACCATATGGGTAGTCGCGCTCTAATATTTGTTACATCTTTTTGTTATATTTCTGTTGCATACCTGCTTTTCTTTAATTTAACAGTTCGCAATTTATCAGAAGAAACAAAATATTTCCTTACACTCTCTTAAAATAGAAATTAAGAGAAAACACTTGAACACCTTAAATAATCAGATGAAACTCAATTTTCTGTGAAAGTCATAGAAATAGCTTAGAGAGAGCCAACAACACCAATCTCGTCCTGTTAATACTGTGCTTTTATGTTAAAGTGTTATAATTTTAGGCGCAGAACCACAAATTGTTAAGAATGTCGAGGCCAAAAAAATTAAGGCATACCTTTTATAATAAAAAATCGAGATGTGAAGAACTACACTCACTTTTGTATAAGAAACTGGCTATAAGAGACGAGTACTGGACAGTCAGAAAAAATTAAGAAACTTCTGTGCTTAATTTCCTGTGGTTTTTCAAAGCATTCTAATTTTTAAATGAATCCATGTTTTTAACTAGCTGTTTTGATAAACATACAAACCTGATCATATTCATTAAACTGAATTCGCTCTTCCTGACTACAGCTTCTGCCTACTGGACAGACATTTATCAGGCCATTTCGAAATTCTATGAATGTTCCCCTAACAAAAGAAAAGTGTCTTTGTGTTAACTCATTTTCCAATATTCAATTTAGCAAGTGCTGATGTACAAGAATAGGCATGCAAAAGTGGATGTGGGTCATAGGCATTATGCCTACTGTTATCTAGAGGGTAAAGAGGAAAAAATTGCAAATAATTTTTTGGCATTATATTTATAGTTTAGACACATTCATAACTGGGATGTAGAGACCAACCAATGTCACGACAAACAAAAAAGTTAAGGATCTCCAATAAAACTCACTTGATTACAGAAACAAGGATCAATGGAAAAATAGTTTCATCACACATACCTTTTGACAGGCAAAGTGAGTTTTGACATGTACTCAAGGCAATAATTTATAAATGACTGTAGTTTCTCCTCACCAATGTAGTTTGAAATGCTCTTAGAATTAAAAAAAAATACTGTCACAACAAAATTTTAACAAACCAGTATGTAAGCAAACTGAAACATTTCATCAAAAAAATTATTTCAAGAAACTTGAGCTTGAACCAACTTAACCAGAACATGAAAAATTAATGTCAAAGAAATATTACTTGTCAGACACATTAAAAGCAAGCTAAAGGATGTCATCTTATACAAAAAGATTTTAAATTTACCTGTGTTGCAACAAGTTTACCATTTTTGTAGGCAACAAGTCCATTTTCCGCAAATACATAGTCATAACTTTTAACAACTAAAAATGAAAAAAATTGAATGACCTAATTGATACCCTTTAATACTTTTTAACCATAATTGTAGAGGGTTAAATAGTTAGAGGGTGGAGATTTTCAATTCAGGGTTAGAATTACATGGGACAGGGAATATTTTGCCTAATATTCATAGATTGGGGGTGATAATAAATTTACTGTGGTCAAACACTTAACTACCTTTATGGGTAGATTTGCTTATTTAAAATAAAATCATTAACAGCCAGGCATAAAAATAATGGAATTAGCAGAACTTCCTCTTCTCATCATTGCTTGAATATCTCAAATCTTTATATACTGAAAAGCATCCTATTCCATTATGTTCAATTAAGTTGATTTACTTTTCCAATGACTTATATTTGAGGGATTCTATTTTTTATTTGTCCCAATTTACTGGAGATTGATAGCTTGGCAGAAATAGCAAACTAGGGAAGCGGGTGACAATAGATTCAAATAGAGGAAATTTAGTCCACAAACAGGCCTTGAAGAGAGATTCTTCTTGCTGGCAGTAAAATAAACAATTCAAAATTTCCTGCGAAGCTTCTGCAAAGTTTCCAGCCACTGAAAGTGATATTTTCAGGAAAATAAACTGCCATACTAAAAAATAACTCATTGCTGGTCCTTGATTTCTGATAATAGCTATTGGGACTGCAATATATTCGTTTATACTGTATTAGATGATGCAGAAGAACGTGACCAAGCACAATAGTTTGTTTTCAAGTTTAAAGTTAGTAGATCTTTAAATCTATAATTACTTTTATAAAATTTCATATCAGTATTAGCAAACTAGATACTTTATTATAAATATTGATGTATCCTACATCTTGCTCTGGGTTTCTGTTTGCTGCTTTTAGTATCATCAAAGCTAGTACTTCATACAACATGTAAGAATACTATTTTATTTTTCAATGGTTAAAATTACTGTTTTAAATCAGGGTTGGTGCTAGAGGCAAAGATATTAGACCAAAACGCTTACATTCTATAAAGCAAGCAACGAAAAATGTATGCAAATGCCAGTAGAAAAGTACAAATATTATAATAATGGACACATCCACACAGGGTTTGGGGCATGTTCACCTTCAAAGTAAATGATGTAACAAGATTGGCTGTCTTTAAGTCTTTTACATATTATAGAATGGCTGATGTAAAAAAGAAATGAACTTTGTTTTAGCTTGCTTGAATTAAATTAATAGCTGAAAATCATGCCCAGTAATTTGTTATAACAAATGCTGATAATACCAGATGATTGTTTGTGTTAGTAGTGCAGAACAAAAATTATACAGTATGTGTGTATAACAGTGTTCCATAGAAAAAGTGTAACATGAATTTAATGTTCATATTAAAATCAAGCAATGGAGATTTCACGCTAAAAATTTCCTGGCAAACAGCAATAATTTCCTGCAATGAATTTGTGCTAAAAATTTCTTGGCATTTTCCAACCCTGTCCACAAAATCACTGCTTTGGAATTTGAGAGCACATAAAGAACCCAACATATGTCCTGTACATAAGCTAACATTTTAAAAATAATCAAAATCAACATTACAGGATACCAAAATTGCAAAAATTTTGATTCTAACTGGAAAATTTTGATTCTTACAAGCATCTCCACCCATCTGTTCCTTTATTTTGCAAAGATCAGAACCACCAACAACTGCAATGACAACTTTCTTCTGTAAATCTTCCAAAAAGTTTTTCATTTCATCTGTTATAACCTGTTTAGATCCAGAGCTTTGAGTTAACTTTAACCAAGAACCAAATAGTTTAAATAAATTAAAAGACAAGATATTCAACATTTTATTCTGATGATACATTCAAATCATGATGCTACGATCTAAATGCATTTGCATGTTACTTGAAAATATTTAATGATGACAATAAACGACAATAATCCTAATATTTAAATTATAAATTCTATACTTCAATAATTGTATGAAAACAGCAAACAATAGGTGATTTCCCTGGAAGTTATTTTACTGTTTAGCTGCAAGCATTCTTTTATAAAATACTAAGATCAGGATTATATTTTAGTTTCATAAGTTTGATTTTAAAACTAAAAGTATATCAAAATAACACACAAAAATGCAAGGCTCCTCCAATATGTACTTGAACAAAATATTCTACAAGCAAATTGAAATAATATAACTCATAACATCACAAAACATATATCATAAAACAGAACACCCCATCTGTCACAAGGGGTTATTTTTGTTTATAAAATTCAGATGAGCCCGAAAAAGGTAACTTGTCATCTAAAAGAATAATTTCAAAAATATTATTTTTGTGTAGTTTTTAAGATTTATGGTGATCAGTATTAAGGCTTCTTAATTTTTTGCCATCTTTTGTTGACAACTTTTGTTGGAGTGAAAGCAGTCTGTAGACAGATATGCGAAAGCTCTTCATTCACAATTTTTTTAGCCACACTTACTTTTATGCTCTTTTGTCAATTTAACAACATTGCAAACTTTTTGTTGCTGTAAAGATTGTTTTCAAGTTAAATTTCCTTTCTTTTTGCTGGTGTAAATAAAACCAAATACATGTACGTAATAACCATTTGTTCAATACCCTTTGAAAACGAAGTTTTCTATTAAGACTATACGACAAAGTATAAGATTTTCTGCAATATTTTAGCAATTTTATAATATGACAATGCTGTTTCTTGGACAGAAGTCTAAAATTGTTCTTGTTTAGGTGCCTTTTGTAGTTTGTACAAAAGGTCATTGTGAAAGGAAAACAAACCGTCAAGTTGTGAAAGTGCATAACTTTTGAAAATTGGAAAACATTAAGTTTTAAAGGGAAGAAAACAAGAAGTTCTATAACCTGTCGTGGTGCAGTTAAAGTTCCATCAACATCGAAAAGGCAAATAGTTTCTTCATCGCGATTCCCAGATGTAGCCATGTCTATAACGTCAACCAGAGTCCTTTCCACTAATAATGCGGCAAAGCCAACAGCCACGCCACATCACTTCGCGCCTAGAAATCAAAACACGGACGTGGCGAAGGCTCTAAATCGAGGCAGCCACTTTACTTCCACGTTTGAAGGTACCGTTTGGGCCCCTGTGGGCCTGCAATGTGATGTATAAATATTTGGTAAAATCACAAAATTTGTCGCATCGATCTTGTTTAGGGAAAATGCCAAAATCAAGGCTAAACATTGTATTATTGTATCAGTACTGGTTCTAAGACTGCTACCCTGGGTACCAGACTCACTCCATATAAGACTGCAGGGTACAAGACTGCAGACCTGGGACCGAATGCATCTGCGTGATCAAGGACCATTATTTAGAAATTTTTATTAACCAAAATTATTCTCTAATTTGTCTTTCGATATAATTCCAACGCCTCAAACTTCTGCCCTGTATTTTCCTATTCCTTTTTTATATATAATAATAATGGATGGATAGGCCGAAATGGCGCTCAATCTACTACAACAAAACAAAACGTCGTAATTTTAAATGGTTAATTAAAGTTACTACATCTAAAATATTACTACAAATGGCTGCAAAAATTATAACAGCTTAAATATACAACAGCAAACTGATCAGCGCAATTTTTCAAAAGTTCTGAAAAATTTCACGCATTTGGAATGCTCTCCTTACTGTTATCGCAAGAATTTGAATCAATTCTTCTTGACTCATCATCTAAATAAACTTGTTTTCATGACTAAATTTTTTTATATAGGGATACCTCTCTTCAATTTTCACCAACAGATTATTTCTTTCTTCAGATTCTTTTATCCTTGGGAGTAGGCTTGTTGCCATATCTGCCAGTCTCAATATGCAAGTTTTGAGAACTAAATCTTAATCTGCAAAGCATACTTCTTGTTTTAAAATCTGGAATAATATCAAGTTGCAAATCTAACGTAGAAGTGGTTTTTAATTGGCGCATAGGTCCGTAGCTTCTTTTCGTTAATGATGTGGCCTTTAATTTTTTCCTGATGCTTGAAGCGAAATGAGGCATTACCTTAGATTTAAAAGCAGGTACACTACCAGAGACATTAATGTTGTAGAATCAAATGTGATCAGGTCCTTGGTATCTGAAACCCAGGTTTTTTAACACTAGTCAAAGCATCATCTGATAACTTAAGGAAAGCGTTTTGCGTAGATTTTCGGACTTAAATTACATAATCTGAAGTAAAATTTAATAACGACAATATGCCTCATAGCTAATAAATTAATTCTGCCTAATTCCGCATAAATTGCATCTGAGGTCGTTGGTGATTTGACCTCAAGAGCACAGTTGCAGGTTTGCAAGTGTAGTTTTTCCCAGAGTTGGCCACTCCTTTTGGCCCCAAACCTCACACGAATAATTCAAAATAGGAATGATCAATTTGTCGAACGAGAACATAAAAAGCCTCGGATTCAAACCTTCCTAATCCCTATTTTTCGATAAAAGTGCGTAATACGATTTCTGAGCCTTTTCTTTAACTGTTTTGACATGATCACCAAAAGAGTCATTTGCATTAGAAGTGATACCAAGATACTTACTCGAGTTGCAAGATTTTACCACACATTTACCGATTTTCTATGCATGTGATGATATTGATTTACTAGTTTTCCTACCAACAACCAAAATTTTTGTTTTATCAATATTTACAGACAATTTAAACCTATTTGTGTAACGATCGAGCTCAGTCAGCTGAGCTTGCAACCATCTGCTGTATCAGAGAGTAAAACTAAATCATCAGCATAAAGTAACGTGCTGATTTTAACGTTACCCAGAAACACGCCGAAGGAAGCTTCATTGATATAACTATCCAGATCATTCAAGAAAATAGATTGGATAGCATATGTCTGCTGAATTTTACGTTGGAAACTATTTATTTAACAAGGGGATGTTGGTTCCAGGCTGAAAACAGCCAGCTATTTAAGAAAATAATGATAAAATAAGCTACTACATTAGAAAAGATTCAGTGCTGGTCGCAAAATCACTCGTGTCTTACTTTTTCTTCAGCATAAATTACAATTACGGAGGAAAAATTAATACCCTTCAATAATTGACTTTCTATTGAAGAGCGGCGAAAGACCCCAACCTCTTCTGCCCCAATCTTCTCCACCAACTCAGTTTCAGTTAAACTCAGTTTCAAATGGAGCTTTGGAAAGGAGTGCCTGTCTTTGGAGTTGGTGAATGAATCACAGTGCAATTAAAACATTGACGTTTAGTGACTGGGAAGGTAGAAAGTGCTTTTTTATAATAAAGGTTTGTATGCTGAAATTGCCCATGGCAAACATTAACATAAATACAAAAAACTAAATACAATATAAAAAGCAAGCAACTAAGAACAATGTACGAATAAAGAAGGAAAATTCAAGTTATATAATTAATGTTATGTAGATATGCACATAAAGCTCATCCTAAACGATTCCCGTGATTCTAGCCAGCGATATGAAATTAACTATTGATTTTCGGCTGTCTTATTCTTTAGCTCAACAGCAAAATAAATTTATCACGCGTATCAAGGGATGGAATTCTGGGAAATTTTGAAAAAACCACACATAACATAGACTTCATAGCATCCTGGTAAAACGGAAAATACCAGAAAAAGATCTTAAAACAAAGCCTGGCTTGGCACACGAAGCTAATAGTTTAGATTCATATCGCTTTGGTCTTCTACGTCACAGCTGCCGCAGAAAAGATAGAAGGCATCAGCTATCCTGTTAATAAAAAGGTTGCCTTGATAACAATCGCCTTTACAAAAAAGATCTATACAAGAGGTGAAGAGTCTAAATTTCACCATGCTTTATCATTTTTAACATTAAATTAATGTTTTTTCGGGTGTAAGAGATATCATAACCAGCAAGCTTTAAATGTAATATTTTATGTTATTTTTTGCTAAATGAACTACTGTGCCTCGATTATGTGTGAATAAGTATCTCGACTAATAGTCAAAAGGATTCAAGTTCAAGCTGTGGCTTCCATTTCATAGCCGTTGTTAACATTTGAGCCATCTTTAAGTTCATTTGCCTTCTTGCTATTCCACGCTTTTGATATTTTGAGTCTTTTATTTATCAATGGTTTTCCCACGAGAGCGACCACGCACATTCCAAGAAGAGCAACTCCCAAGATCAGTCCATGGGTGGACGTGAACTTTCCGCTATCAGCTGAATTTTGATCTATGTGGAAAAATACGGTAATTATAACTGGCATCAGAAATCCTCAAACAAGTATAAATTGAAAAAGATGTCTTAAATATCACATTTATTATCACACCAAGCAAAGTTCAAAAATTCAAACTAGGGTTGGCACCCAAGAGCAGGAATTTTTTTACTTTTATCAAGGTTCAAAAATTGGTGGAAAGAAACTACTTTAGCTGGCACCGCAGTTAAGATTATCATTATTTCTATCTTATTTGCTATACCGCAATCTAGCAATACAGACAACAGTCACACACGAGTTATGTCTATTAGGTACAACTACCATAGACAATAGCTTTCTCCTTTGTTTTTTAAAAATATCATTCTGCAGTAAGCTGCTACTACTATTCACCCTGCTGGTCTGTTTTAAAAAGCAACCAAATTGTTAATTTTGACTGTGACTCCCACTGATTCAAAACATTTATACGCCAATTTTTTAGAAAATTTACTTGATTACAGATGTTTGGAGTTTGTCAATCAAATTTGTAAAATTCTATTAAACTCACTATTTTTCTTTGCACCAGAGTTCTCACTGGTTTTCAATGGTCCAAGATTCAGATCATATGTCTTTGAGGGAGGGAAGTTTTCCTTCGCAACATCTCGTTTCTGAATGCGTTTGCTCTGATGCAACCCTTCATTTTCAACCTTGCTTGCGATCAAATCATAGTTGAGCGTCATAGAATTTTCTGTTTCAGATTCGGCCAAATCATGATTGGAACTTGTGGAATCTTTGACCCCGGTCAGCGACCTTCGCAGTCTTCTAACATTGTTTCCTCGGCAGCCAGACGAGCATCGAGAATCTGTAGAAGTCTTATGGCACATGAAAATTTGGCAATGAAGATAAACCTGATTCATTTTCCCAACAAATGCAAAGGAATCGAAACTGAACCGCATATACTGGAGGTCCTGAGTCGGATGAAACTGTACGGTGGAATCAAATGAACACCTGAAAAAAAAATTGTTTCCGAATATTAGCCTTAAGTTAAGGTTTTATGGGGAGATACTGAGAGTTGGGTATCTAAAAATGGTGGCAATGACGTATTTAGGGCATGGTGTGCGCTGGGCTACTGAGATATTGTTTGGGCTGGAATAGTGCATCTAAGGTATGATGATGGGTGGCATATCTAAATAATTCAAAAAAGGCAACTCTAACGATGATGTCAGTAGCGTGTCTAGGGTGCGGTGTATATGCGGTATCTTGTTTATGGTGTGAGCTGGGTAGCTGAGGTAGGACTGTGGTAGCAACAGTAAGACCGGGTGGAAACTCGGGTGGGCATTTAGCATGCAACTCTAGCAGATGATACGAACTCTGCAGCTATTTGTAGTTCTTCTGTATCATAGCACTATATCCTCTCACCATTGAAATGTTTTATGAAACCAACTTGGGGAATAACTGGAGACTGACTTTAGGAAATACGTAGAGATTTAATAATCTTACATCCTAGTTGCTACGATTTTTTGCAACCCTTTATTGTCTGGTTGAATTACACGATGCAACAAATACTTTCTTGCACAATTTTAACTTTAGGATTAGAAGCGACATCCAGAAACTCCTACCTGTCTTTGATCAGAGTATGACTTGAAGGGTGGTTCATGTCCATGGTGGGCGTGGCAATGCACTTCTCAATCAAAACAGCAATGTCGCTGTCATTTGATTTAACTTTGGCCTGAAAATGTATCCTTTGATTTAGTTTAACTTCTTGTGGAAATTCCCCTACAGGCTTCGTGAAGTCTGAACCATTGAACATTTCAAGTGAAACAGAAAAATTCCCATAGCCAGCTGAAAAACACGAATATTTTGAATTGATCGGAAATTCAGCGTACTTGCTTATAGAACCTGGCAGAGTGGGGAGGGGTTAGGGAGGTTAAGGAGGTTAACAGGCCATGGTGTTGGCCTAAAATCTTCAAAACCTTTGAAGATAGCATAGCAAATGCAAAAAGAAGCAGGAGTGGCAGCATCACCATTTAGTTATTGACAGCATCATTCATTATTCATAGTAGCATATGGGTAGTTGTTTTTTGCTCTTTATCTAAAGTTGGTACAATGTCTAGCTACACTAGAGCTAATTAAAACCAGCTAAATTGAATTACCGTCGCAAATATAAAACATATATAACCAAAGCTTCATATGTTTTTTACAAAAGACACAAAAATCATTAAACGATGAAGGTTCTGAGATTTTTTCCTTGAATATTTGTAAAGTTGGGGCTTTTTTATTTCTTTGGTGATTGAGTTCCAATAGCTCCGTTGTCTTAAATTTGGAGTCCTTAAGTCAGATGGCACTTATTTATGGAAAATAACTGTTTCATTCATTCGTTTTTAAAAGTTGTTCAAAAGTTGATTAATAATCGTTATGAGCTATTCTTTCATGAATCCTGCTTTAACTCCGGCTATAAAACATCAAAATAAGAGGATAATAATTAAAATATAGTAAAACTGATGCTTGCATTATTTGCTTAGTTTCATTTGTTACCATGATAAAAAAATCTTCCTACTAAAGAAACATTTAATTATAAAATACAGATTTCTTGGAAAGCCACATTCCACTCTGTTACTTGTCAGATCCCTTTTAAAGAGCTTAAAATAACAGATGCACATGTAAAGCGGCAAATTTTCTTTATTCGAGAGTTACACATTTCAAAAAAGCAGCCTAACCCCTTGATTTTGTAGTTATTGTTTCGCAGTTCTGTAGTATTTTTGTGTTTTTGTATATTTCTTTGACGTTGATGTTTCTAGAACATTGTAGGAGGCATTTGTAGTGGGGACCCGTTGACGATGTGTCCGTCCTCGCTAGAAATGCCCTAGTACCATGTACCAAAATGCTGTTTTTAGATTTTAAAAGTATGTATAAGAAATATTTTCCATAAGCCATTACAGGATTTACCTTCACTTGCTGTAAGGAAGGATGTCGTTGCTCTAATAATGGCATTATTCGTGTCAGCATGGCGGGAAAACGAGCAGCTGTATGATATCCTTTTCCCACTCAACCGAGAGATGGTACCACCATTACCTCCAAATGTCCAAATGACTTCATTTTCATAGACAATATGCGTCATTGTTTCTCTTTTAGTTGTTCCACAGTCATTAAATGCTGTTATCAACCCATATCGGTTGACAGGGACATACTTTTTTGCAGTGCAGTTACTGTGCCTCAAGGTAACTACAGTACCATTTGACATCTGGAAACGGGAGTCTAAGTATATCAGCATCCAGTTTGTATCGCAAACCACTGTGTTTACGCCGTCTGAAAAGTGTTTGTTAAAATACTAAAAAGTTCAATTCTTACAAACTGACATGTAAAATTTGGCTAAGTATCTTGTTTTTTAAAATGTGTACTTACGCGGGGTTTGGAGTCAAGCTCGTGCATAGAACAAGACAATGCAAATAAATAGTATAAAAGTCCAAAGCAACACAGAAACAATTTAAACTATTGAAATAGACCTTGTAACCGTTAGTAGGTAAATACTTTCTCTTCTAGAAGCTTTTATTCTTCGAGTTGTTTCGACATAAAAACTGAATACTTTCATTGCATGGATGATTTTTAAGGAGAACACTGTACCAATAGAATGTTTTTGCAAAAATTGTGACAGACTTTAAGACAAATTTGTAACATATTGGTAAGACTATGTGCTTGCTAACCATCACAAGTGGTCCCATCTCCAAAATATCCAGTATTGCACTCGCAATTGTATCCTCCGGCTGTATTGATGCATTGAGCATTAGCGCTACACGAATGTGCTCCTGAATTGCATTCATCAACATCGAAACACGAAAAGCCGTTTCCAGTAAACCCATTCTTGCATGTACAGGTATACGAACCAACAGTGTTTGCACAGTTTGCATTCGAGCTACAGTTGTTTGTACTGCTTGATGCACATTCGTCTGTGTCTAAATTCAAAAGTAAATGATTCAGTTTTTTCTCGCTGAAATTTATTTTTGCGTCGTAATTAGGAGCTCCAAAGGAAATCTCCTATAAAGAAAGATATTGTTCAACATAGAAACAATTGTCAAGACTTACAAGTCGTCGGCAGGGATAGCACAGCCATTAGGCTGATAGGCCCCTATGAGTTGATAAGCTAAAAACTTGAAGCATATCAACTAATAAAATGCTTAAAGTTGAACAAAATAGAAGATTTTAAATGGTCAGAGCCCAAAGAAATTGGATGGTATTGGACCTCCTCGTGTGTATTTGTTATCCTTTGTACCACTTAGTTGTTTAACTGTTTGGCTCTCATTTATGAGGTTGGAATTAAGAATTCAGTATTCAGTTTAAGGTGATACGACAGCCTCTTTTAAACCAACCAGCCTCTTCCATTTTTCTTTTATTTCAATTTTGCCAAGCTTTATCGAATTGCTTTGCATGCACCAATCATATTTCATCAGCAGATCCCTCAGCATTGGGGTTGCTGTTTTAATTATGTAGACTTAGATAGAAGCAACGTGTGCTTTGTGATTGTCTTCTCGAAATCTTTACGGTGCTGGTAATGCAAAACATTAATGCCTTCAAAACAAAACATAACACTAGACTGTAGTAGTTCGAACGTATGTACATATTGTGTTTCCTCAAGGGACGCCGGAGAGGGGGGCGGGGCGCGGGGGGTCGACCACCCCTGTGGCCTTTTGATAGGAGGGGTAAGGGGGACTAAAGTACCCTACTCACAGAAGTGCCCTTGACGCCGGCCTTTTGCAGAAAATCCATGAGATTCATACGAAATCCAGACTGTACTGTCTCATCTATGACGACATTTCTCGTAGCCTCAGCCCCAGACTACTTTTAGTTTGAGGCCGGGAACTCAGACTACATTTCTCGAAACTTATGAAGAAATTCCTTATGCCATGCCATAATTTAGCTGATTTTCAAGATACCGACAGAAGACCAGAACAAAATGACAGTTACGAAAGAATTGTTGGTAGCTGGGAATCAATCTTTTCAAATGCCTTTTTAATCAAACTCGCCCTCCCTTGCCCCTTAGTCCTTCCAGCGTCCTTGATTTCCTCTATTTGTAAAGGCTGCTCACACTTTTCTGCTCTAATATAGATGTATTCTATATTATCACTCTAATATAAATCTATTCTAGTATATCACTCTGTAAGTAACTGTGCTTAGTATTATCTTAAATATGACCTTGGCTTAAGCTTGGTAACTCTGTCTTTACCAAAGAAGATATAGAGAAAATTAAAATGGGAATTTAGTCAAAAAATCGGTCATTGTTCAAGCTCTACAACGAGTAACATCTTGGCTTAGGAAATAGATCGAGAAACCTGATCCAGAATAACTTGGTGCCAGCACCCAACGATGGAGTCTTTTTTTCTAAAGCCTTAACTTGGCTCCCAAGGTCTATTTGTTGATGGAAAGTTTTCAAATCCAGAGTAATTTTTGACGACACATAATCTTCCATTTTTAGTTGACGGTGCTTCTGTTAATATTTCAATGTTAATGTGTTTGTTAAACCGTAATTCATTTATTTTTCTGCCCCATCTTATTTTGGTTCCTTTTCAAATTTTAAAAAAGCTTGATTACGAGTTAGGGCGGGTTTCCACTTTGGCGTTCAATCGCGATCGCAAAATTGATTTCCTCTCTTGAGATTTGGTCGCGCGATCGCTGTCAGTGCCCCCAGTAGATTTAGGCGCAAAAAAAATTTGGCGATTAATAGGCGATATATGTTGATTCTCATTTTGTTGAGGCGACGATTGAAAAGAAAGGTCCTGTAGACTTTTGAGAAAAAGAGATTTCGGAGAAGGAAAATATATGCAAAGCGATGTGAAAAGGGAGAGTAGCTATCATCAGCTTGTCAGAGAGAAAGAACCTTTTTGACAAGGAATACTTTTTGCAGCATTTTGGGATGATACCTGATCGCTTTGATGAACTTTTGAAGTACGTTGCCCCCAAAATGACAAAGTTTTCTCTCAGAAGAAAGACGATTGGTCTGTTTAAACAAGATATTTTTTCTCAGCGTAGCAAAGCGTGGAGTTGATTTTATGGATAAGAGCCAAAGAAAATAAGACAGAGGAATGAGGCGTTTTACGTTAACCAGCAAAATAACGAAGCATCTAATTAATTCTTAAGAATCTGATCGCAAAAAAGTAAAAATCTATTCAACTCCCAAAAGCAGTGGCGCGATCGCCAGTGCAATCAGTCGCGCAATCGTGCGACCAGAATCGCCGGAGTGGAAACCCGCCTTTACTAGCCTGTGCGCAGACTCCAAGTATCTTACCATAATTCTGGTAAGATACTTGGAGTCTGCGCGCAGGCTAGCCTTTGCATAAAAAGGGTTGTTTTTAAAAATTGCCAGATCTTTTCTATTACAAGTGAACATTACAATAGACGAAACTATGCGACACAGAGATAAATAGAAGCTTGAAAATAATTCCTCTGATTTTCCTTCAGTCAAAACCCATTTTAGATACAATTTCTGGCCATCCTTAGATACCATATTTCCAAAACGTTTCTTGCCGTCAACCACAGTTGCGGCCTTTCCTAAACCCTTTCAAATACGTTTCGCCGGCCCTGAAATATTAAGAAAATTGACAATCATACCAGCACAAGACATCTTGACTGACAAAACGCGGTCCCCAAAATGAACTCCATTCTCGAATGTTTGCCAGACACCATGAAAGCCAGGTTGAAAAATTTTGGTGTAAGGCAGTCCGCCATTAGACTGTTGTGCTAGCTGCGCTTTGCACGGGCCTTTAATGTCGATTGCGTCGATGCCACCGCAAACTGACTGCCAGTTACCATTACCGATAACAGGCGTGCAAGGATTCCAGGCGCATGCAGACGTTGATATGCCTTGAGATATGTAACTGCAGGAGAAACCATTTCTTGAGCCGCAGGCAGGTGCAGCTTGACAGTCCCTGTAGATGACAACTGAACATGTGCTTATGTCACAGCTCCCTGAAAAGAAGGACGATGTTTAGAAACATTCTTTCCAGAACTGTTCCAAAGTGATTAAAAGACCACAGCGGTGGTGTTTGAAGAGCAAGCAAACATACCTTCAACCAGCAAGATCACTGCCAGCACTTGCAATATACATAATGTCAGTCGCTGCATCCTCCCCATTGCTGTAGCTAGAATAGAACCAATCTACTTCAGACACTTTAGTTGAAAAAATTTCAAGCACATCACACCTAACTTAGTTCAAACTAGCAGTGGCACAAGAGATTATTCGGCCGTCCCTGTGTTCTAATTATCTAACGAACTCAATATATTCTGAATCTCAATCTCATTTTCTGTCTGAAAAGCATGCGGTTGAATAAACCTAACTAGATCAGATTCGGCTAGGCCTACTCGGCTAGGCCTACGCAAAGCAGCATGCGCCACAAGCAACAACAAAAATCAACGCAAACACCTTTACGTTGTTACATTAATTTTGAAGTCGCTCATGAAATCAGGTATTCACCATGACCAATCTGAATTTGGGAATATTAAGTTCTTAAACTGTACATTTCACATGGACAGACACCACGATTAACCACATGATCAATGTGGATGTACACCATTGACTAGAAGTGAAACGGGTGAATATATTTGACTTATACTTACACTTGCTAGATTCTTGTCAAATGTCCGAGAATTGAAAATAGGAATTTTGCTATTCTTCATCAACTGTTGTTGCTCCCGTGTTTAACTAAGAGATGAGGCGGTGCCTTTCCTTATATAGCAAATGTCAGCAATCAAAAACTCGTTTTCAAAAGATAATGCCAATGAAAGGGAATCACACAAAATTGTTTTTTAATGAATCAGCATAACATTGAATACATGAAACGGGAAAATTAGATACCTTTTGGAAGAGGAACATGAAACTGCTGAAATGTACAGAGAAAATTTCCCCTTTGATTAGCAAATTCTAATCGTTAAATAGACATGTTAATTAGGTCTGTTAACACAAAATTTTGCAACAATCGTGCAAAATATGATACCAGCATGAAAACTTCACAACTGATGTAGTTTGAGATGTAGAATATGATGCAAAACAGACCCAAGCTGAAAACTTTCTCTGACAGCCTCTGACAGCTACTTATTGATTGCAACATTCGCAAGTTGCGCTGCAGTTACTGTTAGGGAAATTTGATTAGTAATCATCGTAATTAAGAGGGTTAATTGGGGGCATAGATAGAATTATAGCTGCTTTCTATACCTGCTTTACGAAATACTGTCAGATCAAGCTGCGTTTATAAGGTCTTCAAACACAATTTTCGCAAATTATTGGGGGGTATTGCCCCTTGCCCCCAGTGTCTACTGCTAAGGTGAACTTCAACAGAATGACGCAAGTGCAGCCCTCCGCTTAATTAAATAATTTCATATTATCCGCTGCTTTATAATCAATTGCAATAAAATCGTATTCTTTTTTTTTGAATGGAGAATGCGATGTAGTTTTAGTTAGATGGGAGTGCGAAGTGTAAGACCTTGTTTTGCGAATGAGTACATGGATACATGAAATGGTGTTCTTCTTCTTTATTTCTGCTACCAGCGCACACAGAGATTAGCTCTGTGACAGTTACCCTTGTCCTTTTTTGGTATTTAGCATCACTTGGAAACCGCTCAAGGTGGTCCAATTGTTTTTACCAGCTATGTCTTCCAATTTTTCGTTTTCAGGACAACTCTCGACTTTTTTACATTATAATTATGATACCTGCTGTTTCTGGCTTCGCTTGCTGTTACTCTTCGGCTCTTTAGTCCTAGCAACAATGTTTGGTCATACTGATTTTTGCTGTATATTTTGCTTTACCTTTCCTCGACAAATTTTGTTTTTTCTAGGGGAATTTTCTTGTACACAAGAGGAACCTGTTTTCAGGGGTGGCGCTGAGATTATACAGAAATCTTTCTGATTTCGCATAGAGATAACTAGACTATGACTTCACGCAAAGAAGACTATGACTTGAACGAAGTGTAAATATCTATAAATATTTTGTTGGTAACGGTTTGACGTTTGACTCGTTTTCTAATACCTTTATTAACCGCTCGCAGCTTCTTTCGTGGGTAAATGATTCTCAGTTTTCAAGAAGCTACAGCGACTGCACTCGGCAGGTACATAATGATGTTGCAACATTGCATAGAGGTGACAATCATGATGCTATATAGTGCAATATATTTGAAATGACGCAACAATGTTGTGCATTTTACAGTATTTCATGACAACGGGTTGAACAGGTTGAATGATGAGGCAAAAAGCCAACCAACCCTAAAAGAATTTAAGGAAGGTTTAATAAAATCCAGCACTGCATGAGTCGCAATATTTTAAACATTAATATTTTTAAATCTTATTTCTTTTATTCTTATTTTATCATATATTTATTTTAACTTAAAAGGTATTTAAATGCATGCCTCCCTGTAAATCAATTTTTCTCTAACTGAGGGGCTTCAATGCCTTAAAAACTGAAAAATGAAATGAAATGGAAAATGACAATCAGCAATTTTTGATAGTAAGACAACAAGAAAGGGGATATTATCATACCTAAATTTCTTCTCAAAGTTTGACATCCATTTGGCCTGTTCGGGTGCTTTAATTTTGTCGGATTAGGAAGATGAACCAAAATATTTCTATAAAAAATTTGCAAATCAAAGTCCTTCAAAATCAAATTAAACTTCTTCAACCATTCAACAGAAAATTTTGTCGACCATAATCTGAAAAATTGGAGTTATACTTAAGCATCTATAACGATTTCTAGGCTGGATTTCTGAAGAAATCTGAAGCATTTCCCTGCCTGCTTTATCCTTAGACAAACAGAAATCTTGTAACAGTTTTTCAACGATTTAATAGGAGTCTGGTGCGATGAACGGAGAAAGAGAAAGGTCAATGGAAAGATAAGCCAACGGAGAGCAGGCAATGCAAGAAGGTGTCGGACTCTTTTGAAATTAACTTTATTCCGCAATTTTAGGATGCAATAATGCAGTACCTATGTCAAAAGAATTTTCCTCAAAAGAATTTTCCTCTGTCGCATTTCTCGTGATTTGCGCTGCGCTAAGAACCGTCGATTGAAGCTTTCCTTTATTTTCCTCTTGGTCGGTGACGCAGCATAACTGGGAAATCCAGTATAACTTTGAATTTCTTCACAAAGATACTTGATGCTATTGAAGAGTTGTGAAACTAAGCATTGTTATAAGCATTGTTGAAATTATTAAAACACAACATAGCAATTTCTATTCTCGCATATTTGTCGAGAATTAAAAAATGTTATTTACAACGAAATTTGATGCACGGACGGACGCTTTGATGCACGCCGGTAAGGGCAAAACCGGAAAAATGGAATAGATTGTTTGAATGACTTTTAAAGAGGAAATTTAGAGCTTGGTGCTTAGAACGGAAAGAAAAATGTGATTTTTTTAAATAAACTGCAAGTTACACAGAACGTTCATTTTGCTCTATTCATTTGCTCTATTTTGCTCTATTTTTGCTCTAAAACATAAATTGTGAAGAGTTACTGCAGTTTACAGTACTGATAATCTCGCCGGTTGCTTAAGTCGAAAGGCCTTTGCGAAGCGAAATACAGGTCACAGAGAGAGGTAGATGAGGTTTCCAGAATGCCAAGGGCACTGGTAGAAAGGTTAACAAAGATACACATTTATAGGCAGGGCTCAGTTCCTTGGTAAGATCGCTGTATTTCTTAACTTTTCGAGTACTGTTTTCGATAAGATCATTATGGAAACTTTTCATTTTGAATCCCAGTTAAAACTACAATTACAAATCTCACTATTACAAGGCAATTTGTAAGTGGCTAGCCTGTTTTTACAAAATAAGACTATTACAATCGTAGTAAAGAGGAAAGAAAAAAAAAACGTTAAAAGGGGAGTAGCTCTGGGTTAGTCCATGTTTTGTTCCTACAGCAAAAAATGTAATAGGTGGTACGAATGGATATCGTAGAAAGCTTAGAAATGAGATATCGTTTGTGTTGATCATCGATGGAAAGAGATAATAATAATAATAATAATAATAATAACACTAACCCCCTGTAATTTTCCAATACACATCTAAAATAGTGTCACGATGAAACCAAAAAGATTTCCAAAAATAATCTAGCAACTCCCAAATTACACAACTCTCTACACAATCCCCAAAATAGAACTCCCTATAATAGGATCTTTAACTTCTCTCGTGTAAATACATTTTCTCTTGTTTTGAATGAAATGTCAATGCGAATATTAGCCTAATGATCATATCAATGTCCAGCAATAAACAAATTTCAATATTTTTTCATAGGCCGATCATCAGATAGAAGAATATCGGCAGTCTGATTGTTACTCAGTTTCCAACTAGAAAGTTACTCCATCTGAGCTGCTAACGCACAAATAATTTGCTTGCTTTGCTACAGAGAAACCGCTTTTAGAATATGTTAACTTTGGCTTACATTTTCAGCGGTATGTTAACAATATGTTTAGAATATGTTAACGTCAGGTCAGTTTTCGGTCGCAGTTCATTTGCTAAGGCACAAAATTAACCAAAATTCGACTTTCAAAGACCACCCTTAATATCATCAATATCCTCCCCGCAAAAGTCTATTTATCCCTTATTCATTTTCGAATAATTACATGCACGTATTTTTTTTAAGAAGAACCTACCCAAAATACTTGGTATGTTAAGTTTTCTCACTTTTTTGGGGCTTTTGATCCCAAGGTTTCTATTTAGTTTTCCAATTTTGAAAGGGTAATGGAAGTGCTAGCTTCAACAAGTGTGTTAATGACTTTCACTCGACTAAAGAATAAATGCTTAAATTTGAAGACATGACAAAATCAGAAATAAAAAAGTAAGAGTGGCAAATTTCTTTCATATTTTCGAAGAAGATCATTTCGACTCAATTGGTTGCCACAGTGGTGGAAATTCAAGCTTTCATTTGGGGGGGCCCAGGCCTACGATTTTCCGACAAGATAACATCACGGCTGATCTTTACGGAATTGAAATTAAATACACAATTCACAAGCAGTTTTGATTTTGGTCAGATATTGTTTGATTGATTATTTGGTATTGGATAATATTTTATCAGCTATGCTATGTTCAAATTTTGCAAAAAGGGCGCAGAGAGGTTATAAAGGCCCCTGGGGTAAAAAAGGAAACGTGGAAACGTGGAAAATTTGGCAATTATGCCCCATAGATTAGCTTAAAATTCCTTTTCAGAACGATTTCTTGGAGTAAATTCGACACGGTAAACGGTTATCAATTATCCGACGAAAGCTCGAATTTTCTGACGACGTCGCTGATTTGGGGGGGGGGCCGAGCCCCCATAATTTTCGCCACTGGGTTGCCAAAGGGGTTATTCTTGTTACAGAATCTCATACATTGATCTTTATTGCCGCCAATCGAAGTAGAAAGAAGATTGTCACGCAACCATATGTTATTCGAAGAACTATCTCAAAAAAGGGGGAGAGGGGGCTAAACAATTCATTAGAAAATACACTAAATTTGATACGAAGGGCTTGAGAACAGGCTTCGGACAAGAGCTGCTTAGCTTCTCGGTAGAAGCGAATTACCATACTTCAACCCTGTTATTAAGAATTAAGAAAATGCAAAATGCTCATGATGAATTTGTCAAGGGTAAGTGATGGACCTTTATTGATAAGAACACATTTAAGAAATCGATTAAACAAAAAGGACTTTAGAAAACTGGGTGCCTTCAAGAAACGGCGCAAAATTTCAGCGACAACCGATATTGTGCCTATTTTGGCAATCTGAATAAGAGAAAAGGAAAATCTGCAAAGCAGCGAAGCAGGTAAACAAATCTTTGACGTCACCCTTGTTTAGTTGCGAAAATAAAAAACAACTAGTCAGTAAACATTTCGGAAATGTTCGTGATGAGGAAAAATGCAGGAGATACGTCCACTGATATCGAGAATAATGTGGTACAAAAAGAACAAGGAAAATCGAAAATAACCAGTTTAAACTTGAAAATCAAGCGTAACCTGTTGAAACGGAAGTCACGCACATTTACTACCAATAATGTGCATGTGGCAGCGACAGCAAATAGATTTCTCAAGTGTGACGTCACAAAAAATATTTTTAGAATTCTCGAATTTTGACCACATTCCATAAAAGAACACCAAAAATACTCCCATATATGCAAAATCAGTTAAATTTGTCAAAAATCGGGTGAGCTATGGCCAATAGAAAATTTGAAGTTTTTGAACAGATTACTGTTATTTTGGCTCAGTTCATAAAGTTATGAACTGAGACCAAATTGATTGGGCCAAAGCTTGTGCTCATCTGGCAATATCTTTGCCAATTACCTTTAACCTTTAACTGATTCTGCAAATTTAGAGGTATTTCATGATGCTCTTTCAGATTATGGGAACAAATTTAGAAAATTCTAAAAATAGATTTTTGTGACGTCATCACTTGACAACTCTTGAAAACAAATACCAAGCGATGGTGATTCAAAATAGCAAGAAAAGCAAAATAAAGATAAAAGTGATGGCTGATGAAAACAATGAAGCAGAACAAACAAGATGCCTTAAGCTGCTTGGTGTTGAGGTTGACGATGAGCTAACTTTTGGCACTCATATCAGCAATTTGTGCAAGAGAGTGAGTCAGAGAATAGGTGTCTTATCTAGATTTCGTAATATAATACCTACCAATGCGAAACTAACAATCTACAAGTCAGCCATTCTCTCTCACTTAACATATTGCAGTACAGTCTGGCACTTCTGCAAAGTAGCAGATAAAAGAAAGATAGAGAGACTCCAAGAGAAAGCCCTTAGAGTTGTTTATAATGATAAGTCTACGCCATATGCACAACTCCTTATGAAAGCAAACCTGCCATCTCTCCAGAATAGACGACTTCAGGACATTGCCATACTTATGTATAAAGTTAAAAACGGCATAGCCCCACACTTTATAAAGGATTTGTTTGCAGTAAAAGAAACTCCCTGTGAATTGAGAAACAGCAACTTTGTAATTCCGAAATTTCGTACGGTAAAAGAAGGAAAACATTCAGTAAGATACTTTGGCCCATATCTGTGGAGCAAATTGAAGAGAGCTATCAAGGAGGTGACAACAATAACCCAATTCAAGAAATGTATAAGAAAAATGGACTTAGAAACTCTTTTAGACTGTAGACTTTAGTTTAGTTGTACATAGGATTTTTAGAAATTTTTATGTTTTAATAATTATACTGTAATTTCATATTTTATGCTCTAATTTAACTTTATATACTTTTTTCGTTGTGTCCCCAATTAGCTTGTAAGCTAAATATTTTTTGACACATTAATAAAGTTTTTGATTGATTGATTGATTGATTGACTCTATTGCACAGCAGTCTAAATCAACGATCTAACGCTTTCACTGCACAAATATATCCAAATTGTGATGAAAAAAGCCTTATGCGAACTGAAAAATCTTCTACATCTCTCACATCTTTCAACAAACCTACGATTTTGCGTACCACTATGAATTTCCGCACCGTAAATCTCTTATACACGAGAAAATGTTGGCATGCATACTTGAAAAACAAAAGTAAACAATTATAAAGAAACAGCGATGCAATGAAATTCAATAAAATGCATCCAAAAATCCCATACGTAATATAACATGCAAATAACATTATAGAAACAAATTGTAGCAAAAGAATGTCTTAACGATCTTAACTCAGAGAAAAGGAATAAATTCCATTTAAATACAATATCGTACTATCGTTTTTGGCATAAATACAGATTTATTGACGAGACATTAGATTTAATTATTCCAAGATAAATTCTTAAAAATAGATATAAACGTTAGGTTGCAAAATTTTTTCTGTTTTACAAACAAAACCACGACTTACTTACAAACAAACATTATCAATACTTCACAAACCTTGAGAAAACCCCTAAGAGTAGAAAAGTACAATATTTGACAAAGTGTACCACTTTTTGACACAAACAATAAACAACTGACGCGTTAGACACCAAACAATTTGCATATTATTAGACTGATTAAAAATAAATTCCCAAAACATTGGGAATACTGAATGCATTGGAGTTAAAAAAACAAAAACCTATTATAATTGTGAATGTGAGAGAGTTTGGGCCCAAAAGGTCTGTGGCAAAGGTGATAGCATAACTAGTTATCCTTATGCCGGGCAAACATTGGAAAAGCAATTGCCAAAGAGATGTATATAAATGTAATATGTGCGAGCAACCTAGGATTCTAAAATGAAAAATTCTTAAAAATTATCCTAGAGCTGGCATACCTTTTACGATCTGAACGAGGCTAGCACAGGGCAAATAAGAGGTGGAATGAATCCGTTACTTGCTGACGAAATAGATGAAACGAATGGAATTATTTTGGGATGAGAGCTATATGTATATTAGTTTAAAAGAAGAGAAAAATAAGACTACTGAAAAATCAGACATAAGCAAGCATTGAAGCAAAGTTGTAGCAGACGAAATAAAAAGGAAGGCTTCTCATTAGCGAGAAAAGAATGTGAGCTTTCCAAGCACCAGCTTCACAATTCAACTTGGAGTTCTTTTCAAGCAAGAATTCATGTGCAAAATAAACTCCTCCATTTGGTCAACGATAAGCTAACGTGTGAAAATATTTTTTGCAACCGACTCAAGGTAGCACATATAAATTTGTAACAAAATGATCCACATGCAATGCAGTACAGCAATGCATGAGCTGGGAATTCTTGGGCAGCTAAAGGCTATGGGGATGCTAGCGGGTTGCTTCAATAAGAGTGAGCTGATTGAGCTAAAAGCTAGTTGAAACTGGCAAAGGTCGGACAAAGTTATTTTAAGCGAATGGTTAATTTTACTATAGATTCACTAGGAAATGTGATTAATTAAAACATGTATTACATATGCGTAGCTGCAGGTACCAAATAAAGATTTTACATAAAAATTGAGCAACAAATTTTCGTTTTAACTGCGTTTTTTCCAATCAAAGATTCTTGAATTGAAATTACGTGGAGTGCATCTTATTGTGTGTGTATCAGTGGCTTCAAAAATGAGCCACAGTGCAAAGCAAAATTTCAAAATTGTAAGAAATGGATTATTTGTTATACTTCGTAAAATGGCTTTGGCATACAGCTTGACATGATAGAGCATTTGCTGCAGACATAGAATCATGAGATGAGAGCATCTTTTTCGCAAAACGCATCGTCTTCTTCTTCACCTTCACAAGAATCACGTGTTATCCGTTGATTCATCACATGATCCTTGGCCTCATCAATATTTATGGCTGCTAAGGGATCTGTAACGGAAGAAAAAGATCTTCTAAAATCCGGTTCTGCATTCAAAACTCAAAAAGAAAAACGAGTATTTATTCCAGCAATTTAAGGTACTTACTAAGTTTGTATTCTTCCAGCGATTCCATTATTGATTTTCCAAGCGTTTCTGGCAGAGACAAGCAAAGCATTCCAGCGAAAATCGATAACACGCCCATGATCACAAATGGGAGACTTGGAGTGACCAACTTGAGCACATCGCTTATGAACGGAGACGTTGTGCATCCAACTCGAGCGAAAAAAGATGCAAAGCTCATACCTTGTGTCCTGAAAATTGGTTGTTTAGATAATTACATAAATATTAGTTAACAGGGTCGTAGCCCTGATGATATAAAAAAATGAGGGAATGATTGCCGCCTCGAGACTTAAAGAAAAAGAAACAGACATTTCCCAGTGCAATCTTTGTTCCAAAATAGCAGAGCACAAAATTGTAGAGCGTCATAACTTCAAATTACAAACACTTGAAATTTTCCTTCATTGCATGAGGCAGCGATTGTAAGGAGCTGGCGTGGTGCAGTGGGTTTATAACATTTAAAATTTAAATGTAATTGCTACTGAAAACTGTTAAAAGAAATTAGCAAGACAATAAAATTTTCCTTGATCTCAACCTTGAATATTATCTGAATGTACTTTATGTAAACCTTATGTATAATCTGAATATACTTGATGTAAACAGGGCCCACGTCAAGATATTGAAAGTGGGGGAGGGGAGCAGGCTAGCAAAAGTAGAGGGCCAAGGCTTCTTTCCCCCTTAACTGCAGCTTTGAAAAATACACGATTCGCAAAAAAGTGGGGGGAACGCCCATGGCCACTCCGGCCCCCAGTGGCATGGGCCCTGGTAAACCTTTTATATTTTCTGAATACACAGACAAATGGCTCACTGTTTTATAACCAAAATATTGGGGACGCAGCCTACAAAAGCAGGTTGGCCATTCCTAGTGGCGAAACAAATTATAACAATATTTACCTGATAGTTGTTGGGTATAATTCGGTTGTCCAAATATAATAGGCAGAAAAAGCCATAACATTAAACATTTTTCCAACCATCCCACCAATGATCCGTAAAGTTGGATAAACTGAAAAAGTGAGATTTTACTGTTTGACTTATAGAACAAAATGTTAAGCAAAAGTAAGTCAATGAAATTCAAAACAAGTAGAAATCGTATATGAATAACTTTACTTAAAGGGTGAGCAATGAGAAGAATTTAAATGTGGACTAAAATTTGTAAAGCTCACTTTTTTCTGGAAACAATGCAATGCTACCACAGAATAATCCAGCAGCCACCATAGAACCAACAGCTGTTTTCTTCCGACCCAATCTATAATTTAGTAAAACATGTTTTTTAAATGTAGCTTTGAAGATGAAAGCAACATTTTACAGAAGTGGTACACAAGGCAGGTGAAACGGATCTATTTCATAAGCAAGTAATAGATTCATTCCACCTCTTAGCTTAGTTTTAGAAATATGGGATTCTATGGATGGCTTAAATTGCATCTAAAATAGATTTTGTCTAAAGGAAACTTCAAGGCAATAATATTAACGCTTTCATTCATCACTATGTCCCACAGTTCTATCTGTATTCACGAAACAGGCTTCTAGAGATAAAAATGTAATTCGATCTTCTTCAACTCTCAGCTATACACAAATATGTTGTGTTTTTAGATTTGAGTCCTTGCTAGCCCATCAGCCAATGCACCAGGTAGTGTATTTCGAAGCTTGCAAGCAGCAAGCCTTCATACCTGGGTATCCCCTTACTCCTGCGCCTAGGGGATGATACCAGCAAACGTGTGTCAGTCCATTGCAGCGTTATGTATAAACAATGGAATATCCATGTGCATGTGTATACCTTCTTATTAATGTGGTATAGATATGCAGTTGTAAATAATTCTGCTTATGAAAAGAATATACTGTATAGTGGTTATATCGTGCATGGATAACACAACATTTGAGTTTGATACAATACGTTATGTGCAGTGGAGAGGCCGAGTGGTCATCCGAGTCGTTAATTGAGACATGTTGCATTAGAATTTACGCTTCGGAATTTAGAGCGAGCTAGCCAATCTCTAGCCTGCATGCAAACTTTACCCATCTCCATATTATCATGCCGTAGTGGTACTACTATACCGCAAGAGTTCACTCAGCAAGATTCATTAAAAGCAGACTGCAGAGTAGAGTCAGCAAGATATCATGAGATAGGGATCACCAGACGTGGTCACATAAAGGAGAAGGACCAGGATTCTGCTAGACAAGCACAGCTATTTAGTGTTCTAAAAGCTACCTTCAGATGCTTAGCAGTACCAAATATAAAAAATACAACAAAATAACAGGTGTCTGCTGATTATTAGTAAAAGTTTTCTGTAAATTTATTGTTGTATATAAGAGTGTGTACTTGTTTTGGACTATTTTGCTTCAAATTTGATTGATTTATGAATGTTTTTTGGGTATATTGTATAAATTCCTGTAGGTAAACGAGCAGATATGGCCAAATGCAAATATAGTCATTGATAAAATGTTCACAAGTATTGGAGAAACCCCAACCAGGTCACTAGCCCAGTCAAAAAATAGCATTTGTGGGCACTTTTCGAAAGGGGCTTCACCCTTTCTTTTAGTGTATCAAACTATGCAACTCTACAAAGCTTCATGCTTCTATCACAATTTACAATTATTTTTCACTTATAGCCCTGGCTATTTCTTGAAAATCGACATTTGAATCTCTATCAAGAGGTGTGATGACCCTTGGTAGCTTGAAAAAAGACTTCTTGTCCCTTCAAAATCTGTTGGCATATTTATTTATTGCACAGGACTTAATCATTGTGAATGATCTAACTGTGGCCTAGCTACTCCTTCTAGGCATCAAAGCACCTGAACTAAAAATCTGTTAGATGAAGGTACGATACAAGAAGGCACATCAAACAAGTTGGCTAGGTATATATAATGTTTCAAAATCGGGGAAGAAACTTTCCATTTCAAAATCCGTATGGTATAAAAAATGTGTTGCTATGTGTTTTCAAGCCTTGACTGTGATCCATCTTGCAGCAATAAGTTGATTATGTGATAAATTGGAATAATCTATTGCAATGTAGCTTAAGCTGGGCATATTTAAGGGAATGATAAGCATATCAAAATACACAATGGTAAACTACATTTCAATGTCTGCCTAAAAAAGTTTATCTGGCTCTGCAGAAAATGGGTTCGGCCCTAGATTTGCCAGCCCTGAAGGAAGGAAGGAATAAAGGGGACTTGGAATCCCCAAGAATACTTGTTATTCACAGTGTATAGCTACCCTATCTACCCTTAAACAAAAATATTAACATATCCTATATATGAAAAAACATTTGTTGTTGAAATATCAACCTTCATCTCGAGATACATATCCAACAATAATGCATTCTAGATGTGTGAAGTATCTCTATCAGCAGCTTTGGAAATCCTTCAGAGCTAAGGCAGAATATTGATGTCAACTGATTGAAAATTTGCCCTCCAATTCAAATCAAAAGTCTTCTTGTTAGACAAAGATCCGCCTTACCTTTCAAGAAATATAACAGCTAAAAAGGTAGCTGGGCATTCAGTCAAACTCATCAATGCAAAATCCCTGTACATATTTCCAGTTAGGTCACCAGATGACAATGATATTCCATAAAAGGTCATTGCCACAATCATCCTGAAATGAAATTTATAGAAATTTTTTAGAAGATAAAAACATGACAAATCAAACTTGTCTAAAAACGGATAAAACTCTCAAAAGAAAGATATTAATACTAGAGAAAGGATCAACTCATTTTTTACCTAACTGTATTTTATGTTACATTTAACATGCCTGAATCCAGGAAATCACTCCCCCTACCAACCAACACTAAGATATAAACTTGGCCAAAACAGCAAAGATATCTGTTGTTTTTTTGATAACTTTCTCACTACCGCTAGCTGCTAGCATGTTATGTCAGGTTGAACAACATGGTACAAAATAAAAAGAATCTTGGAAAGCTAAATATTATTGTAACTATTGTAAAGATTTAGGTCTAAATCAATGTCAATTAAATTTGTTATTCAATTAAAGGCAAAATTTATAAACTGATATAGCAAAATGTGTCGCTAGCATGCATTTGATTTTCTAAAAAAACTTCTTATTGTATGAATACATCACAAGCTTAATTACAAAACAAAAAGTGTATCATGAGTTATTTGCCTAATTCAAATGATCTTAGTGGAAAAAATAAAGGCATTGGTGCATCAAGGGAAAAAGTTTGTGACACATACCATCCAAAAGAAAGAGGCATGGTTATGAAAAGTCTTCTTCTAGGTCGGAAGAGATGGACCAATGTGCCCTGTGCTTTTTTGACATTGCTGCTCTGCTCTATACATGCATTAGGAAATGGATGACGGTTGATTCTTGCAATGCCTTTTAGAACATTCAGTGACTTAGCCAGCTGTCCTTGGCTACTTAGCCATCTTGGAGACTCATAAATCCAACTAGAAGGTAAAAATTGTCTCTTTTCCAGTCCTTTTCGTGAGCAAAATTACGTGTGTGTGGCAAATTGCACATGTAAACAAATTTGCGCGTGTGATTGCACTTGTAAGAAAATTTGAAGTGCAAACCTGACAAAATTGGTTAAAGGAGCAAGAAAGGTAAAAGCCACTAGAATACGTGCAAGAGCAAAACTCAATTCAATCAATACATAACAGATTTTATTGCCCTTAGCAGCCATTTTTTCAAAAGTCATTGTCACTCTCCAAAGTTACAAGAGCAAATAAAAATTGTTGCCAACAGCTACTTGCTTTCAGGGCACAATTATGTTTTGACAAGAAATCAGTTATTACACTTAACATGCTAATGGCAACTTAGCTGAAAGACGAGACGCCAAGTTGAAAGGAGCTTTCAGTCAAAAGCCAAACATCACTTCCCAAAATTGGAAAAATCATATTGTGTTCAAAAGTGCTAATCAAGTAACAAGGGAAAAGGATAAACAATCATGAGACCATGGGAAATTGATGTTAACAGAAAACTGCAAAAACACCTGTTTGCACATGTGATGAAAAGCACATGCAATTTAACATTGTGTGTGCAGGCGTGTGCGGGTGGGATCGCACAGGCTAAACGAAAAGGACTGCTTTGCATATTGAAGACTTAATTTAAAGTGAAAGCATATGTAGAAATGGAAAAAAGAGAAGTTTGGAAATTTTTTTGGCAATGATGCTGCCCACCTCTAGATGTGCCAAATTAGTTGCTTTTAAGCAAATTTTTATGAACATATTCCAAAAAAGCAAAAATCTGGTCTCTTGATACCTTACTAACCATTGCTTTTATGAAAGGTGTCAAAAAATATGAAACCATGCTTCCTATTTTTGTACCAGATGTTGAATGCAGGTTGACATGGTATTAATCCTACTCCTAAGTTAATTTTTTTTTTTTTACTCCAGATTGGTTGTATAGCCTTTAGGATTTAACCATTGAAGATTGAAGACATAAAAGATATCATATGAAGGGGGTAAGAGAGTATGCACTACTTTGCTCCAAGAAAGTTGAGAATTTCCTCCATTATGATGTTTTGATTAGGAAAAAAGAAAAGGCTGCTCACACAAGACTTTCAAAAAATTCAACTTGATTGAAAATTATAACAATTCACTTGGCTGTACATCATACTTACTACCACATGATAGCCGATGGTAGGTATGGGGCTGAGCAAATGATTGAAAGCTTTCTCCATTTTCTGATGTAATATGCTTGCAAAGTCAGAAGTAACAATGCACCTGTTCCAACAATAAAAATGCAATTCCCCATAATTGATCTGTGCTTTCTGCCAACCATTTCTGATGCAAGTACAAATGCTGAAATGCCTACACCAGTGATGCCAAAGCCAGTTATACCTCTAAGAAGAATGAACTGCCAGACACTTGTGACAAATGCACTTGTGAAAACAGCAAGCAACACCAGGATGTATGAGACAAGTGCTATTGGTTTACGCCCAAAATAATCAGCTGCAATGCCAAGAGGAATGCATCCCAGTCCCCAGCCCAAGTATAAAGCAGAGTTTGCAAATGCAGCCATTGGATTACCATCACAGACAAGATCAAACTGTCAAAAAGAAATAAGAGAAAAAATGAATAAAGGATTCCCTCTGGAAAGTTTATGGAGATGAAGTCCCTACAAAGCTTTTTTCCTATTTGCAATATAATTCCCAGTGGGTACTTTTATTCTTCAAGTACACTGCTTGAAAAACTTTATTATTAACTGGTAAAAACAAACATTAACTGGTAAAAACAAAGTAAAAATATTTTGCTTTTTGTTTGCAAATAATTTTCCAAACAGACTTGTTTTTGCAATGCAAAACTAGGTTTGCCTAGTTGATGCTGCTAGACCCAAATTTAAGACACACCTTACATGCCACACAGAGTTTAAAGCTTGCAGTCGTACTTTTAAGGGCAAACAAAAACAGGGTCTGACAAATTCTGCAATATGCCCCGAGGGTTCTGTTGTGTCTTGAGTCGAGAGAGAACAACTAACCAACCTCTGTCACAAATGAAAAATCTTTTTGAACAACATATTCCCAGCTACTTCTTGGCATTGAGCATCGTGAATTAAATCTGCCAGTTTCAGCGGGTGAAACTTCTCCGCTTATGTTGCAAAAATGATTTGTGCCATTTTTACATTTCCAGTTTGGGCTGTGTCCAGTAAAGTACATTATCAATATTTGATAAGTGATAGGAACATTTATAAGACAAACCAAAATTCCAAGCAAAACTTGATAACGACCACATGACCCAATTTCATTAATTATATCGTCCACCGATAAAATACGCTGTTCTCTTATTTCCGCTTCATGCTTCCCGTCGCCATTAACATAGTGGCAATTAAAATTATCATCAGCCTCTAGCTTAGCATGATCATCTTCCAACAGGTATTCTTGATCGTTGTTCATTATCTGATATGCAGTAGAAGCAACGCAAATGTATACTGACCATGTTTTGCGTACAACAAAATTTATAATGCCGAAGCACGCCGAAGTAAAATATGTTAAACCTCACACCTTCTTGTTTATAGTCAACAACAACCGATCAACCTTGAACATAAAATTGAAAACGAGGGCAGGGGTCTCAGTCAGCAACGGAACGTTTCCTGTGAAGTTCACTACTAGGCAAAACCATGGCACCTGTTGAACGCATCGCTACTACGATAGATTCTTTTTCCCTACAGAATTCCTACAAGCGGGGTTCCACTATAGTTGTTTTTTAAATTTTCGAAACATTTGTAATAGTGCTAGTTTGGATTTCGTTTGTTTTGCAACCTGTAACCTTAGTAATTTTATCACCATTCTCATATTCGATTGTTTATAATTCCTTTTGTTTTCTAATTGCACCTTTAGATTCATTAATTATTTCATTTGGGATTTTTGTATCATTATTCAGTTTATATAACTAATCTTGGGAGTAATATATTTTGTATTCACTATTATTATGTAAATTTACGTAGCTAGGTAGTATTACAATTAGTTCTTGCTTAGTTATATTTTGAGCGTGTTACATTTAGAGTTAGTTGGAGTTTGAATCGACGTTACGGGACAACCGTAGAGAAACATTATATTTATAGAACCTTATTCGCGTAAAAATAGTTTGATCTGAAGAAAGACGTTAGAACATTATCATTGTGTCTATTTGTTTCATTTCTCATTGATGGAAGGACCATTTAGTCTCGACGATAACGATAGGGTGGATACATTCATTTGGCGAAAACTCCTATTACACATTTTCAATCCTACTTTAGTATGTAATTTATCGTTAATATCTATCTAGAGCATATTTTGGTGGTAGTTAGATGTCCGAAGTGCAGCGAAGTCTTTTTCGAAATGTAGCATGTGCTTCCCGGAACTGATTGTTATTGTATGTAATTTAATAATGTCATCGTCTCTATCTGAATCTTTGTACTCTGTTGTTTGTACAGTATGTCTGTTGTTCTGTCTTGATGTGTTGATTAACAAACTGTGATGTTGTATAGAATGATTAGATCTAGATTGTAAAGATGAGTTGTTGGATTGAATATGAACATATGAACATATGAACTTGTATTTGTCTTCCTCGCTACAGAAAAAAAAGTGACAAAGCGAAAAGAACTTCGTTTATGATTCCTGTTTCATCATCCAAAGAAAAGTCTTTAACTAACTACGTGCTAAGATACATATCGTAAAGTAAAATGCGTGATGAATTACAGGATAACGAGGTTAAATATAGAAAGGAGAATACCCCTATTACAAGACGATTGAGGGGGGGGGGGTACTCACAAAAATCTAGAATAGGGTCGCTCAGGCAGGGATACAAGCCATCATCAAGGGGTACCTTTCTAGGAGAAAAATGGCCTAAAAAATTCATTTTCTCGCCCGTCACATGAAAGTTACAAACTCTTCTCTTTTTCAAACTTTCTTCATATTTGAAACCCAAAAATACATGTAATCCAGACCCAAAAAAGTTGCAATGACCCAAAAAAGTAATTATACGATTAAATGCCCTAAAAATCTAAAAATCATTTTTATTCAAATTCTAGATCCAAAAAAGTAACCTCATTACACCTGTTCTAAAATTACACGTGTACCCCTGGGGTTACTTGCAAATTACAATTGAAATTTGTTACAAAACAGGGACCCCTCAGGAGGGGGTAACTAGGGTAAACTTTAACGACGAGATTTCTGTGGCAGCAAAAGCAGGAAAATCAATAACAATCACTGATGCGGCATCTCTGTAAAAACTTCCTGTCAGGTCCGAGGATGACAAAGAAATGTTTTCATTTACAGAATAAGATCTTTTAAAGATGATCTTATACCCCCTCAAATACATGAAAAGTGCGGGAGACTCATTTAGCAAGCCCTTTTTGGATTCTTACCTTTAAGGTATAGATTCCAAGATGGTTGTCTGTATTAGAAGCACGACTTGAATAAAAAGCTTGTATAAGTGTTGTCCTTTTTTCAAATTATTCCATATTTGTTAAATCTTGTATCTTTGCATGTTAGCTAAGATAATGGACAGGGGGAGCCCCTAGCAAAAACATCTCAAAAACTAGAGTAAGAGCTGAAAATTTGCTACTGTTCTGGATTAACAAAGAGGTCTGAGATTTTAATTCCCTACTACCATCATAGTTCCCTACTTTTCTGGCATTTACATGTTTTTATTTTTGAGCTGAAGCAGATATCTGTGATTTTATAGCGTGGCGATGTAAATAAAATTTATGATTTTTTGCCAAACGAGCATAAATAACACAGCGAATCGGTAACAAAGTTGATTTTGCGCTTTCAGATGTATTTTATGGTGATCTTTCAAGTTCTGACTTAAAATCAAACAATTCTGTAAAAAGGTTTTTTAAGGTCATCAAATTGCCACTCTATTTACAAGTATCTTTGCTACAAGCTCTGAGAGTATCTCACTATAGTTCTCAGTATGCTGTGGCAAAGCATTTGATGTACTGATCCAAAACTTATGTGAAAATTGAACAATATCTTGATCACACAACCTTACGGATAGCGACGGATAATGGCCATTTTTCGCATTTTAAAACTTCTAGAGTGTTTTTTAAGTGTTACTCATTAAAATTCAAAATGTGTGTATGCCTTTTTGCCATTTTGAAACCCTCCAAGGACGATACTATTTGCAAGTAAATGTTTAGGAATCTACACAATATTTTGTTAAAAGCATTTTCTTCTGGGCTATCTCAAAATTCCCTACTTGAGAGCATTGCATAATAATTGGCCCTTCTTTTGTCTAAATTTTTTGTGAATTTATCTTTTGCTTTTTTGGTTTATTTAGCCCGTAGAGATATGACAGCTTCAAAGCTTAGCCTAATCCTTTTGTTGTTTATCACAATAAAACTCCGTTCATAAGTCAACTACTGAAACTGGTAAACAGGTCAATGCCATTTGCTATTATGAGTACCTTCTTTTGCTCTGCTGGAATTCTAGCTTCTTGTCATGTATCCAAAACAATTACTTGTGGTACAATCTTTTATTCTCCTCATATTTCTGGTAGCCAGCTCTTTAGAATGTCTAAAGAGCTGGCTACCAGAAATATGAGGAAAATAAAAGATTGTACCACAGGTAATTGTTTTGAATACATGCCAAGAAGCAATTTCTAAGTAAAAGCTATATATGAAGGCTGTGTAGAGGAGGGGTGGGGGGAGGGAAGGGGGTGCGTAGCTGAGGAAGACCAAGGAAAAGATGGGGAGATTATTTTTGAGATTATTGAGATTATTATAAGCACATTTCGAAATGACCAATGTCAACGAAGCTTCACAAAGCTTTTGAAGCGAAGAAGATATTCCTTTGATAGAAAATTGAATAGAATGAGAAGTTTATTAGAACACCATCTTAGATTTAAGCTCCATTTTAAGTTTTCACAATAGCATAATTTTGTTAACTTTTTCACAGAGATCTTTTTAAACAATATTTTCAACAACTGACGAGATTTTGCAGCTACTGTTTAGCCTGTGCTCTAGACCCCTTACATGGAAGTTTTAGCTGCTACCGTAAAGACTCAGACAAACGTCCTGTTTCGTCAATAGTTTGAAGTTTAAAGAGCCAGGCGTTGGACTTTATATAAATAGCCTTCAGCCCTTCCTCTCTAAAAAACCTCCTCTTTCGAATATACCCTCTCTTGAATAAGGCTTCCTCTTAATTATGCCCACATGATAAAATTTCTTGACATAAAAAAGACTCCTCCTTGAAAAAGCCCCACCATCAAATGGTTCTTGTTGAAGCCAATTTAAAACCATGATGTTAGGCCTTGTTTTTTTACAAATTGTTTTAAAAATTTGCGAAAGTGAATAATCTAAATGGGTGGAGTCCAAACAAAGACTTGGAATAGATGCCCTGATTTACACTATTTCATTTTATTTTATTCCAGGGGGTTGTTAAGCTCTACATACAGGGTTACGGGATGCTCCATTTTTTGAGGGTACCTTTTCTCAAGTAGAGAATAAATTTCGATTTTGGAAAAATCAAACATGGTCATTAATTTGGGCTGATTTTGAGCACGACCTTATATTTTGGGAATCTTTTTGCAAAGCAAGTTAATATGTTTTCATTTACTTGATTGAGTTGTTTGATTTTTGGAAAATTGAATTAAATTTAAAGGACAAGTGACACGCTTTTGGCGCCAAATTTTTCTTTTCTTTTAACTTAAAGTATAATGCTGTATGAGAGTGTTGTTGAAATATTTTTCCTTTCTGATTTCATTTTCCCACTTAAAAACCCATTTGAAATTATGGCGGGAAATGAATCACGTGACACCGTGACGTAGATTGTGATAATTTGTTATTGCTGCTATTGGTATAGAGTGCAATATTAACGTTTACAACACGCTTGTAAACGAATACAGTTCGTCTGGACCTGTCGCGTCGTGTTTCGTAAACTCTCTATCAATTACAGGAAAATTCTGAGTTATCACAATGTACGTCATAGGGTCACGTGATACAAAGCAAAATCGCGCCCCCTGCGCCCCCTGATTAGAATTTTTTGTTCCAAACCAGGAAAAACTTACTTCTAAAAGATGATCTATAAGTTAATGAAAAGAAACGATAGGGTGAAAAGTGTGTCACTTGTCCTTTAAGGGTATGCGTTTCATATTATCTCTTAATTTTAGCGTAGGGTTTTTGGAGTCCTCTGCCTTTCGAAGTTACCCCCGGGCATTTTATATATCTATATAAGTGACTAGGTCAAAACTCTTTTGTCTAGTCTAGATATTTTCCTTTTGATTAAAAACTACTGAATGATTTTTTGATTTCACAAATCTCAACGATTCAACGCAAGTAGATATATTGTTTCATTTTTCTTCAAACTTTTTGAGTGTGCAATTTACTGAGAATAAATGCAAACTCCCGTCAATTTTAGTGTTGCAATACACAGTGATGTTCAGTGTCAAGACTGTTTCGATTGTCAACTCGGAAAATTGAAACTGCAAATTATAAAAGTTTCTTAGCTTTTTTCAATTCGGGTAGGGTTGTTTCAATTCGAGCCTACCGTTTCTTATAACCTGTTTCTTTTAAAAAATGAGTGTAGCTTTTGTTCTTAGAACTTGGAGATAATTTTCAAATGGGTATGTTAACAGGGCATCCAACGAAGGGGCGGCCGGGGGCCATGCCCCCCATTTTTTTGCAAAACAATATAGCTTGTGCTATGGGTGTTAAATTTATCCTTGATCCCCCATTCTCCACCCTGTCACGGAGCCAATGATGTGCCTAGACAATTATGTTTGGGGGGCGTTCAGAAAAAAGTGACCAACTTAACTTTTTTGACCGATTATTTCTCCATAGAAAATTCATTAACATTGAAATAGATGATCATATACAGGCTTAATGATGATAACGAGTAAGAGCAAATGATGGCATGAAAGTATAAGGAGATTAAGTTTGCGGAAACAAACATTCCTGGAATTCGCGTTTTTGGGTGAATCCATGAGCATCCTTTTGAGAAAAGCCAATTTCAAGGAAATCTGCAAAAATTAGCTGCAGCTTCTTTTGAGCTCATCATAACAATAATTTCAGCTCATAAAATGTCCTCTAATCTATAACATTTTATAAGAATTGAAGGGCAAATATGGCTGGAAGGCCGCTGAGAGGTTTCAGAGGCTTTGGGGCAAAATGGAAAGACGATGCTTTGCAAAATGGAAAGGCTTTGGGGTAAAATGGATTTTCACCGAAAAAGAACCAACATATGGCTAAAAGTCCTCGTTTTTTAGATAAAATTTTGTTCAAAATTGCATTCTACAGTAGCTCAGCCTCAGCTTGTTCTTATTTTGTTTGAGGCTCGTGTTCTTATAAATTTGTTATTATAAAAAAGAGTATATTACAAAAAAGAAAGTTGACTATGACCAACCATGACCAATAAATTGAATGAATTATAGGTTGAAATTTGGTCAAACTTCCTGTTTAATGCTAAAGTTCCCGCTGCATGACCAACTTTCTGGAAGTCTGCAGACATTGGGGGGTGTGACGCCCCCCCCCCACGCCCCCAATCGGCACATCCCTGGACGGAGCCCATGGTTTCTGCTCTGAAATGCCCAGCCGGAAGAGAACGCTGGAAATTCTTGTGACCTTATAAGACGGTACGAAGTAGCAAGCATCCTGTCCGCTGGTTGAATGTTTAATTTTCATTGTGAGAAGGACAGGTAAGCACGACGATAAACATTGGCAAAGAGTTTATCAAAATGGAAGGAGGATTCTTTAGATTAACCATCATATCTTTTTCCCTCGCTCATTTTTGTTTGTTACATACTGGATGCTTGGCAAGCAATGATGATATATCCTACGTATCTGCGGTTCTCAATGCCTCCTACAAGATGGACAACATTTTTCCAATATGGAGGCAGTTTATTCGCCATGGAATGTATGGAAAAGGAGCGTCTATAGAAAACGCACAAGGTTATTTGTATTACATACCAAACGAAGATTGGTGCAAGCCAGTTCTCCCTCGAATTCAAAATTCACTGAAACCGTGGATAGCTCTTATTGAACGAGGAAATTGTAATTTCGAAGTAAAAATATTGAACGCAAAAGCCGTGAACGCCTCAGCTGTTGTTATTTTCGATAATGGCTCAAGTAAAAACCAAGGCAGTCTGCAAATGAAATCATACAGAGTAGGGATTGTTGCAGTTTCAATATCAAGAGAGGCTGGTCTAAAGTTGGTCTCATTATTCGTAAGTTACAAGGTATTCTTGCAAATCGAAGTTGGTCGCTACCATTACCGGCGGAAGAGGGACTGGGAAGCAGGGAAAACTTCGGTGCTGTTCGTATTGGTTTCTTTCATCTTGCTGATGTGTATATCGCTCGCATGGCTGGTGTTTTATTACGTCCAAAGGTTCAGATACTTTTATGCCAGAGATAAAAAAGAGGTAAGGAATGATGCTTAATTTTTTTGTGTTGTTGTCTTTATATTTTTGCCCTGTACAACAACCTGTTCATTGTCTTGCTAGGACGAAGGATTAAATTTTCCTGACTTTTAAATTATTTAAGGTAGTTAAATATCATTATTTGATAAAACTTGAAATTTCATTTTCTAAAGCAAAGTTCAACGACTCCCTATTAATCCACAGTTCTGTTACCAGTTTTGTCCGTTTGAAGTCATCTAACAGCATTTTCTAAACAATTATTTGTTCAACGTTCTATCCAATTGATAATAACGATAGTAATACAGTACCGAAATGATGATGTCATAAAAATTTATTTTTAGAATTTCTAAATTTTGCCAAATCAGCCAAATTTGCCAAATTTCTAAATACCTCTAAATATGCCAAATCAGTTAAAGGCATTACGAATTGGCTGAGATATGACCACTTGAGCACAGGCTCTTGCCCCATCAAACCTCTGTAATTTGGTCTTGGTTCATAACTTTATGAACCAGACCAGAATAACAGAAATCCTTTAGCAAACTTGAATTCTTTCATTGGCCATATCTCGCCCAATTTGGAACATATATGATATAGCTAATTTTGCACACTGAGAGGTATTTTATGCCGTTCTTTCGGATTATGCGGCCAAATTTATGAAATTCTGTAAATAGATATTTGATGACACCACACTTGGCTACTCTATAGCCATATTCAAACAGGGTAAAAACCTTTTTATGTTTGCATTGTTAAAAGTGAAAGTTACATACAAAGCTAGGTACAGTATCAATAATCTAAACTAATAAATATATACTACATTTTGCAAATTGTTATAATTCAGTAGAAAGAAAATGCAGAGTTTTAAAGGGAGGTGGTTCGGGTCTATGCTTATGAAGGGCCCCCTGCAAATAAAAAAAATATATAATGAAATTTATAAAGAACCAGAGCCTGCACTGATGTAAAGTAAAAGGTTAAAACATTTGTCAGAACATAGATTGAAAGCTCAAATTAGGAAACATATATACACAGTTGTGGATTGAAGTAGGCCAATCAGAAACATGAGCACAAGCTTGCCTGATGCTGATCAGTGTCGCTTACCTATAGAGAATATTACTAGTGGTGTGCAAGGGTGCCTTTATTCTACATAATGGCAAATTTTTTTTCATTTAAATGTATATTGATTTTAAAACTGGTGAATGAAACAAATAATGTTATGCTTGTTGTCATTTAAATTTCTAATGGTTTTTTATTCTATCCCTTGAAGTCATTGGGGGAGATACTTGTACACTCTGCAGCATGTCAGAGAAAAAGTTTTAGCATGTTCTTGCTTTTCCAAAAGGATGTTAATTTTAATTAGTTAATAAATTTCCAAGAAGATTATATAGAATCCTTTTGCAATAATTTCAATATATCTGGATTGGCAACATTTTCAATTGTTCATAGACCCTACTTTCTGTCAAAGTATTACCATACCACTTCACTGACTTACATATCATCATTAAGGTAGGGGTAAGGGATATCATCGCATATATTCATTTATACAGCAACAATATAGCAACTGTAGAATATGTCACGTCTTTGTGATGCTGTTGTTAAATCCTATATGACTTTAACAACTTGGATAACTGCCCTTCAATTTGTTGATTTTCATTTCTCACTGCTTGAGAAATATATCTTTGAACTTTAAGACTATTGAATTTTTAAGAAATTTTCCTCCCAATGTTGTCATTTTATTTGGAGGAATCTGCATGCTTGCACCATTTGGGTCTGTGTATGCACATGCAAAAACTGCAAATGAAAAAGAAAAATGTAAAAAATACATGAAAACAGCTTCCAATCATCCTTTTCTGCTCTTTATTCTCATTTAGAAGCAACTTGCTAATGCAGCAAAGAAGGCTATTGCAAAGTTGAAAACAAGAGTTTGTGATGGATTGGATACACTAGAGGTAAATTGTTTTCAAAATTCAATTTGTAAGATTTGTCAATTTTCACTTTGTGCTTTTGTACAATCACAGCAGTCGTCTAAATAACAGGATCCTTTTAAAGAATGACCAAAGTGTCAAGTAGCATTTAAAGGTAGAAAAAGCTCAGCAGCAATAGATAATGAGTCATTTTCTGTAATGTTATGATGATCAAAGTGGCATGAACACAAAATTTTGTCCCCTGAGAATTGCTCAAGTGAGAGCCACCAGCAGGATTGAATTTTTGATAGCCTAGTATTTTTAGGGCCTGTGATGGTCATCAACAAAAAATCAAGTTATCATGGTCTGAAAATGGTTTATTTATCTGAGCCCATCCAAAAGGCAATGGAACAATGTCATGCAAAAACAGGGCATCCTTGAAAAACCACACGCTTAGACCCTCGGACCCCTGGGACCCTTGGGTACTGAATACAGAAAGGACCCTTAACTATGAGAGGTGTCACCACACAGCTTGGCTGACACAGGTTGGTAAATATTCTGGATTGTCGATAGATATGTATCTTGACTTTATATAGTCTATTGATGTGTATCAAAATCTGGAGGGTTGAATTTTGGTCTGTAAATTGACCCATTTACACCCCCACTCCAAATCGTCAAGGTACGCCCATGCATACTGGGCTTTACCAGAGCCCGGAGCTGTCTGTCAAGCAGCCTGCTATTGTGACCTTTCTTTTATTTACATAAATAAATATATGAAAAACAGTGAAACGCTGGTGTAGGCCCATTTTCCGGGGAAATCTTCACCTCATTTTCTCCAAACATTTTCTATTTGTTTTTTCTCTGGAGAGGACAGTAGACTACAACGTTTAGAAAGAACCATTATTTCTTCTTCATCATCCATGTCTTGTGGGATCATGGACTGAATGTTACAAAATTGAAACATGATATTGCTTTACCTTTCCTGTAGGTCACTAAGTTTAATCATATACCTGTACAACTCTTCTGTTAAAGCAGGGGAGATCCTGTAACTAGGTAAACAACATGTAATCAAATGAACACCATAATGACAGCTCTCACAGCTAAACCAAGCTGCAAGGATGTTAAACCATAAATGTGACAAATCTTCCAGTTTCAGCTTCAAATCTTGACAAAGACAACCCCTGCATACGGGTTGAAAAAGTCTCAGCTTCCAGATGATCTAGCTCACTTCACCTCATCCCTAAATTCGACCATCACTCTCTATTTGAGACAACATTGTGCCTTCTGATGCTGCCATGTTCACTTAACACACTAGCATGGCCAAATAATTTTCATGGTGATGCTAATTTTTTGTGTTGATGCCTCTTTAAAATACACTTCTTAAAGGACAGGGCAACTTTTGACATAGTTAGTGTATCTCTCTCTCCCTAAAATTTGTTTGTAATGGTGTATCTCTCTTAAAATCTGTTAAAATCATGTTGCCCAGCCTAGCATGGTCTTTCTTTAAGTGTTGAACAAGTATTGCCTTGATTGATTTTTAAGGCTTCTAACCTTTTGTGATTACAGGATCAAGAAGAAACATGTGCTGTTTGCCTAGAGGGTTACTTAAAGGGCGAAACATTACGCACATTAAGTTGCAGGTAAGATCAAACAGTGCAATTTTCCATGGCTTTTTTGTAAACAGTGTCTCAGGAAGAAACAAGATAGTTGAAGGGCTATAGAGCTTAGGGTGACATCATGAATTTTGCAAATTTTTACCACCTATCCTACAAGAACATATAAAACATTTCTAACAATGCAAAACTAGTTAAATGTGACAAAAATTAGTTGAGATGTGCCCAGTGAAAGATTTGGAAGTCTTTTAACTGATTATAGCTATTTTTGATCTGTTCACAAAGTTATTTTTGTCTCAACAACATTTGTTCTTACAGCATAAGACATTTATGTCACAACATATGGCTCAGTAATGTGAGTTACAATCATTTAACATCCTAGGCGGATTTTATTTGTTAAAAAATCACTTTATAACTAGATAATGATATATAGAGTTATCTTTTTCAGGCACGAGTTTCATAAAATATGTATAGACCCTTGGCTGCTGGAACACCGAACATGTCCTATATGTAAAACCAATATTCTCAAAGAGTTTGGGATTGTAAGTTGCAAATAAAAGTTTTGTTTTCTTGTTATCTTAGTATTACACATCTTGATGTCTGAGATAAACGAATGACACTTATTTTCATCAAATTTAATGAACAATTTTACTCTTTTAATGCAATGTACAAATTCATCATACAACTTATCAAAATTGTGGGAATTTCTCTGAACTGTCAAGGTTATGCAATCAGTAATCATACTTTTAGGCCATATACTAACATTTTTATAAGGGGACAAAATGTATGATGCTTCAGGCCTTTTCATAAGAAATAGCCCATACAAGTGGCCCTGTGCTTGTATGATTTCCTTTGCATGAGTGATCACTCTAAAAATGATATTAATAACAACAATGCTGAAAGCGTTTGTAATGTTTATTAAAGCGGCATGAGCCTGTTATAAGGTATTATTGTATAATGCCAGAGTTTGGAACACAGGCTATGTATTGCTAGACAGCTCTCCAAATATATGCTTTGCAAGGAATATGTATATATACTCAGCTGCAAAGATATTTTAAAGTGAAATTATTTGCTACTTGTAGGAAGTGCCAGAGAATTCTGGTGACAGAAATTTTGATGTAACAGCAGCATCATCGCGTACCATTGTTGCATTTGGAGCACAAGAGGGGCAAACAGAGGCTTTAAACACGCCATTACAAGAAATTCATTCCCATCAAAATACTGATGATGAAACAGCCAATCTTTCAGCCAACAACAGTATGTATAGAAAAAATATTGAATTTCAAGTATCACAAAATAACACATAGTCACATCAAATGTCAAAGGCATAAATCTTGATTTTGATTCTTACCCTAGTAGTTGATAAATGGTAATTAAGATGCATCCTGTGCCTCATTCATAGCAACTGAGCATTTGTTAATCTTAAGTCTCCATGTGGTATACCCTATTCAGTATGAGGTGAGTTTATGAGTTCCAGTTCCAGGTCAACCAATAGTATTGCACCATGAAAACTTATTTTACTGGTTCTGAGCAGCCAAACCCTACTATTCTGAACATTGCAAAAATATATAAACATAAATATATATAATTCTGTGAATATTTAAAATTTTGTCTCCATCAATAGTCGAAATCTTATCAACCTAAATACAATAGAACAATACAAACAATAGAAAGGTAAGATGGATATGATTATATGAAAGTATTGTTGACCAGTCAGTCTGCCATGAAGTGTATAGAACAGGAGCCACTGCTAGTTCCAAGTTGCAACTCCCAAGTTATATGCTGTATGTGATAATCAGGCAACTGTGTGTACATATGATCGAGGGGCAATTGAAAATGGTGTACAAGATTGATAATCACTAGTGCTCACTTTGCGATTAAATCAATTTTGTGTGTGATTAATTTGATTTTAAGAGATAAAAGTGATTGATTTTTTATTAAATTTAGGATTATTTAGAGATTGAATCATAGATTTAAAAGTGCTCTCAAATAATTTCATGTGCAATAAACGTCGTTTGAACACATGACGGTAAACCAATTCATAAGCCAAGTTAAACAACAATGTTTCATATGTTAAATGACAAACAATCATGCCAGTTTGGCAACGATTTTGCAACATACTATATGAAATTGAAAAAGAAAAATTAGCAGTTCCGCATAGGATAGCATAAGCGAAATATTAAATCGATATGATAGGTGTCCTACATCATGGATGCAGGGTGACAATAGCCTGAAGTGAAAAACAGTGAACAGTTGTTGAACACCTTGTAAGAGACATTAAGACAAATGCATGTGCTCTGTTCTGTGGGCCATTTACTTTCGTCATAAGAATTTGAATTTGCCTCAAAAGAGCTATCTCTCCTGTACAATAGCATTAGTAACATGGATGCAAATAGCCTTGGATGAAAAACAGTAAACAGTTGTTGAACACCTTGCAAAGGACAATAAGGCCCATGCATGTTTTCTGTTGTGTGAGCCATCTACGTTCAGCATAAAAACTTGAATATGCATAAAAAAGCAATTTTTCCTGAACATAGATGCATTAGCAACATGGATGCAAATAGCCTGAAATGAAAAACAGTGAACAGTTGTTGAACAACTTGTAAAAGACATTAAGGCAAATTTATGTGCTCTGTTCTCTGCCCATTGCTATTGGAAAATGAAACTGTCATTCCTGAAACTTTAACCGATAGAAAAAATTCCAAGTTCCGGAAAGATCGAACTTTATTTGGGGAAATTACAAGAATCTGACATGAATCATTTCCCATAAATGTAACAGTTGCAACTGCAACAGCCGGAACTGTCTGGATCCGCCCCTGTAGCAATGGGTGAAAAATGACTGCTATCAGGTGTGGTTTTTCGGTCAGATCAACTTCAGTGGCATTTGGGCAACAAAAACAGCAATTAGTTGTTTCAGTGACCCCGGCATCATACATGGTCTCAATTTTTGCTCCATCGAAGGGTACTTAGAAAAACTTGTTGTTGTTTTGTTCATGTTCCCGAGCGTGCATTTGCAGATTTTCTAAAGTGTTCATGAAAAGTTTGGAAAAGTGCGAAAGGGACATTCTAAATATTGCACTTTTCAATAACATATGCCGATAAACGTGGTCAAAGATTCTAATATTCGTTTTTCAATAATTTCTTGTGATTTGATATACTGTTTGATTAATTTGAATTTTTATTAATGTGATTAATTTGTGATTAAAATGTGATTAATCTCGAGAGTGTACGTGATTTTAAGCAGTGATTTGCCCCTCGCATATGATTATACATGTATCACTGTAGGCATAGGCTGGCTGGAGTACATTATTTGCATATAGGCACTGCCAGGTTTTAAATATGTAAACAGTTGAACTGGATTTTATTTTCAAGGCATAGGCAGCTAAAATTGTATCCTCCACATTTACATTTGAATTTCAAGATTTTTTGCAAAAGATAGATACAGGAAGATTAAAGTAAAAATATTAATAATTTTAAAATTCGTTTTTGTTCCTTATTTTAGCAAGCCTTACATCTACAGATGATGAAGATAGCTTGACAAATTCGACATCGGTACTGGTCAGTCAGGAGTATGCGTAGTTGTACTTTGGAAAAAGTCAAATCATTTGAAAATCATTTATTGTTTGGTATAATTTGGCCCTTTGTTATTGGGCATTAATTTTGATCCAAGTAATGTTTAGGAAGTTTATGCATAGTGAGCAATTTGTTACAAAAAGCAAGGAAGCACATTTTTTCTCTATGCAATTTAGATATACTGATATGGTTTTGGCAAGAAGTAGGGTTGAGATGGACAATTTTGTTGAGACTATCCTCCTAAAGAAGGTACTTCTTTGAAAGCACAATGTACAAAGCAAAAAATTATAAACTTATTATGACATCAATCCCGTTTTCAAAATTATTTTGTATGATTGACTTTTAAGATATTCTAGACTTGGCTTCTTTTACAAATTTTATTGCCTGCATATGTAGCTGAAATGTTATCTGTAGTTGCAGCAAAAGTAGCATGCCTTTGAATGTAACCATTGTTGTAAATTTACGAGATTGATATTGCGTTACTCCTACTGCAATTCAAAAAATTAAATTGCAATATTCTTAACCCCACGGAGAGATTTAATTGAGCATTAGTGTTATTAGTGTCATATTATTGAAGTTACAAGATACCATTCAAGTAGTATTTCCTCTAAAGAACGCCACAGCGTTAATCCAACTTTTGGATGCAGCTTTTAATGCAGGATGACGTTTTTCAAAAGAAGGCATTTAATGCAAAATGAAAAGTTTGTGTCAAATGAAAAATGACAAGAAAGTGGGATGAAAAAAAGATATCAAGATTGTGAAAAATTGTTTATAGTTAACCTTTCTTTCCCAAAAACACGTAATGAAGATTGTGAAAAATTGTTAATAGTTAGCCAAAGATGTGTTCAGGTTATGGAAATGTCAAGGAATGTCAATATCCCTGTCTCCGTCAGAGTCCTTGTCTCTATGAGATAAAAACTTTTGAAAAGTAAGCGTATAAACTATTTGTTACTTCTTGTTTGGTGTGTTTTGTTATGAATGCTGCTATTCAAGATGCAGCATTTAAAAAGGGCAGCATTTATCAGCGGAGTGGCATTTATCAGAGGGCAGCATTTATCAGCAGGGCGTGTTTTTCATAAATGGATGGCTGAAGATGAGGCATTCATTAGAGGAAATACACTACTCAAATTCCCTTCACAGTAAACTTGTTTATGTGTGTTCTCATACCCCCTCTTGAGTAATTCCAGAACTAATGCCTAAAACTTTGTCATTTTATTTAATGGAGATATAAATCACAAATTAAAAGGCCGCAATTTTCTGAGAGAGCTAGCTGATTTTTGGTTATTGCTTTGACTCTATGCATATAATGTTTTATTTTATACCTCACCATGTTCATAATCAATTAAGAAAGCAAATAGACCAAAAAGGCTTTCCTGAAAGGCACCAGAAAGCATTTGCCCAGCAAACATGAAAACAAAACTTAATTTCATGACACTATATTAGATTCAAAATTCTGATCCGTTTATTTGTAGCAAACTTGTATTGTAGTAATTCAAGCATTGAAGGAGGTGGTAAAATATGCAACAAACATTTGGGGGATGAAAAGGAGAGACAATGGATTGTAGTCGATTGTATCTTTATCATTAACTGTACATACACTTTTGAAATAAAGCTTCATCATGTGTCTTGTTCCTTTGTTAACTGTGTCTTTTTCTTGTCAACAAATGATAAAATATCAAATGATATAGCTTGCAGATGCTTATTCCAGGTTTTTGAACTTTTAGCTTAGTGTAAAGACATTGATAGTTATTGGAATGAAAAAACCACACTACTGTTCAGACAAGGTTCTCATATTGATATGAGTCTGTCTGAAACTTCCATTCACAAAGCCTAATCATAATCTAAACAAATATATTTGTCAATCATCCTATGCTAAATCAAGTCATGCAATGCTTTTCTAAACCAATATTATCCTAAACTAAAAACTAAATAATATACTCTTCAGAACTTTCAACATATCTGGTACGCAATGTGAAATGGTATATAAATGGTATAATGAAATGGTATCTTGCCTTGCTTTTCTTAAGAAAAGGATGATTATTTTTCTACCTTTGATCACTAAGCTTTCTCAGACATTGTTACTTTTAAACTTTTGAATTGGTGGATAAATTGCCAAGGTAAAAACATGTTGGGAATTTTTTAAGGAGGTTTAGCCACCTCGAACAACTTTTAATGCGAAAAACTTTTTCAGGTAACTTGAAAAAAGACGAAAGATGTCTGTTGTTTTTCCAGCTTTTGAGATAATGAATTGTTTTCACTTTAAAGATGAAGATCACGACAATGATGATTAGGATGACGATATCTTTGTGCATGGCAATTAAAAATACCAAAACTCTTTTTATTAGTAGAAACTTTGTTCATTCATGGTAGTTTTTGTTGTCTCTGTTTGATGGCTTCTTGTTGACCACAATACGTCAGAGTCATGAACAGCACTCCTTGTAGAAAGTATCGACTGCTTTTTGTTCCTTATCAACGCTCAAGTTTAACGGATTTGACCGTTGGACGGTTGCAAAGGGATGTTAATGCTTCTTCCTGAACCTCTTGCGTTTCCCAGAAATAAGCAAGGGCGGAAATCCCCTTTTGAGGTAAATCTTCCTGCTTCCATGTTTAGTTGAATTTGCAAGCTCCGCGTTGTGAAGTTTTTCCACGTAGATGATACTTGCGTAGGCTGGTAACTTGATTTAAGACCACTTAACTGACCATAAAATACCAAACAACGATAAAAACGGCTGTATTGACGTACGTCGACACAAAATAAGCCAGTCAGCAAATAGGACCAAAGAAAAAGGGGCAGTCGAGAAGTATGTTACAGAATAGATGTGTCTCGATCCATCCAGGTTTGAGTTCATCATTCACCGAGCGCGTTTGAATCTATACATATTTCAAGAAGTTGCAAGCCAGTTTTATAAAGGAGTTAGCAACCGTTTTTCTTCTATCCAAGACTTGTGCTAACTCAGTCAATTTTCGGAGATTTAATCTCCCTTCGCACGAAGAAGAACAAGGGATAATGGGATGTCCTATCTTACTTTGGCTTTATGCAATAAAAATATTACATATTGACAAAAATAAAAAATCTTACAAATATTTATGATGAAATAGACTTGGCATTTTTTCTCTTTTTCTTCTTCTTTCGTTTCAAAAGATTGTTCGAATTTTCAGCCACGGTTTTAGTTGAGTCGCTTTCAATCGGAATCGAAGGGGTGTTGTTTTCTGCCTTTATTTGCATGGGGCTGCTAAGTAAAAAGCTAAGTATCATTGATTACACAACTATTGTGACAGCCTTATATTAACAGTTATAGTTAGGAATATCTAAAGTATGCTCTTGTGACAATTACGAAAGGGAAAATATTGTTCGAAAGAGGAAAAAATTCCAAATATCAGATAATCGGATTAAAAGATATTGATAGTTTGCTTGTTTTCCAGTGTGATTAATCTTAAGGCATCGTAATTACTTGAAGTCCTTCCTGCTTGAAGCCCATATCATCGGCGTTAGATTAAGAGGCGACACAGGATAAGTTAGAGCGGGCATTACTCTTAACAGTTTACAGCTAAACGCTAAACGTTACCTATTTTGATAGTCCAAATCGTTCACAGTTAACTGCACTGTCTCTTCTTCTTCACTATCGTCTAAAGAAAAAACAGGTAAAAACGTTAAAGGGAAACGAAATGTCTAACATTTTACCAAAGTCCTTCCTTTCTGTTATACCAACGTGACCTCTCCGGAGACCAAGCTGGTAGTTTCGATACAAAACTTCTACCATATGAATTTTTTTTCTAATATGAAACCTACAGCAAGGAACCATACCGACCCGTTAAAAATATTCTGTACGCTCGACAACAGAACTGGGTGCAAATGTACCTATAGATAAAAAGAGGTGAATTTCTGACTCGATTATAAAATCTCGCTGATCAGTACTTGTGACGTAAATACAAATGATTCTCTAAAATCAGAAATTTGAAAATGGCTTTGAAAAAAGCAAGCAGTTGAGTAAGCTAAAATCAGAAATATCAGCCGATTGTGTTATTCGCTGGCATAGCAATTTATTTCATTCCAGTCCCTATTTGGCCGTTCAGTCTGGTCTCTTTAGGGAGTTACGGCAGGTGAAGTGTTCCAAAGGTTAAAATCTAAAGAACACCCAGAAAATTAAGTGGAGGACTAAAATTTTGAAACAAGGTAGGGAGAATCGTTCAAAGGTAGAGGTGGGGTGGGAAATGAGAGAACAATCAAAAATTTTTAGTGCCTTTATTTTCTGCTTACATTCGGTTTTCTTTCGAATTATACATGAAACATCCTTCCTTAACTATTACACACGGAAACATACCATCAATCGTTATTGTCTCAACAGAATCTGATGATTTTTCTTCCCGCCTTTTACTGACAACCTCCATGTCTTCGCTGTCATCATCACTGATTACCCATGCATTTGTACCTCCATTTCCAACTGTTGCAATTTTAGATCGCTAAGTAAGAGAAGTCGACATTCATGGATGAAGTCTTTCTCAAAAATGACGAACACTAACAATCGTTAACTTATCAAAATTAAACTTGATACATGGCAAAAGTTTTTAACATCGCAGACCATTCTTAAACCTGAAACATGAGGTTAACAACATAGGGATATCATTCTTCTCATTTTCATTCTACCAATCGAAGATACAAGCAGGCTGCAATGGGACGCTGCTGTTTTCAAGTAATCCTTTTCAAGTGAATTAGCTGTTTCAATAATAAATGCTAAATTTACCTGTATTGATATCTTGGATGGGTCGATACTTGGGTTTGTGTCAAAGAACTTTGCATCAGTTGGCTAAACTTATAACAAATACTAAATGATTGAGCCATTTGGTGAGATCGTACACAAAATAACATAAATTAACTATTATTGATACCTACATTAACTAGTGATTAGGTTTGCTGAATTAGTGGTTGAGTTGCCTGGAAATGGGTTTCCTGAGTTTGATTATGTTATGGTCCATATACCTTTTCGTGACTGTAACAAATGTTACTCGAGAAATGGCTCAAAATGAAACATACAACAAGGGCTTATCATAAAATAATATTTCATTGTCATGAAAACAGGCCCATCAGTCTCTGGGTACGAAATGCAAGAGCTCTTGGGTGCGTCATGCATACGTCACTACGTCACTACAACCAGTATCAGGTGAACGGTGAATATCAACTGCGTCATGAATGCAAAACAATACACAAAGCATAGAACTGAGCAGGTAAAACACAACAATTAAGGAAAGGATACGGGGTTGTCGGCTTCATATGCACGTTTTCTAGGTGGAAAAACATCAAGCATTAAAATTTTGCAACCAGACTGATTGGGAAAAAAATAAGTCCCAATTTTCTATACAGAAACACTTTTCCTGTGCCCAAAAACTGTTTATCAAAAACTTCGTAGGCCTAAAATGGGATCTTAGGACGACGTTGATAAATCACTGCTCAAATATCTTGGAATCTATTGAATTATCAGCGCGCAAAATGTTTTTTTCTAAAAAAACTGAAACAGATTTTTACGGTTAATAAGATGCTGTCCGTGAGAAGTTTATGGGGCCAATAAAATTTATGCGGAAAATTCACATAGTCTTTCCTTTGCAGATTTCTGAGAATTTGAAAGATGTATCATTATCTTATGGTGTTAACATATCTTTAGAAGTTCAAGCACATTAAGATTCTAAATAGATAAAGACAAACTTTGTTTTAAAAATTCCGCTTTTGCCTATAAAATCTTGATTATAAATATGTCACTGTAAGTCATTCAAATGAATTAGCAAACAAAGTTCACTATATTTCCTTTCTTTTTAACAGATCTGCATCCATACATCAACATGATTTCTACCTGAAGCTGCTTTGACGACTTCAGTCAAGTCTATTTTTGAAGGTTCTGCCACTGTTTTTAGAATATTTTTCTCATCGTTGTCTCCAACTCTGTGCACTTTTACTGACTCTTTCTTTGGAAATCTATGTTGATAAATTGAGAAAACACAGACCGGTTACTAAATGACGATATGAGTGAAAAACTGAAACCGAGATTTGGATTTATCTTGATGGTTGTCACGATCTTGATCTAACGATGTTGAAAAAATTTGAAAACTGACACACGACATGACAGCATGATAATCATTCAAAGATTGAGCTTTTTGCTGAACAGATTTGTCTATTGAAAACAGAATTTGTAGGTATATGAAACCAAGCCAGATTTTTACACAGCTTGACTCAAACGATAACAATAAAAGATTGGAATTTCGTTCTTATAAAGTAGATCAGGCACTTATCTTCTTGAAAGCAAATGATTTTTATCAAGACGTCTAAGTTTTTTATGAAAGAATATACTGCTCGCCAATTTTCACGCCTTGCAATTTAAGGGCTGTCTTCCCAATGCTGTAGTGTTTTACTAAGGCGAAAATTCAAAATACTTTCGCAGCCGTACTTTGTCGTTGTTACTGCAAGCTCTAAGCTACATGCATGGCTTCTTTACAGAAATATTCATGGACGACAACAAGACCATATAGCGATGACAAAAGGGAAAATGCGTTCACTTGCAATTAAATGCCCTGCAGAAAATTTGGTGGCAATACTGAAAATGTATTCAATTGCTGAAACATCTTTCATTAGGTGTTCACCAATTATATGGAAGGATAGTTTACCAGAGTTAAAAAATTACAAGAAAATTCTATGGAGCAAAAGTAGTAAAGCCGCATTTGCGGAAGACCTAAAATGAACGGAAATGCATTAGAGACATATAAATTAGAGAAACGAACGTTACCGCTTTTCGTTATCGTTTTCTAAACTTTTCTTGATCTTTGCAGTTATCTCTTTGACTTTTGAGGAAGCTATTCGACAACACATTATAACCTGAGGGAAAGACAATATCAACAAAGTTGAGTACATTCAAAATTGTAAAAATAGAAATATATCTTGTGTGAGCATTCTTTGCAGTTTGAATAAAAAGGGAACAACTGGAAAGTAGCTTGGCCCATGATCCGTAAATCAAACCATAGGACAGAAGTCCTTGACAGCGCCCTGTAACCTTGCTTCGGTCATTATGGGAAAAGGCTTACAGCTTGACATACTTCACACTGTGAATACAGAAGCAGCTGAACAAATACGAGTCACAGAAAATATTACTCTACAGCATATCACAACCTACAAAACACGTGACAACATTCTTGAGCCAGGAACCCTAGTCGCATTTTAATAAAACCGTTCTTGTCAGCAGAAATAGCTAGTTCAAATAATATGCACAGTGTGACTAACCTTCTCTGGATCTATCGAAACACCACACATTTTGGCGCAACAGATTTCCATGTACGAGTTCATTGCTATCATCATCTTTCCATCCAGAACAAATTCTTCTAGTTCAGTTGGATCAAGTAGCGGCTTTTCACTTTATCAAACAATGTCAGAAATTCAATTATGATTAACCGATAACTAATTAGATCGAGTAATTTATTGCGAAGATCAATTCACAGTTCATCAGACAAAAGTAACAATTACCGGGTCTATGTTAGCAAAATGCTATAACTTCAGCTGAAAAACACAACTTGTCTTAAATTGAGAAGAAATGCGTTTACAATTTATCAAATAAAAGGTTTCGTTATAAAAGTATAAAACGCGTTTCGTTTTCCAGTTAATGAAGATAGAGTAATCAATAACTCTGTAAGAGAAACGCAGGTTTAAATTGATAATATACTGAATTCGGAGATTCACTTCACCGAGACAAATAATCAAGCTCTTGAAAAATCTTTTTGCAAATCAAGTGAGCTTCGAATCGTCAATTTTTTTCCTTGATTGGCACAAAGGTAAATGAAAATTTGAAGACGATGAGAAGAAGATTCTGGGAGAGGATCTATGGTCCATTTCTACAGATTGAAATAATGTGGGTTTATCATTTTGCATAAAAACAGCTTGCACTACAAAGATTATAACCATTTTTATAAGGATAACACCCTGAGTGGTAGTTCTTTACTCAATATTAGACTAACACGAAGGGGAAGCAAAATGCGTTTGAGGCAGAGATTATTCGAGATAGTGGGTGTACGTGACAGCGGATGTTAACTGTAGCATTTATTCTCTGGGAATATATCTTACCTGAACTCCAGGAATCCGAGTGTGATACATATTGGCATATGATAGACACCCAGCGGTACAGGCTCTTTGTCGTCAAAAGAATGCTAAATAAATGCAAAGAAGATGAAGCAGAATTAGATGACAATTTTGTCACAAACGTATTATCAAGGGTATTATCATGGTAGGCGAGTATCGAGTTTCTCTGAGCTTAACAAGTTCTTTGCAATGTCACAGACGTTCCTATAAATGGCAGTTGTTCCTTTTTATAGCCAATATAGTAACAATATAGTGACGTAGGATAATAACTTTCCCTGTAGCAAGCTTAAAGGTAAAGAAAAGCGGTGATTGGACCATTAACGGAGGCACTGATTTATTCAGAAAAAAAAGCATTTCATACTCACGATTTCTATATCTTTTCCCATTATTGTCACAACAGGAAGTCTGTGGCAAAATTAAAAACAATTCATCGATTTTCAGGCCTGAAAACGAGATAAAACCTACTCGCTTTCGCTTTGCGTTCACACTGCCTTGCTATGAAGGCAGATTTGTTTGAAAACGCAAAATAATAGGGACACTTTAAAAGTCTTAAATACGTCCCGTTTTCAGTGTCAACACCAAAACGGAGACATTTGAATAAGCTAGCAACACAACAACTTACGTGCTTTCTTGCCAACCAATTTTCAAACATTTCAAATGTGAAATTCGCAATGGACGGTCGATTTTACAAAAAATTAACTCAAAATTACGTCTTTCCTGAGCTTAATGGCAATTGTCACAGTTTAAACTGAGGCCTCTATTTGAAGATGAGGCTACCAAAAACGTTTTTGTTTGAGCAGTGTGGACACCTTTCGTATTCATAGCACAATCATATGAAATAGGATCAGCGTGAACAGACATCGTTTTCACCAAAGAGAATGAATAGAAACGAATATGGAGCAATATGAACGTAGCCTTTATGACACAAAAAGACTACCTTAGGGAATCACAACATCTAAAGAAACAAACAGCAGTAAACTATTGATTTTTTCTTTATAGCTGAATCGCTAGAGCTGGAGACGTTGATAGATAGCCAGATGTGATAGACAACGATAACATAATAGACAAGAAGTGTATTTGTCGGAACTTTTCCATTGCTTTCGGGCATTTTTCTTCTAACCATAATTGCTACACGTAGTTGGTAAATTATTTGCTATAAATACAGAATTGTGTAGTGATTAGTTTTTCCTACGGTTCACTTAGATGGATCGCATGGTGAACTCGTTAGGAACGCGGGAAAACCCTTACAATGCTTGTTTACTCCATAACTTGGCTACAGATACATGTTTAGGTAAATTTAGTTATAAGCGTTCAGCGTGTTATAGGCATGCAGCGTTATTTCTACATAAAAATTGCTGTTAATTAGCTTTAGTTGACGTAAAACTGCACATGTTATTCTTGCTTCTTATTGGTAGTTAAAATTGGAGAATTTTTGTAGCGTTACTCAGAACCAGGGAATTCAGTTAATTGTGAATGCAGATGCATCGTAAGATGTAAACACGATGGTTGATACCAATGATACCGATGGTTGAATAAATACAGGTTGAATAACAGTAAAATCCTGGTAAATCGAACCACCAAAGGGACGATTGAAAGGTTTCGAGTTAATAAACATTCGTGTCATTAGGGGTTCAAATTATTGGAATGACACCAAGGCTTATCTTCGTCAAGATGGTGATTCATCTTTGAAACCTGCTACCTTATAATGACGATATAAAAGTCCTTTACTTCTATATGCCAAAAGTCATTATTGAGAAGAGGGTGAATCGACGAAAACAATTGGAAATATTAATTGTTGTAATGGAACCGGAACCATTGTCTCACGAAAGGGGGCAGTATTAGCTATGTGCAGTAAGGCGCCTGCTTGAATTGGGCAAAGTTAAGAGAAAGAAGTTGAAAATGACCCAAAAGAAAAAGGGGAAGCGTAGCAAGGAACGAAGGAAGGATAGAGGGAAGGAAATGGAAGAAAGAAACGAAGGAAAGATTAAATATAAGAATTGAATACTGACCTGAAATGGCGTAACGCTGCTATTGCAGACAAACAAGCACAGTCTAAAATATTTCCTGTGTCATCAAGAACTTGAATGTCAACCCGTATACACCATACCTGCAAAATAATTAGAAAAACACCAATAAAAGCTAGATTACTTATTCATGCTAACAGCTAACTTGAATTTTGTTGCATATGAAATCATATATAAAAGAATCCACTTGCGTGAACAAAAAAATCTTTTCATGGAGATCATGAAGATAATAATGCTGCAATTATTACGAAACCACAAATGATGGAGAGTGACACCCCTTGGCGCATTGAAATCAGCATTTTAAAAACAAACAAGCTGCCAGAACCTGGGGTTATTAACTACTAGTATTTTACTGACCATTGCTAGTTTCTTCAAAACATTCTGCTTTCTAACTGACAAATTGTATAAATTGTTACTATATTGTAGAATTTGTATAACATATTGCCCAATTATAGAATACTCAGATTAGTGAAAAATATCGAAAGAACAGACATTCAGGGGTCAAGTAGTCGATAAGCTAAAAACTATTGAGTAGATATGTCGATATACCTTCTCTCCTGCAATGATACACAGTGATTCGGTATCAATTGCCTTTGATTCTTTCAGGCATCTTTCAGCAAAACGATTTAGATCTATGGCTTCGTTTGAAGGCCTGGTATTGAATAAAGCAGATAAAACCTCAACTTTGAAAATATATGTATATGAAGTAGAAAATTATTTGAATCGAGTGTTGCTAGAAAATTTTGCAAATGCAGAATAAGCCCGTAAATAATAAAAAGACGGTAATAAAAAGTGCAGTGTCTTCAAAAATTTTTTAAAAATCAACAGTCGATATCGAAAAAACACGAATTAAAATTTTGCAAGTCTCGATTTTAAACAAAACATTATAGAAAATATAGTGCCTATTGTGACAGCTGATTTTTACAACATGAAATTACCTCCCAGTTTCAAATGCAGGTGATGCCATGGGTGATAGATCAATGTTGACAAATAGTAGGCCCTCCTTCGGCCTGCTTTCATTTGGTTCTACAACTTCACATGAAACTTGTGCCAAAGCCCTGTATTAGAAAATAAAGGTCTACTAGACAATCTTTTATGTATAACAGAATAAACACAACAATAGATGCCACACAATAGGAGAAAAACAATGTCAATAAACAGCCACACATGGCCAGTATAAAGTATGTAGTAAGTCCCTCCAAGTGGATGCTGGATGAAAAACTAGACAATACCTCCACCAGAACTAAAAAAAACTATTATTTAAAAACTACTGTGAATTTTATTGTTTGTTTTGGCTACTCTATAATACTATTACAGCTTGTTAAGAGTTTGGATTTAACTATTTGCTGGCTCTTGACTTTTAAAATCCCGAAGTTCTATGGTTTTACTCAAGAGGTATTTTGAGGAACTTTTTATAGTGGAGATATTATGAAAAAGGATTTAGTTCCTTACTGTGATTTAACCAAAAACTTTGATGTAACTGAAGGCAAACTAAGGGCAGTTGATACTAAGGAATCATTGCCCAGCTTGTGAGAAATCTTTGGGCAATCTTTAGGCCTTGTGGGGAGTGGGGAATCTTTTAATTAGTATTTTGGTTAAAGGATTTCCTGTTTACATTAACTGCTCATTTTGTCCCTATATCCTTTTCTATAGCTATTTCATCCCTAATTACTGGAGTTTAAAGCTCAGAGTACAGGACTTTAAACAATGGATTTCACTCAGATATTTTTGTGATGTATATGCAGAGAAAAAACTTAATAATTTGCTGAACACTACCTTGTTCTACCAATGCACACTTCACAATGACCAAAACTCTCTCCAAATGCAATCTTTAACTGTCGATAGTCATGAAATTTTCGACCATCCTGACGCTAAAAAAATCACATTATTTTTATTGACAGATCAATTTGGCAATCTAAAATATACTTAATATGTTTCTGATTTTAAGAATAACATAATTCTGTCAAGACACATCAAAAGAAAATATAAAATCTTTGTTGGTATTGATCAAAATTGAAATTTAAAGAGGGTATTAAAAATGATGTAGAAAAGATACCTAAATACTTTAAATGACTTGAATACTTTGAAAGAACTTTACATAGAGAGTATTGCTTTTTTGTATTGCTTTTTTGTATTGTATTGTATTGTATTGTATTGTATTGTATTGTATTGTATTGTATTGTATTGTATTGTATTGTATTGTTTTGTATTGTATTGTATTGTATTGCATGGCCAGTCCTGTTAATATTAGGCCTGCCATCGCACGCGCAAGCCTCCACACACCCCTAACACTCCCCAGGCTTTATTTCAATCGACACACAGCAAAATGTTTTGACTGACTTTTCGTTTTCTCTTTTGCTCCTTTATTTTTTTCTAATTTGTTATCTTGATAGCATTTCTCGAGGTGGGGGCATAATCACTCTTTAAGGTCCTGCTTCCATTACTCTGCTTTTGTATGCCTTCGTTTTCAGATCATTCCATTTTTGTATATTCTAGAACCATTCCCATTTTTTCAGGTAATTTTTAGTCAAAATAAAAACAAAGATGTTTCAATTACTCCATTTTCATCCTTTCTCATATCCTTTGTTCGAGCTCTTTTTGAAACTGAGAATGAATGACTCTTTTTTTGAATACCTCTGTCTTCACTCTTTCTAATAAAACAATTCATTTTCAAATGACTCCATTGCGAACAGGATTTTCCAGTCACTTTGGTTTGGGATCAAATAACTCTATTTTTGAGAGTATTAGTGGGAATGCAAAATCCAGAATCCGGAATGCAGAATCTAAGATGGATTCAATCAAATTTGTCCTCATACAAAAACATAGTAATTGCAACAGCGCCTTGGGTCATTTCATATGAAAATGACACAAAATTCTGAATTTTTAACCCATCATCTCAGAATTAGCCAATTCTTTGGTCTCTTTTTCTGTTCTAAAAATAGTGCAACCTGAAATTTTTTCTGATTTCAACTTATATTCTATGTTCCTCCATTGTTGTTTTTGCATATATACCCAAAAATGGCAAATAATGGAACAATAGCATGCTATAAAAAGAAATATAAGATGGTGCTGTTGCCATAGGAATGACTGGTTGAAACTACTTTATGATTTTCTCTATGTTGCTTAACACTGAATGGCCTTATTTTTTATGTGTGTTCTTCCAGTGTAGTTGTCCCTAGCTACTGAAGCAAACCCAATGGGAATTAGACTGGTACGAAACAGATGTTGTTTCTTGTCACACTTAAAATTTGGATGGCAAACAAGTGTATTTATAAAATTGTCTTTTTGGTCTGCATCCTTGATTATTGGAACCATAATATCAGTGAACATCATAAACTGCAATCTCTTTTACTTGTGTCATGTCATTTTTTTCATTTGAGAATCTTTGATCAATTTGAGTTTTCATTTTTTACTGTAAAAATCAATTGGTAACAAAGGTGATCATGTTGGACAAAAGACTCAGGAACCAATATTGTCTTTGGTAGCTCATGTTTAGTGCAGAGGGCCAAGTATTGACCCTTGTGCTACTCCTTGTCAAAGCCTAGCCCACTTGCTGTAGTGTCCTTTGACTTTTTTATTTCGGTTGTTTAGGGTAATCATGCATAAGCAGATGTCAAGGACTTTCTCTAAAAAGGGGATTTTAAAAAGAGCAGGCTAGGAAGTAAAGTTTTTTGTAATAGGCACATAAAAATTTGAGAATTTCTTTTCAAGACTGGGTGAGTGCATAAGTTTGCTTTTCAAAATACTTTCAAAAATGCTGCTGGTAGATTTACTTGTCTATAAAAATCCTTGTTCAGGGGATATTTTTCTTAGAAACTTTTGCCTTTTTAAAAGATTTAGGAAAGTTTCCGTGAAAAATGTGTCTATTTATTATGTCAAATAAAGGCTGCACGATGACATCGATTGAAAGAATTTGTATGTATCATATCATATCCATTTGTAAAAAAAATGTTCTGAGTTTCAGAGGCAATGCTTTGAAGAAAAAATACATTTCTCTATGAGTTGCTTAATAACTTTTATGCTTTTTGTCCGAGTCGTTTGGTTGCAAATAAGATCTTGACGAGAAATGTCATGTCATGCTATGCACGGCGTTCTATTAGAAGCAGGCGTACAAGTCTTGCTTAACAACAGTTAAGAAGAATGATAGGCACTTATTCGAATGCTTGAAAAGGTCGTGGTTCGCTGTTACATGAAGAACGGCAGATATATGGCTAAAATTTGTACAAAAGTAGGTGATACTTGTTGGTTGTTTGTTTTTAATGTGGCGAACAAGCTTTTATTTAATATTATAAGGTTTTGATAATTTTTCAGATTTTAAAAACTTCATACTTACAACTTCCCTTTGCAAAGCAGATACAACAAAGTCTCTTTCACATGTTGACCTTACAGGATCAGCCGCCTTCATCCTGAAACACCAAAACAGTCACGAACTCGTGGAGTGGATGAAAGTAGGCCTACTTTGCACCAAAAGTTATGAATGAAAACGAGGCAATTTGATGGCATCTATCGCATGTTGATCATGGCAGCAAGTGATGTTGGGAAACGACGATGAGTTAACCTAAATCAAAAGCAAGTGTTTTCAATATGTTATTAAAAGGAAACTGTAGAGTTTATATCAGGTTAGCCGTCAATTCAAAGCTGGTAACAAAATTGACAGCATCACTCCCAAAGCAAGGAAGACAACTACGATCAATCAGATATTATGTAATGCGATTGGATAGTAGAGGGTTTTGTAAAAACTGTAAAGACTTTAAGGTACTACATACCCCTCCACTTGCAGCTTCAAAGTCTTACCCAGATTTCACCACAGGATTGAACGGTGTCGAGAATGAAAGTGTCGATGGAGTACGACTAATCGAAATACTGGAAAATTTAAACAAGAAGATGCAGTATAAAAAGTCCATTGAAGTATTTCAAGAGTTCCACTGTCGTAAACCAGATTGGCTGCACCAATGGCCAGCACAGAAAATCGCTGCAGCCATACTTCATGCTTATCGGAAAACTGGTTTATTTAACTCTTTTTATAGCTTGTATGATAAGTTGGTAAAGGCTGGATTTAGACACGGAGAGGGGATTTATGTAACTCTTATTAAAAGCTCTGTACAAGAAGATAACTGGGAAAGAGCCTTGAAGTACCTTAAAGTGAGTATTAGATAATTAATAAAAGTCATGATGTCTCTGCCATTTCAGTGGTAAATGGTTTAATACAGGTTCCAAATAGTCAAAATCGTTAGCACATTCTACCACTAACCAGCTTTTTAATTACAACAGAAGTTGTCAACATTCAAATCCCTTTTTGGTATCAATGCAAACTATATTCTCACTCAATTTAAAATCGTTATGAGATGTAGCCATCATTGACAACTGTAAATTCAATGCCTTTTTCTTAGTCATATAATTTGAGATAAATATTTCATATTTTTCTTAGGAGCTGAAAGCTATTGGCTTGAGGAATGTAAGAATTTACCCCCATGTTATCAAGAGCTTGATATCAAATAATCAATTTGAGAAAGCAATGGATCTTTTCGAAGAGATGCAGAACTTTGAGTTGAACCAGAAAACTAAAAAACCATTGCAAGATCAAACACTGCTCATTGATATAATGCATGGCTATTCCAAACATGTTTTGCATGAACATTGTAATAAAGCTGATGTGAAGATGAAAGAATTTTCAGAATTAGTGTACAACATGCTTGATTATCTAAGTGACAGATGCTTTGTGTTGTCCATTGCTCTTAGTGATGTCATAGTTTCAAAACTGAAACAGTTTGATGCAGATTTTTCAATAGAACCATTTGACAAACAAAGAATGATGAATAGAAGCAATCATAATGATGAAGCACTCAGTGAAAAGGATATTGAAATGTTCATTAATCACATCAGTATGACAGTAAAGGATGAAATGGGAAAGACTGAAATAGAAGATGTTCATAAATTTATTGCAGTTCATGGCCCCTTTTGCAATGTCATCGATGGTTCAAATGTGTTACTATCAAAAGGACCTGGTTTTCAATCAATCCAAACAAAATTCAAACCTACTAATCTTTTACATTTGCTCAAGTACTGTAAAAATATATTTAATTCAAGAAAATCTGCCATTGTGATGTCTTCTGCAATTGAGAGCCGCACTATGTTTAGTGAGAGTGAACTTTGTGCCACATTGAGAGAGAAGTATGAAATGGAAGTCTTGATTGTCTCTCATATACCAGATGATGTAGCACTGTTGCTGACTTGTTTGTTCAGCTGTTTACATTCATTAAAGCATACATCAGATGTTAAGCTCATAACCAATGACTATCTACGTGATCACATTTCAGCATTAGGGCACCATCGGTGGAAGTTTTTGAACTGGATTCACTCCAGACATTGGAAGTACTCTTGGGACTGGAATAGCAAGATCACCTTGCACAATAATCAGCCTTTGTTACAGAATAAATCTAAGTGGATACTGCCATTAGAGGATGGAAGAAATTTATTGATAACTAAAAAAGGCTTGTAAGCTGTAAATTAAGACATTTTTCAAGAATCAATGATTATCTTTTGATTTCTCTTTCTACTGATATGTTGATGTGTTAAGGTTGTGAAAAAATTGCCCCAAAATTGAAGATGTCTGAAATGAATGGCCTACTACTTAGTACAGAAATACACCTTAATACTTCTAATCTGTTGTGAATTAGAAGCATGCTAAAATGCAATCCATTTTGCATAGAAAAATCAGTGTTGATCCATCACTATAACAACTAAATGGCCTAAATTATGTGGAGGTTAGTAGTGCTTATTTTGCTGAGTGCCAAAAATCCTCAGTTGAAAACAGGGGACTTGCCGTTAAGGACAGTTCTATATGGGGGCTAAAGCATACTCACTTTTCAAAATTCGGTAACACTGCCTGAATGGTTTCATTCAAAGCAAAAAAAAATGTAAAGTTCTATATGAATATCTAATTTATCCTTTGACTAAAATCGTTTGTAATTTTTTGTGGTAACTGGAATAAGCATTCAATGGGGCCTATCAATATAAAAACTAGTACAGTGGTAGAGAAAGATTGTTTACAATCCATGATGGAGCCAGATTAGAGGGGGGCCTAAGGAAGGCTGTGTTCTCTTTTTTTTACTTCTCTGCTACATCCCAAATGTCTCTTCCAGACTGTTAAGAAGCAGAATTAAGCATTGAATAAAGCATTTTAGCACAAAGGGAAAATCAAGCGCAACAGCTTCAACAAAACACTTACAAGACAAAATATTATAATAACCTAGTGTTATTTGCTTGTAATGTTTAACAAGGCACGTTTGTAGCAATGTTACAGTTATCTAGTGCAGTTTTGTCATCGAGTTTTAAAAAACACCAGAATTCAGAGCTTGATGAATATTCGGGAATATTGCCGATTCGATCGTCGAAGGGAGTATCGTCCCCTCAATACAGACTACACTCTTTTTTATAAGAACAATTTTATAAGAAGACAAGCCTCAAAAGTTAAGAACAAATTAAGAACAAACTGAGGCTGAGCTACTGTAAAATGCAATTTCGAACAACTTTTTATTTAAAAAACGACGATTTTAAGCCATGTGTGAGTGTTTTTGCGGTGAATATTCAAAGTTGTCTGGAAATGAAGGCTGTCTCACTCACTTTGTTGGAAGATAAGGTCTGAAAACCTCCCTGGAGCGGAATAGCTAGCAATTGTGACTGCTTACACCTTATTAATTTAAGAAAAAATTAAGAACAGTCAGCCTGATTTTAAATTTACTGGTTCTTATAAAAAAAGAGTGTACTGCATAATTTGAAATTGTTACCTTCAAAATTTGGCCAAGAGAACAGAAAAGAAACGGCTGCTCAAACAGATGACTCAAAGCACAGTTCTGCCACTTATAGTGACATTGACAACAATAGGTCAAGCAGAATCTCATTTGCCCCCCTCCCCCTGTTACATTTCAGGTTTTGACGTTTCCCAATCAATTCAAAAATCCAATTTACCAAATGAAGTCAAAAATAGGGCGTAGCTTCGTTTAGTTTTGAGAAAAAAATTTCACCAAGTACAATACTTCAGCTACATATTCTCTTAGGAAAGAAAATGAGAACTAGGAAATGGAAAGCTTTGGAGCTGTCTCGTATCACCAAGAAAACATACACTGACTTCATGAACATTTGTAATAAAAACAGCTTTATCTAGCTCGAGAGGGGGTGGTCTCTGACTCCTAGTCATACTGTGGCTTTTGCCTAAGGTTAGTTAAATAACGGAATAAAGATTATAAATGATTTACTCGGTTATGCTAATATGATCATTTTTCATTATTGGTGCCTAAAAACAGCTTGGAGTGGGATTGGAAAGAAAGACACCCGTATTGCAATTAAAGTTACTCTTAAAATTGGTCTTATTTTTGTATAAATTGCACTGCAATTAAGACAATTAGCACATGAAACGCAAATTTCGATACGCATGTTGATTTCGCGACTGTTTCAGATATCATTTATTACATCGTGTATCAAGTTGATACTGGGAACTGTTACATTAACTGTCCGTTGATTTATCTTTTAACTCTGCAATGAGCACTCAAACACTTTAATTTCGCAAACGAGAGTTATCAGGTCTTTCCGGTACTTATGTAATTGCTTCTAAAAGATGGGGGTTCCAATTGAGGGTCACCGGGCATTAATTGTTATAAAAGGTAGACAAGCAAGCAGAAAACGATAGTCATTTTTGAGAACTGTCCAAAGGAAGCCGTCCAGCAAGTATAACGAAATGAGGGGCGCGGTCATATTAATGTGCTTGACCGTCCTGGCTGTCGCTTTAGTGTCCCATGGTCACTATTTAAAGAACAAACAAGTCGATCAGGAGGATGATCTGCCACGTAAGTTACTCTTTCTTTGCTCACTGTTTTGACAAAAAGAATTTAAGAAAAGAAGTGTATTTGAGTGCACAGTGGCAGAATAAAATTTCTGTCACACCCCTTTTGCTTGTATGGATTTTAATAGGAAAGAACGTAAATGATGCAACAACCTTAGTTTGCTCGATAATTTTGTAAATTTTTTACTAATGGAAAAGAATTTGTCAACGTTCTTCTTCGAAAAATTGTTTAGCGCTACCACTAGAACCCGCTACATTAGTACCAAGAAGAAATGTCCCATCTAAGCACTTCCTTGCTTTAATTTCCGAGAAACGGGTTTTGTCCACCAACCAATTACCTCGATAAAGATAGACTGGAAATTTTTCACGGTTTCGAGTGCCGCGCTCGAATTCAAAAGGCTCTGGTAACTTGAAAATTTTAAAAGCTTCAAAGTAGACTTTCAAAGTGTCAGAATTTTTTTCTCAATTGCTTAACGAATCTGAGATGAATTTGGCTTGGATAATAAGCTTCTTAAATGCATGAGATTGTAGGATTGTAAAATTTTAGAATTATCCCAAGTCTGGTTATCGAAATAAAACATTAATGATCACAAAATCGAGCTACAAAGCTGGATTTTTTCCATCAAATTTTCACAATTTTCTTGTATAATTTAGTTTAAAATTTCTTTTTGGTGTTGTTCATAGGAGGCATAAAAGACAGCTCATTTGTGATGGACAAAACTGACGCCAATGCCTTCCTTAAGAGTCCAACATTTCGTAGGTCGTGGTTTAAAGGTTCCCACGGCAGTTTTTTTAAAGGGTGCGTTCGAGAGGAGTGCGAAGAAAACGGAGAAAATAATGGCAGTAGAAACGGTGAAGAAAATGGAGAAGAAGATTAATTTGGACATGCACACAGTCATCGAAATAAATTCAAACCTATCTAAATAAATTGTTTTATTCAAATAAATTTTTTGCGTTCAATTATGCTAGCAGTTAGTTTTTTTCCTGTGTCTCGAAGTCTGCATTTTTGCCCAGACACTATTGTTCTGCTAAAGGTTTCAACAATTTTTTTATTTTAATGACAGCTACAACCCTTGCCAAAACTGTTGGAACAATTGCGCAAAGCTGAAGCTTTTCTGAAAAATCCCCCCCCCTACCCCCCCCCCCATTACAATGCTGTTCAATTTGACTGTTTTGATCCTGAAGGTAAAAATTTCTTCACTGAAAGCTGTACGAAGGTATTGAGAAAATAAATCAACATTGTACGGGGGGAGGGGGTCGAAATTATTGAAGCGCCAGTGATATTTTGGTAAGGTAGCTTTAGACTTGCTCTGTTTATTTGCATGCTGCAATGGGAAGGTGTTCCAGTTATTTTTGGCAAGGATTGTAGGTAATCTAGATTCTCACTGCAATCAAAATCTATAAAGAAGAAAAGAAGGAAAAAGCATAATAGTCGCCTGTCCTTCAAACCTTGAATGTTGTTATGATTTAAGATACATTTACAGTAATTTGTCTCTTATAAGGCTACCCCTGTTGACACCCCTCACTCCCTCTTTGTCGGGGCAATATATATCAACCTCAGCTGTGTATGTCGCTTGTCACAACTGTGGATGGCCTCATTTCGATGCTATCTCATCCTTGCATGAAGTTTATATTATCAAGTCCTAAGGCCAGCATCCACTTCCTCAGCCTCTTGCTAATTTATGATAAGATACTCGTTGTTTACTCGCAGCTCACCCCACCTTCAGAAGACGGATACTTTATTTAAATGTCTTGTTCTAGAATTTGATTCTGAAACCTTGGTGTAATTAAAAATCACTACGTTAAACAAGGTTGTAAATACTTGTTATAAAGGGCTTTAATGCTTGTCAATCACTGGAAAAAATACGCGATGTTTGTCAAACTCGAGTTTCATAGAATGATTCGCTGTTCATAGTTTCAGATTTTGATGGGCGGGGGCAGGGCAGCACGGGGGCAGGGCAGCACGGGGGCAGGGCAGCACGGGGGCAGGGCAGCACGGGGGCAGGGCAGCACGGGGGCAGGGCAGCACGGGGGCAGGGCAGCACGGGGGCATCAAAGTGCCCTTTTCAAAAAATTGATTTCCGAGTATTATTGAGTAAAATATATCAATATTTGATATCTTATATTGATTCATAGTATCCTGATATTGATTCGTATCATTATTTGGCATGCTTAGTAATGAAAACTAGGTTTCAAGCATCTCTTGATACATACATGCAAGAGAAAAACCAATATTTTCCATTTGATGAGAACTGAAAATCGATTTGCGAAGCAATTTGTCCAAAATAAAATTTTCGTTGATGAGTTCTCTTTGCTGTCTATTATTATGCTGTCTGTTATTATGCTGTCTATCATAAATATTATGTTTTGGTGTATTTAGGCTAAATAGTTGGTTTTTATTAGTTCATTTTTCTTAAGAGTACGAGCTATAATTGATTCACACCAACTGTAAATAAGAAGTTTATTATCATTATTGTTATGATTTAACCTTCATGATAATGCTGAAGAGATTTCAAACTGCTACCAACGTTAGCTCGCATATGTTCGATATATCAGTCAAGACATTAATTATGTCTTAGTTTCAAGACGTAGGAACTTGAGGCCCCTTTTATCCAGAATTCAGGTTACCTGCCCCTTTGCAGCTCACCGAATTGCTATTCATTGCCAACTGCATAGCCATCAAGTGCCCTTGAATTGCTAAGGTGCCACGACCTAAAGCATTTCTATTCGATCAGCTTTTAGAAACAACAAAAACAACCTCACAACCAGGGTTACCAAAAGGTGATGGCGATGGTAAATTGGCATTGACCTTTCAGGTTTAGGGGGCCCTCGAGGTTTCCAGTTTGTGAAGGCAATTAGTAAGACATAAAAAACTTGCACAATTTTTAAAACGATTGCAAGAAATCTAAATCTAAAGTTTAACCTAGTCTATAAAAAGAGATTAACCAAAGATTTTGTTCCCAGAAAACCTAACACTGAATCAATTAATAATTGATAATCTTAACAAACCAATCAATATGTTTTCAATTTTTTGGCATGTTTCATTGCTTTTTTGCTTCCTTGTGGTCACAGAAACACAGATTACAGGAAAATTAACGTCCAATTTGAGTCCATAATAAAAACAAAAAACCTCTCGGGCTTGGTATATGTACCTGTTTTGCTTAGTATGGTATAGACTGTTGCTCAGAATTTTCAGAAAGTTTTTATGGGTGAAAATTGAATAAAACTGTTTTAAATGATTTTTAAAACATATTTGGGATGAGCTACCATCCTTACTTGAAACAAGTAAGCGCATATGTTAACTTTGAAGTGATAATGGAATGTGCTAGGTGGATTTCTAACTATGAAGCAGGCCCAAGACTTGGGGGCACAAAGAGCAGCGTGCGCACTTATCTTCAAAGATTTTGCTATTGTCCTTTCAAGAGGAGCAAAGGCCCATTTTATGTTAGATTTTACTATGACTTTCTGGCCAGAATATCTTGGTGACCTGGTGACTTGATCAAGTGCCTTTCCAAAAGTCTTGCTTCCCTCAAGTTATAATTGCTTCCTGTATCCCCGAACAGGCTTTAACAACAACATCAATTATCGTACTACTCTTGACTGCAGTATGGATCTACCTATTATGCTAAACATTTTTTCAATACTATTTTCTTAATAAAACAAAAACATCCTAAAGATCATAGCTCTCTAAGGTGTTTGAAGATGGGTGTACTGGCCAGTACATTTAGTTTGTATTACATTCATCTGTGTGTACCTCAGTTGGATAAAAAAGTCTAGATACTGCAAATAGATCTGGGCTAGCAAGATTAATCGAACTGAATTTTATTTATCACCAACACTGCATAAAATGAAAAAGTTATGATAAATTTAGCCAACTCCAAAATGTTGTTCATTTAGCAAAGAATTGTTTCTCGATATCCTCCATCAGTTCTATTTCGTCATCATTATAATGAATAGTGAGATCGCCCTCTTGTCTTACTGCAGCTGAATTTTTCCCTTCGTTTGCTAGGCTGTTTACCATCCTGCCGTGTGATTCAGTTATTCTGAAACTTTTTAAACTAAACTTTCTCTGCAATTCAGTTCTCGTGCCGCGCTCTTCGGCTATTTTCTTGTTTTCGTTGCATTTCCGAGCACCGGGTGAAACATCCATCGACAGAATATCTTCAATTGAATTCCATTCGTCTAACTCTGATCCTCTTTTGCTCTCCGAAGCATTTCTCGTCTCTTGATAAAGCATCTTAGGCAAAGTTAGGTCTAACAGCAAAGTCTGCTTCACAAACGAGTTTTTTGCATTTCCTAAAAGAACACTGTCCTCTGTATTATCAGGCTTTTTCACAAACAACAGTCCTGCACCTGCCTTTCCTCCAATTCGTTTTCTCACTCCACTTTTTTTATCGCTTTCACCGCGATCTTTTTTGTCCGACCCATACAAAGGAGGCAGATGTTTCCTTTTCGCCTCTTGGATATAATCCTGCAGGCTTCTACTTAGTTTTACTCGACGGCCAAGTGAGCCAAGATTTTCTTTTTTCAGCTCTTGATTTTGGCACATTTTTTTAAGCTTGCAAAAAGATGATGATCCAGCGTTTGCACCTTCTTCTACGATTTCCGTCTCACTGTAGCAATTGCGTAACGATTCATTTCTATCTCTTCTCAACTTATTCAAAGAACTGCTGGAGCTGAGAATCTCCTGAATACAGTTAGAGTATTTTCGGTCTGAGTCTAGCGTTTCATAGCTACAAACAACATACTCGAAGTCGCCGTTTCCATTTCCAACATCTTTGCTATCTCTACAATCTGCCCCTGTTCTGCCATCTGCATTAGCCGGCAGAACATTGATTCTGCCTTTGCTAGGCTTTATCTTATTTGCAGGTTTGATTTTTCCTTTGGAGCAAAACGGAAAACACTTCATATCTTGGCTATATGCTTGTGCAACTTTCAAAAAATGAAGCACCTTCTTTCACGATTTAATTTCTTATAACGTCATATGAATGGTGGTCACGTGACGGTTTGTTATCATTTTATCAGTTGATTATGAAAGGGCTACCTGGGTCATCTACGTAACTTGCAGTCTTGGTCTTTTCTTCAAAAAGAATAGCTGAGATAGTTGACTGGGTAAAATTGGTTTGGTTGCAATAGAATAAGCAAAAGTACTTGACATGTTGATCGATAAAAAGAACATTTTTATCTGCTACCTTGGTTTTAATAGAGTTTCGAAGCACTGCTAACAAAAGATGAAGTAGTAAAATGGTGACCCAAAAACTCAGTGTTCCACTCACAGCGAGAAATTGCAATTTACAGTTTAACAGGGGAAATGAATCCACCTAAAACTCTGTTTCTGTGAAGCTATCCAATGATTATTGAATCAATAATGATAAAATTGATGCAAAGACTATAGCTGATCGCATATGGTATTGCTGTAGTTACTGTGCGTATGTGGCTAAGAGAGAGAAAAAAGGGATTGAGAGTAGTTGAAAGGAAGGCAGGTAGTGTGAGTGTGACTGGATTAGTCTGGATGTGTGGGTGTTGCAAAAAGGGAGACATAGTTTGTTGTTGTGGCTAGAAGTAAAACAGGGGGTTACTTTTATAATAAAATGTAAGGAATGATAATGATAACTCATAACCTCTTTCACATTACTGAATCAACCCCTCAGTATCCTCCCTTCACTCATATTAGAGAAAATTCTAACCCTGTTTTCTTTTCCGTATCCCCACCGTTTTATATCAAAAGTTAATCTTTAATGATAAATATTATCAAGGAAAAACTTCCTTACCAATTATTTTCTAGAAAGCTTGCATTGCCATATTTTGCAATATGTATTGTGCGCTATTAGAATTGTTTCTGTGTACATGTATGGGAGTTGTATGGGAGAACGCCAGCGTTAACTTTACTCACGATCAATCAATCATTTGCATACATTCTTGGGGTATTTAAATTAGGTTGGGATTCAACAAGTTAAAAAGCTATTTTTGTTGTTTTTTTTGCTCATTAACTCACTCAATGAACAACTAAATAATTTATTGTAAAGGAAACATGACCTTCCGCACAATGAAAGTATTTGTTATGTTGGACAAAATGTTCAGCCAGTCCCCTAACATGGCTTTTGTAGTTGCGCACATACAATTTTCTTTTGCATTTGTTTAAAATATATTTTTTCGTTTGCTTGAAAACGAAAATCTTCCCAATGAACACCAGAGCTTTGGCCTGTGTTCAAGGCAAGGAGGACTTACGAAAGTGTAGACTACCAATAAACGTTTTCTTAAAACAGTAGCTTATTTTCAAAATTCATTTTTAGATCAGCTCTACTGCTGGTACAGAAAAAACCAAATTGCAAAACATATGGGAAAAATTTAATTTCAAATCCTTGTCCAGCAAATGTTGAAAATTTTAAGGGAATGTCATATCCGGGAGATTACCCGTCGGAGCAGGAAATTTATTTGCTTCGATAGAGTTTCATTAGAAAATATGCCTTCAAATTCTTCCCGGCCCTTCGTGGCCAAACCGCTCCTCCATTGTATGAAACGTTTTAAATTTCTCCCCCAAGTAATAATGGTTGCCCGTCCCTGCAGTAAAAGCTTAGTATAAGAACAAGTGTGTATCTGTTTGCACTTCTGATTGCAGGTGGGTCAAGCTAAGGGGACTGAGCCTCCTTACTAAGGGTGGAAAATAGCCCTTTCCTTGCCGCTAAATCTGTAGCTACTCAATTCGCAGTTTACGTGAATCACCGTGCTTTGAAAACGCTCAATTCAACTTAAAAGCACAGAAACACTAGCTTGACTGAGCGTTGGGGCCGATCAAGACTCAAATTTAGGCCAAAATAAGCCTCGAGAAAAACAAATCTTTATCAAACAATGCAAAGCGACACAAGTCGGTTAAAGGATAAAAACTCTCACCAAGTGCTTCTTGTCGATCAGCAAGAATTGATAGTGCAACAACCTCTTTTCTGTAGAAAATGAGATCGACAACAAGCCTTCTCGAATGCTTTATTATAACGTCCCTCTTAAAGATTGTAGAAGCAAAAGGGGCAAATCGTTGTAAGTTGACTGCCAACTTGCAACAGAGTTTTAAGCATGGAAGTCCAGCGTGTTATTTAAGTGTCATGGGACATGGTGCACGTATGTGAACAAATCCTATTCCATTGAGGATTCAGTACTTGTTATTGCTGATTACTAACACCTCCAGATAAGAGAAGGGTTAATCCATCTATTGAAAAATTCAGTCACCTTACGGTTTTAAAAGCTTGGTCTAACTAAACTGTAATCTTTGAAAAATGAAGTTTTCTTTTCCTACCGTTACCAGCTATATTCAGAATCGTAAGATTAAACAGGACGAAGCCTTAGGAAGCATAAAAAGAAGGACTTGGAAGAATTTCAAAGTTGAAGGAGTACAGGTAGGAAAGGACGCTATTTGGGATATTTTACCAAAAGTCCTAAAGTAAGTGCTTCTAAGAAGAGAGTAATTTTTTAGAAAGTCAAGAGGTACGTGCCCCTGATGCCCCCAGTTCTGGCCTCCCTAAATAATTAGGGAATTAGCACTGACAAGTATTTTGTTCCGCCATTGAACGTGAGCAGCATACTACACCAACACCGATGAAGTGCATGTCAACTCTTGGTTGTGCTATTGGAATCCTACTATATTAAAATGTATCTTTGCCACTTGCTGCATTTTTTCCTGTCCCAAACGACTACCATTAGAAACGTCCCTGATTCAGCTATTTAGAGGTTGATGAAAATAGACAGAAAGCTAACATTAAGTCCTTGTTCCGTAGGTGTAGAGTTTATACAAAATCGATAAGAATCGCTATACAGTTGACAAGAAAATATTTATAGAAGAATCGTTAGTCATGCATGCTAAACATCGTTAAAAATCACACTTGCGAATGACGAAAATTCGACGGAACAAAAATAAAACTTCATATTCTGACATTTGAAGTATCAAAATCTAATTTAATGAAGACTTGGATTACAGTAAAAGTTTAGGTCGAAACGGAATTGTTAATTATGAAACTCCGAGTGATTATATACGCACTTATAATCTGGGCTGGATTGAGATGGGTGCTATTAGTGCTGCAGCATTAGGCCTATTCCTGAACTAAGCCCAAGTTAAAACTGCCTGGAGAGTTTTCCTAGAGCCGGAGAGGCCCATTTATAGGCTCTTTTGTACTGCAGCATGAGATCCAATTTGGGTTAAATCCGGCACTTCTGACCTTGGAGAATACCTTGCACTTGCTCTCACTATCGTATACCCATAATTAAGGATAATCTATTCGACGATTAACAATGATTAAGACGGATGATGACAGTAGAATTCTATTATCTCCATTTCAATTAGTTGTTTTGATAGAAACAGGGGATATCTTAGAGTAAATCATCTAAGATGATTGGTGAAATACAAGTGAATCTGTCAAATGCATTACTCACCAGGTAATGCAAAAACTGATGAACATACAAGACGATACATTCTAAGATTTCAAAATGATTGTTATTCTATGAAGTAGATAATCGAATTCTTCGATAGCCATAAATTCTCTATTAAGAAGCTACATTACTTCGAAAATACCCTTTTACAAACATGTGTGTTATTCTTATGGACATTCAATATACTCTGATATGTTGATAAGAATAAATTTTACATATCGGATTATAATTGGTCATAGGCAATGGTAGTTACTGTGGGTTGCTAGAACGTTCTAAATAGTATAGTTTCGTCTCCCACAGCGACATGACTTCGGGTCCATAATGCCATATCTACACACCTTGATATTGCATGTACATTTACATGTCTTCGGGTCTCTTCCTTTGGCAGGATTCTTGCACTTTGTTTTTCGGCATTCGCAAGCACATTTTTTTGCATTCCAAGCTTTCTTCCACGGACACCGTAATTTTTTCGGACAGCTGCAGCATTCATGACCTCCCGAGTAAATGTAATTTCTCGGGCAAAATTGAGTGCACTCGCAGCGACACGTGTTTTCTTCCCAGATCTACAGAAAAAAGGTACTTTCATAACACACCATGTCGGTAAAATGAAAGAAAATTGAACTTCAAAGACATATTGTATAAGTCAGTCATCGTGGGAAGAAACTGAGTATCAACTACACAGCATTTTCCCTGTGCTGTTTTCTGTTGTATTTGACATCTTAAAGATGATTTTGCGTTTAGCTTGCTTTATCTAAGAAAAGGCTAAAGAAGGCTCAAGCTCGTCCAAAAAGCTTCAACTTTAGATTCTGTGAGTCAGATCGTAAACTTGTAGAAATCATTACGTGTCGCCGAAAATCATTACGTGCCAAGGATATCTGCATTTGCAGCGATTACTTATTCCAAAGGTGTGGCGGCTCAAAAAAACCTCCAGAAATTGTCAAAGGCCCCTCTTAAACCGAACCCCTTTTAATAGCCTTGATTGCTTTCAGAGCCCTGCAACCCTAAAAATTATCTGGAAAAATAAAGGATTCAGAAAATCAAGATGGCAAGACAAAAAGTAAATTTTGTTTATAACAAAGAAACATCTTTATAAAATGAGACTGACATATACATATTTGATACTTCTTTATAAAATTGATTGTTTATTTATTTATGATTCTTTGAAATCCACATTTAAAACACAGTTGGAAGAAAAAAAATTAAAAGTGTTTATTGAATTATAGTTCAACTCTGATCCCTACTAGAAGATTTTCTAAAATCTTCGTAAAAAATTTTGCCAAAGCGTCTTATCAGTAGTTTCTTATAAAAATATGAACGTAAGAGAGTTCAAATGTAAGGATGCTGGTCTTCAGGATTTGAGATTCTAAACCTTGCTCCAACTAAACTTTTAATGAAGAAAATACATCAGCTACATAAATCTATGTTATGTAATAATTTTCAATTTAGCAGAAAAATGTACGCAGATGCCAATTTGTAGAAATATTGTAAAAATTTTCACATTAACATTCAAACTCGTCGATTATTTTATTGCTTAATTTAAAGACCTTCATATTTAGATATCACATATATCTAAACATTTCCTTGTATTTCCTTGTTAACATTTTATTTAAGCGTTTGCATGTTACTATTATTTCATCTTTTTATGCTTAGTCCACCGATCCACCGAAGTTTGCATCTTCACTTACTGAAACAGAAAAGGTTTAGATATAAACAATGAATATTAAAACATAAATGTGCTCATTTAAATGACAATGGAGATTTAATTTAAATTCTTTGGGCTCAATGCCACTAAAATTGTTATGCATGACATATTACGACATGCATAGCCAGGCACTGCGGAGCGTTAAAAAAAGGGGAGATATATAGTCCCCCATCCCTCCCCCCTGCTCTGCGGTGCCTGATAACATAAAGACAATACATTGTTCACCTGAAACTGATGACAAGCCTCCATTTTGTTTTTACATTCGCACGCGCATCTGGTCTCGTTTTGCAAAGGAAGCAGAACAACCTTCGGAGCTTTCATGATCTGATTTGAAGAGTTCCAGCTTACCTCTGCAGTACGTAGATGTAGTGGAGCGATTTCTGTCAAAAGAGTTTTGTGTAAATATATGAATGACGTCATAAAAATCCAACTGTAAAATTTTTTTAACTTGGATCAAATGGTCTGGATGAGAATCGTGAAATACTTTGAAATGGGCGAAGTTAGTTAGATGTGTTACAAATTGTCTCTGAGATAAAGCCACATGGGCACAGACATCTCTCCCACCAACTGTTTGGTCTTGACTATGAAGTCTCTGAATCAGACCAAAACAACAGTAATACATAACCAAAGCTCGGTGCCTTCACTAGCTACAACTCTATATTTTTATCGAGAGAGTTTCATGTTAAGCTACAAAGTTGCTCTGGTGTCAAGCTTTTTAAGCAAAGGGTGATGTCAAGTAGCCGACGTTTTGTTTAGTCTATCTTTACTTTTCAAGTTATTGTTGTTGATTCAAGTTCTAAATGACCTGTCTCTAGTTATGCCAGATTTGCAAAATTTTAAAAATAAAGTTGGACTTTTTAGTAATAGCACTGCAGTACCTGCTCTTTAAGAGACTTACCAGCTGCTGCACACCTTGAAAGAAAGGGATTTGCTCCACAAGATCCCATGCATCGATGCAGAGTGACATAAAATGGATACCTAAAGGCAGTTGCCAGGTTGGGCTGATCAACTTTGACAAGAACAGGTCGAGGCTTGCACTTCTCATTCTGCAGTTTTGCAACGACACCAACTACGAAAAATATTGATCAATGAGGAGACAACTCACAAAAACTTCAAAAGAATTAAAAATGAATTTTCCATTGCAAAGTTGTGAACATAAGATGTTACAAATGATATAACAACGATAATACTGTAACAATTAACAGATAAAATTACCGTCATTGTTTCTTCTTCGTTGATTTGTGACTGAAAAGTTCGTTAGTTGATCCTTCATTTGAAAGATATCAACAAATGAACTGAAATCTTCTACTCCTTGCAGCATTTCGAGAATGTTCGTTGGAATTGTCTTTGAAAATGAAATTTGTGTGATAAAATACAATAACAGAACAAAATGTGATCAAAGAAAAAAAATTCACAATTACCCTTGCAATACATAAGCAATGGTTGAATAATTTACTGAATTCCAGATAACTCCTACTGTCATTATATCTGTGATAAAAATAAAGAATACCAACTTTGAGCCGTACTGTTCTATTCACTTAAATGTGCACTGCAGAAATATTGGACAAGAGAATGAAAAGTAATAAAATGTGTGTAATATACTTTGGGCCAAAATTGAACAAGTCTAAAAATCCTCTAACGTCAAATAATCAAATTCTGCAGATTCTGTCGTTATAAGTTATTTTACAGTTTTATTTTCCATTACTGATAGGAAGGAAAAATACCTTTTTGTGCAAACCTTTAACTGAACAAGACTTGACGTTCATAATTTATCCAAGCAAAGCAAATTGTTATTCTTACTCAAAAAGGGAAACCTAAATCCAGCATTTTTATCATGTTTTACGATTTGTTTTATGTTCCTTTGTGGTATCAAGAAGCCTCGCTCGTTCTTAGTCCAAACAATTGTTCTCACATCTAAGTATGCATAAAGTGTAAACGTTTTAGAACAAACCCCCCGCTCCCCGCCCCATTATATGCTCCGAAAGCCCAGTAAACTTATTTTAATCAACCTGAAGTCTAATATATTAAGTATCCAGTAGAGCTTCGAAATTTGCAGAACTTATGCTACTACGTTTTTTATACCATGCTCCTTAAAACAAACGAATGGGAGGGGTGTGTTTCAGTGAGGGTGAAGGCCTGTGGGTCTAAACTTTGCTTTTCTTTCTTGGTTATTATTCAGTGCAAATCATGCGGGCGTGAGCTGACCTTTATAAATGTTCACTTTATTTTTGTAGAATATATCTAGCTTTCAGACAAGTGAATTGATTGAATCAATGAAGTGGGCTTCTGGGTATTTTCTTCGAGTTTTTTGGCGGATGCGCCTAGTATTGATTGAATTGATCAGGTGACAGTTTTCTGCTGCAAGTGAAAGGTCGAAGGTCGACTGCCTGACTTACATACTCCACGTTGACGAGCACGCTTTAAGGCTGAATCTCATTAGCATTATAGATTTTTCCAATGAATAGTGAAGAGACACTCACTCCAAGGGCTACCCTGGGTACCAGACTCACTATATAAAATAAAATAATAATTTATTTCATATATAGTGAGTCTGGTACCCAGGGTATCCAAGGGCGTATCGCAATAGTGCTAGTTTTGAAGCATTCCATTGTTTTTTACACTTCATTGTCAAGTATACATAAATTCCACGAACAAAGGCTGAAATCATTAAAAAATATCGACCTCTTTTTCTAAAAACACGAGGCAACTTCATATACAGGCGAATTCTCCTAGGCAGGACCAAATTGTACTAACGAAACATGAACAATTGCTACAAAATAAGGGTGCAACTTTTTATTCAAGCTATTATTATTCAGTCCCTTTAACCTTCAGGGACTCAGTACTTTGCAATAACTTCTTATTCCACAAAGTTATTTATCAAGACTGTCTTGTAGCACTCAGAAATTTTATCAACTACGAATGTATGATTCCGCTAAAAGTATTTATGGAAATGCTATCAAATCATCTGATGTGGCACACGACCATGGATAGTAATGGATAAAAAAGTTAATGAATGAGAGAAGATTCAATGAAGTTGATGACAGAAATATTGCAATAGTATAACATTCCACCATTTTAAACAGGATAAGTATATCCATGTTGACAGAAATTTTTTAGGCTTTAGCCGATATGATACACGCGAAGCCACAAATATTGTAATGATATACAGCAAGGAACACCACGAGTAGTGAATAGTGAATAGCTGTAATTATATTACACAAGGTTTTATCTAAAATTGATATAGGCAGGCAGCCGTTATGATACGTGTTAACCAAAACTGATAGAGTGTGCTTAAAAGTTTAGCTAACAAGCAAAAATTCGAAACATTTCAGCCAAACATTAAGATAAAATAGTAACTGAAGATCAAGTCATCTGCAATATTCAATTTGCAGAAGGAGATATCGCAAGTTCAAAGTTAAGGGAAAAAAGTAGATAAGCAAGACGTTTTTTTATGATCGTCAACGAATAAAAAATAATCTTTCGAAGAATATACACGATTTCTTAGATAGGAGCTAAAAATGTTTGTTCCTGGCTCTTGAAATGACATTATTTACTTCACGTTGCACCCCCAAACCTAATTCTACAATAGTTTTGCAAAGATTACAGAACAGTTCTAATAACCAACAATACAGGAATCTGTGGAAACTTCGAATTTAAGATTTTATCGAAATGAATTCGTCAGAAGTTTTTTCATCAAAAGTTTCAAAGTGAGATACATAGCTCAGAAAATTTTTTTAAGAATTGGTGGCATTCATACTGAGACCAAACCAATCTCCAATGTACGTAATGAACATATCTTTTCTACGAGCACGGTCAAGTAAATAAATCAAGCCTAAAGTTAATTAAAGATAAAACTTTAGCCCAGTTGCTAAAGAAAAAGACTCAGTGACTCAGATCAATTCATGTATAATGTTTATCAACAGGAGTGAGGCAAGAGCCAAAATTTGTCCTAATAAGCCTACACTCCCTTCCACATAGTGGGTGCTCAAATGCAGTAAGGATTGGCTGTTTTTGAAAAGTGCTTGCTTTTACTTTCAATGTGCCATAAACAAGAAAATCAGAATTGATTTGCAAAAGATTGTTCTGTATGGAGGGTGTACGAGTTAACCCTTTTATTTCTTTTATGGAGAATGAAAGTGTATGTTATTTTTATGCGAGCTTAGTAAAAGGTTCTCAAATGACGTTATTGTCTCACAGGTTCTTATGTGCAAAGTAGTATGCTTTATTTCAATTGGTCTTGGTGATTAAAAGCATAAAATCTATAAGGTTTATTTCTAAATTGAAACTATCTTCTAAAGTTCAAAGGTAACAACATTATTGGATTAATCGCCAATTATTGAATTTCATTTTTCTATGAAATTCGAGCATTGATTAAGAAAAATTTCATGTTAGCACCACAAATTTTCTAAGTCAAGCATTCGTCCAAATTTGCCAGGTTTAAAGTTCTTCAAAAACATTTTACTATCTTCATCCAGTTTGTTTATAAAAGGAAATAGAACTGGAAATAGCTTGACATTGTCCCGTCAGGCAAGACACATTTAATGTTAAACATAAGGCAATCCAAACTTAGTCGCTGCCCAGCTCCAGTTAGAGATGTATTTAATGTTGATTACAAAATTTGCTGATATGGTTCACCTTCAAGTATTTCTATTTCCAATAGACGAACCGTTCTCTATTGCTTTATTGTGCAAGGCACATTGGTTGTACTTCTAATTAAACGTTTAACTTTAAGATCAGACAGTGTCATTTAATACAGTGTGTAGGAAAATCTATCAAGAAGTACCAAACGGCGACACAATATAAAACTTCACGTTTTTCCTTATGACTGTTTTAGACATGCTTCTCGGACAATCCTAAATAAAGGTACAGTGAATTCTAAATCATTCGTATTTTCAACATACCTTTGATTCGCCTTCAATGATAAAATAAAGGAAAAATACAGTTAGCCAATAATGATGAAACTCCATTTTGATCTTTATGGTATCTCTAGAAAGTAGATTAAGTTCTTTCCACGTGCAAAGATCTTTTACAGGAGAAGGAGCATTGATGAGAGGTCAATGAAACAACATCAAATGAAGAAAACAGGCTCGCCAAAGAGTCGTCTTCTTTAATAACAGACTTCATCGGATGAATATTCCTGTTTCATTGTAACTAACAGCAATTCAGGGGCTCTGACATAATTCCTGCCCGTTTGTGCATCACTGGGTCAGGTAAATACCAATCGATAACAACATACGAGCAACTTGAATGATGCGGCTTTGTGGAACCGTATATGACAATCCGGTTGGAGATAAGGGCTCGCTTGCGGTAGAAAGGCCCCTTGTCGTCTCTCACTTGAAAATGAAATTGTACTCTCTAGATCCAAACTGAATTTGTAAGAATTTGAAGTCAAGAGACCATTCTTTGAGTTTCAATGTGATTGTAAAATGTCTTTGCGATCTTTTTGTCTTTTCAAATGCAGTGGTGCCCACTGAACTAATCACGCTATCACAAATGAAATATTTCCTAATAAAATATAAAGAGAGGTTGAACAACTCGATTCCGTTATCTATTTTAAGCAAAAGAAGCGTCTACTTTATCTAAAAATCAAATAGAGTAGTCTCGTTACGTAGACGAAGCAGAACAAATTTCGCTTTAAAACAAGCGTCAAACAAACTTATTCTTTGAACCTTTACCATCAACAACTGAGTTTAGTGCTGTTTTAATCTAAAGGTGGGCATTACTTTATTTTGATTATCCTCAATATAGAGTTAGATGACTTTAAAGTACCTCTGCCTTCAAGTAAAATACTCTTACACACAAGCAAATGTATCTCGTTATAAGATACTGTTTAGAATATCTTATCAATCCCTTTTGCGCCACATCTGAAACTTCAATTTGCGAGTCTCCACTGCAAAAAATCAACATCAGTTCTGAAGTATAATTAGCAAAACTAAGTGGAAAAATGCTAAGATTATTAAAAACACAGAATCTATAGTTAATTAAACAAAGTAAATTGAACATTAAGACCAACTCCAATTGTTTTTTGCTCAAGAGATCTCATTTTAGTTTAAAGTAGTAATTGGCATTAGCAATTAACCTACTGATGAAATATTGGGAAGATTTTAACGCACTTTTGTGACTTTTCTTGCAAATTTTCTTGCAAATTTTCTTGCAGGTATATGATTATATCTATCATGTGTACAGATTGCTATGTAACTAAAGAACACAAAAGAAAACAGAGAAAAACCCTGTACTTTTTATCCATATCTTCCGAGGACATTTTCTTAATGAGTTGAAACTCATTGCTTGATATTTAAGTGTAAATCAAGGAATGGCACTTATGTCTTGTGTTTTCTTCAATGCAAAAATTTTAATATCACTTATCGGCTGATTTTACAATCATTGTTGACTAAAAAATTATCAAAGAGACCGAATCTTTACTAGAGTTAGATGTTCCATGGTTTTATTCTGTTTTTGTCTCATAAGATTCTATGCTTCAAGGCAAAACTTGAACAAAATTGAACAATAAGACAAACTCAAAATGTTTTTTGCTCAAGAGATTGTTTTTTTGCAAAAAGTTGTGAAGTTGCAACATCGAGAAGAATGAGTATGCGCAGAATGAGTATGTGTATTGGGTATACCGATTTTAAAGGAAGAAATTCAAGGGATTTCCCACCCATGAATAAAAGTATCTTCTTCGTTGAAGGAGCAAGTTTTTGCAAGGAAATTTGACGCAAAAACTTGCCGCGTCACAAAAACCGAGGCTAACCTATAAACTCCGCTGACCAAAACGATTGTCAGAGCAAATAGATATTGTGAACGAGACTTGTTATCAAGTAATTGTCAAGTAAAAAATATCAAACAAAACTTGTTGCTAATCTACCATGGCAAGGAAACTTGTAAAGGAAAATTACCAAGAAAAAATTGCTCGTATAGATGCGGCTTAAACATCAGCTAGCTTCAGAAAAGCCTACTTTTCACAAATCAGTATATTTTTGCCAAAAAATGTTTGTTTTCATGACCACATTGTTACTGATACGTCCTTCTTTTCTCACTTATAATAATGGACTGAAAATAATGGATTTCTCTCGAAATAATCAAATTTGAATTTAGAACTACTTGTATGAAATGGATTATTACTCAAATTCGATGCTTGGAAAGAATCAGAAAAATTGTAGAACTAATACGAAACTCACCATTTAGTCAAAATAACATCAGGTCTTTTGCTCAGAAATAAAACTGCTCTCGCTTTTTTGCTTCAGTCAGTGGTATTCAGCAGAGAAAACAAGTAAACATTTGTTTTCCCATACTCACCATAAAGCGACGATGATCAGATTAATTTGCTTGGAGCCAATCAAAAAATGCCGTTCATTTGGAAAGATATCCTTTAACTTTGCTAATCCTTCAAGCCAACAATTGATCAAAACTTGCCTAAAATTGATGTCTAGAAAAGAAATTTGAGCGATCGTGAATCCATTGATGCAGTTTACTTTCATTATTATCAGTTGATTTCTGGCTTCCTTTGTTGTCGAAGAATCGTTGCGTTAAGATACAATCGTTGTTCTTTTGAGGTTCCTCAAGTGAAAGTTCCGTTAAGTTTCAAATTATTTGGAAATATGTTATAGAAATAGCACAGATGTTTCAAGAAGCATGCACAATTAGAATGTGTAGGTCACCAAAAGCTTGGGGAATTTCAATTTGTTTACTGAATATGCAAACATGAAATCAGAAATAATGTTGCCTAGCAACAACAGGTCTTTTGTTTTATAAAAACCGTATTTAAGAAACCGAGCTTGAGATGTCCAAAAATAATTTAACCGTATAACTGACCACCCAAAACCTAAAGAAACTAATCTTAAATCTATATTTTAAAGATTGGGTGAAATAATTTTTCTCGGCGATTAGGTAGGGACCTATTTCTATTCAATTGAAACAGAACCTCGCTAACGATCAGGTGTTCTACTTGATATTAATTTTATGCTTTTGTGGTTTATTTAGGAAACTTTTAGCTCTAAGAGTAACAGACAATTAAGAACCTGTGTTCTAATTCCGAGCTAATTATTTTATAAAAATTCATGTAATCTACTAAAACATCTCAAAAAATACATCGGCAAACTTTCGTCTTGTTATATGATGATTTTACGATAACGCCTTTAGATCTTATGAAAATTTTCTGACATTTGCGAACATCGTAAGTTATGGGAACTCTGACTTGTAAATACAGTTGTTTAAATGCATTTAATATTTGCACAGTCATTAGACTGAAATTAAAATCAAATATTGATAAAATCCTCAAATTTTATCGCATTCTTTCATATATATTTTTGTAGTAGATTGTATTGCAAGTTTCGTGATCAAATATCATCTTTACAAATCATACCATGTTCACAACGCTCACACGTCATCCTGTATCAATTACACAATAATCTGAAATCTTTCTTGAATTGTACAAGAAAGATCTTTTTGATCCATTTTGTAGCAGATCGCATTATGTAATTGGAACGAAAAATCACAAAGGCTTGATTCTCGCTTGGCGACAAAAGCTCGCTTTAGCTGCATTATACCGAACTGGAGTCGCGATTGGCGTTTTTGAGGACCCTTTCACGTTTGATAACGGGTCAAGCTATATTTTTCATCTAAGCTGTAAGTGTATCAAAAAACATTCCATTCATTTTTCGGCTTTTTATGTTCTTCGCCTTGTTTAGTATTCAACCAAATATAGAGACAAAAAAGGCCACGAACTCAATGTATCTACAACTGCTTTCTCTCTATCTCCCTATAAAGAGAGTTCGTATTCTATTACGTACATAAAGTTAAGTCGAAAGCAAGTAAAACTTGACTGTTGTGCCCAGAAATACAAAGGAAGAACTGTTAATTCAATGACAAACGATCTCGGATTTTTCCTGGGAAAACATCGCAAAAAAGGAAAAAATGTCTTAATATTTTTCTACCCCTACATTTGATAACCACAGGAATGTAACGGATTTTTACCATGTTTGGCGCTGGCTCTTCTCTGAGTACCAAAGCAACGCAATTTGGAGCATCTAGACGCTTCTCCACCTCCTCTTTGTTACCATATCTTTTTTCCGTGCTCGAATTGATGTGGTTCTGGTACCAAGAGTACGCTGGCTCGTGCACACTAATATGCGAAGAATGTTTCTGTTTTTCCAAGCCTAAGGGCGTATCTCTTACGAAGTATTATTTAGAAAACATTATAACGCGTGAAACCTGGTTGTTCATTTTTTCTTTTCTTACCCGGCTTAGCTACACCATTTGCTCCTCCCTAAAGGTTGCAGCGCAGACTATAATGAGTGAACCTTGGTGTCAAAGAGCATGCACAAGGAACTTGATCATTACAACGGATGCTCTTTGGCTCCAAAACGGGGAGTTAACACTAATTAACAACTTTATCTTGTTCGTCTCCCCAACAAATATGCAGGTTTAAACCTGCTAATATAATGTGAAAAATTGTTTAAATTGATTAAGGCATTTCTCTAAAATCGTGTGCAGCCGTAGCAAGGTGTGTCAAAGTGACCCGCCCACTGCTTAACTTGGTTCTGCATCGCTTCATAATGTCATAACGGATACGTACCCACATCTTGTTCAGAAAATATGTCGCATGCTATATGTATTTGAAAAAAATGGGGGAAACAGCTTTATTCCAGCAGTCACCTGAGTTGATTCAAAGAGAAAGAGAGAGATAAATTAACAGGAAGATAATGGTTCAGGAAGGTGACTCCTGGCAAGAAGATGTCTCTAGAGGAAGCAACCAATGAGACGAGGAACTTGGCAATTATAAAAAGAAAGAAATTCTTAACATGCGAGTCCAACTTATGCGTAGATTTGAAATAGGCCAAAATGAAAGAACTATTATTGTTTAGTAGAATTCCTGATGTTAGCAAAGAAGAGGCTTCGGTTTAAAATGTCTACATTGAGTCAATTTGAGTCACGGCAAAGTAATGAGAGATTTACCGACCGTTGTTAGATGCTTTCCCGAAGTAAATATAGCAGAAAGCGAGACAACATAACACAAACTCTTCTCAACATCGTCTTTAAAATATATATTATTTACAGACAATAAAATTGACGAAGCAACAGCTAAATTAGCGCATTTATTATATCCGAGATTATCACCAATGGTGTCCATGAATGAAGGCAACCAATTTCGGTTCTACTCGAAGATATAACTTGGATAATTGTGTTAACACACAGTCAATGCAACTGCAGCACTGCTTCATTTTGCAAGTCCGGCAGTATTTCTTCTTGACGAAGTCGTGCATCAAAACCATTGACATTGGATATTTCCTTGAAGCAGTATTTTAGTACCACCATGAAAGCATATTAGTTTGAGCAAGCCATGTACAACATGATAGACAGCTCCAGTCACATAAAACCTTGATTCACCAATGGCCTAAGTGGAACAAGAAATTCACAATATTATCTTTAGCTGGGAATCAATTTTGCTGATC